TTGTATGTATAATATACCCAATTATCTAGTGGATAACACAAATAAAACATAATAAGTATAGAAAAAAATATAATAATAATAGATAGTCTTTATTTAGGGCGAAGTTTAGCTTATACCTATTCTGTCACTCAACCCTTATTAGAAACGAAATAACATCGAACATATATAAATAGAATAATAATAGAACAAAATGTGTAAATAATCGTACAGTACATACTTAATATTGATATTATATAAATACAAACGGTTCACATATTTAAAAGAGATGCTTAATTTTGTTAATTTCAAGTACTTTACTATAAGAAATAAATAACGACTGTCGTTGTTGTATGACGGTTTTGTAGTGTAGGGTTTTTTATTCTCTATTTGCCCAGTTGTTATAGCTTCCGACAGAATCTTCAGATGTGCTGGAAGGTACTATGGAACCGAATCATCTTTTAGTAAGCTGGCTTATTTTATCCCTGTTCTCAAATGTTTCCTTGTCCAACAAGCCACGATACACTTCAAAAGGGAATCGAGTCAGAAAACTAAAATTATTTTTTATAAAGTGCAAGTCACAAATAACTTTTTGTGGGAAGAGAATACATGAGTAAAATGATAGAAGAAGAGTTGTTAATTAACGATAACGGTTCGACTTTGTACTAAGATATATGTGGCTAAATGGGTTCAGAATGGGCGTATCAACCCTTAAAAGGTTTATATCGACCTTCTGAACTCCCTGTATATAAAATCACAGAACACATTTTGTGAGTTATATTGGCTGTGTCATCAAGCAAAATGACGATACGAAATTTATTGTTTCACTCCACTCCCTCTCTCTCCTGTACCGCATCTATTGATAGTTCGTCTTGAGTAGCGAATTCTTGCGAGGCGCTAAGGAATTCGAGGCAATTATCCCTTTCTGGAGGGGCCTGCTCCTGTTCTGTTCTGGTGTGCTGTATTAGCATTAAGGAATGCAATTACTAAGTGTCTATTCCCGCCTTCCTGACTCTTTAACCCCTTCACAGCCACCAACCGAACTCACACCTCAACAACCCCTCTAGCCTATTCTACATCTCATCCCAACCAGGGAGATAGCCGGATCAAGGCTTCCTCAAAAAATGCTTCCAAGTATGTATAATTCACGGAAATAGCATGGCGAAAAAATTATAACATTTTTACGCATTGTGTTACCTGGAAGAATAATCCGGATATTGATGTTGTTTTTTAAACTTTTATAACAATGTCACAATATAGTCAAACCTGGAATACCCATCAGCTAGAGATATTAATCAAAACGGTATCAAACCAATTTGAAGCAGTTTCTGGTTATCAAATTTGCAAAATACATCAAAATACATTAGTTCTTCCGACTTTGCATGAATGGCATAAAACGTGAAGAATAACAGTGAAAATGAAAAGTCGTTTATGATGGGCGACCATACAGAGAAATCCAAATATCACTGACGGGGTAATGTGCACGATAGAAAAGCGCGCAAGCGTACAATACGAATACGAGTACCTAACACTGGGTATACTAAAATTTTGTAAAACAAAAATGGCGGATTTTAAACGCAAACTTTAACTTTGAGATTTCTATTTAACGGGCTAACGCCCAAATATCTAGATGGATTTTGAGATTCGTCCTGACAGCACAATTGATTATTCATTTTTTTCAGTTAGATAAAGCAGTGTAAAGCTAGTTTCTCGGGCCACTAGCTGCAGAACTACCTGCTTCTCTAGTTCAGCAACTCCTCAGGCGCCAGCCTCCTGTTTAAAATGTGAAGACAACATTACAGATTGAAACAGTCACCCTGGGCAGCTCCAGTGAATAAAATAATTCAGGGATTTGGTGCTTAACGCTCAAAGGGTCAGACTCGAGATATTTATTCTTCTCTTCCTACTACTACTACTCATCTTTCTGTATCTCTTACTTCAAGCAGTACTGCATTTGTCATTAAAAGCAAGACTTATAACACAAACTGGTATATTATTAGTAAATATGTACACTTCATGCACGGTCGGGATATCACAAGCTTTATGTTATATTTACAAATGAGATATAACCCTGTTTGAATCTACCTACCCTAGTGATAGAGCGGAGAATGATGACAATCGGTTAACCCGGGGTTAAACGGAATCAAAAGCAACGGTTTAAAGCGTAAGCAGTATGAGGTCAAGCTAGCAAGCGATAACGGTGCGATGCGATAAGCCCAAAGCGATGAACGGTTTAAGACAATATGAATATGTGCAGATGAAGAATGAGACCAGCCGTTTATTTGACCCCCGTCTACTTCAAGCTCTGCCTCATTCTCGCTTGGATTTCAATCTGCTCCCCAGGGAAGTCAGCACACTGTAGACAAAGATGTGCATCCCTGACTTGCTTCTTGAAGCACAAAGCAACTATAAAATTCCTAAAATCAAGCTGCAGGTTGTCGTTAATGTATCTTTAAACTAGACTAAACTAATGAAAGTTTACCAAAAATTTAAAAAAATCATAATATCGGAGACGCAGAGTATTTTGTTACTCAATAAGTCAACCTATAAACACTAACCAAAACGGGTGCGTCGAATCGCTACTTGACACAAGTCAAATCTCAAAGTGTCCAAAGTAAGGGCTATAACTGAACAGGACGGTACGGTTCGGCATTCTGACGGTATTGATTTGATTCACCAGTCAGCTCTTATTTGTCACCAGAGAAATCAACTAGGGCCAACGTAGACATAGACCAAGTTTAAACGCAGTTACCAAAATTAAATAAGATAAAGATTATTTAGAAAAATCGCATTTACGTGAGCCCCAGTTTTAATTTTCTATTCTTCAATTTGAAATCAAAGCATATCACACACTCGCTGCCTAGTGCCTGTTGAATCCCAATGGGTCCAAAGTAAGGGTGTGAAATTCGGAATCGGTGCGGTTCGGTTTACGGTCGGTGCAGTTCGGTATTACGGTACCGACGGCCTTAGTAGCCAACCCTTATTTGCACGGCAAGGAAATGAACCAGAACTAGAGTAGCACTAAGCGAAGTCCAAACGGAATAATCAAAATATTTCAAAGTAAGATAGTAGAAATTTCGCAAAGGGTGGTAAACGATTCCTTATGGCGTGCCCAATAAAATGAATGCCCACACCTCTAGAGCATCTCATTCCTAAGGGTTAGATCCTGCAAGGTTTCCAGCCGCAAAAGGGCCTATAGCCAGTTCTAGAGCCTCCCCGACGACCGGCAGCGCATCAACTCAGTGCCGGTTACAATTCCCACATGCTGAGTACTCTAAAGTGGATTTAAAACCAGAAACAGAACCAAATAGGAACTTAATGCCCAATGTTAGAAACCTTACAGGCTCCGATGTGTGACGATTCCCCCATGGCATCGGGACGTTGAACAACGAATTTTCAATCGTTATAAGGACACTATGCCTATTTCATCCAGTGCCTAGATACGCCACTCCCTCAGGACGCATTCCTGACTGCCGAAATATCGTCTAGTGCTCCCACAAGGTTTAACATTTAATAAGTAATTTCAAACATTACAATATATTTTAATACGGAGAACGAAAAGAATAAATGTCCGAGTATCTGGCTAAGTAACAAACGGCAACAAAAACGACGGTGGAATGTCACAAGAACAACAGGTTTGTTTGAGGATTCGAGACTATATCGTAGACAAAATAATATTAACAACATATGAGGGGAAGTCAGAAAGTACCTAATTCACGGCACCGGGAAAAAGCTATATACATAACAGCAATTGGATTGCTTGTATTTTAAAAAAATTTACATATTTCTTTCTTTATGGGCTAAGCGTCTCTCACGTCACTTGTTGCTTGGAATTATTTGACTTCTCAAGCGGAAGCCTATGCCCCCTTGTCGCCCTAATCGGCACCCAAATGTAGAAACCCTGGGTCACCTCAGAAAAAGTTATCTAGGTTTAAAAAACCGGATCTGGCAATCCTAAATGTAAAAGGAATTTAATGGCATTGATCCTTAAGAATTTTAAATGTCTTTAAAATATTGGTTATGTAACGCCCTGAGCGCCATCTGTTGGCGGTCGTAAGAACCGTCGCACGGTCTAGACTCTAGAACATTGATTCCCAAAGTGGTCTATATCGACCCCTCGGGGTCTCTGACAACCTGCAAGGGGTCTACGTCAGCGAAAAAAAATTTGGGGGTCCATAAAATGAATATGGGGGTCCACGATAGTGGATCTCAACACATACACTGATAGTACCTATTTACTTAGATCATACTATCTTATAATATCAAAACATATTCATTATTTATAAAAGTACCTATGGAGTAAAAAATTTATTATATATGTTTGTAAAATTATGTAAGTTGTAGGATGTTGGTATTCGCTTTGTGGTCGCAATACATTTTGAACTTGTAAAAACCTGAGAGTCGCAGTCTCAGAGCTTCGCTACCTTGCACTGACTTGTTCAATTCGTCACTCTATAAATACGAATGTGGGACAAATACGTTTATTCGTTTCCTGAATCTTGAAAAGGAAAGTGCGAAGAAAATATTTTAAAAAATATAAACAGATAGTATATCACACAAATTATAGAGAGTCAGTGTTATTTTATTTGAGAGTGCTGGAGAAAAGTAAGTACATTATTTTTTATTAAATTTTAGTTTTGTACTCGTAGTTAGCAAAGATAGATAAATTACGCCAATCATGACTTTAGTTATTAGTAGTTAAATATTCAATCATGCAAAATTACACCGAGTACTCCTCAATAGTTTCTTTTTGAAAGTTTTAGCAATCGGTAATATAATTACAGTGCAATCTCCGTAATTCGAGCTAATTTTTGCAAGAAGATGTTCGTGTTATGGAATGTTTTCGGAAAAATCAAAAAATACTTTTAATATACAGCTGCTGGATTTACTGTCTTATTTAAATAATTTAATTATGCCCACAGATGACTGATGCCATGTCCGAATCTAAAAAGAAATGTAGACAGTACAGTGTTGATTATTTGAAATTTGGCTTCATTCCATCATTGCCGGACAAACAATCGCCTATGTGCCTTTTATGCAACAAAGTTTTGGGCAATGACGCTATGAAACCATCTAAACTGCAAGATCATCTGAGAAGATGCCACCCTGATAAAACAGAGAAAGATTTGAAATACTTTCAAACACTCAAAGATAAATTTCAGAAGAGACCTACACAAACCTGCATCTGATATCATTAAAAGAATTCCCTTAAGCAACAATACTGTTGAAAGACGTATTGATGAAATGAGTTCTGATATTGAAAGTTTCTTATGTAATTATTTGCAAACGACCCATTTCTCTATACAACTGGACGAGTCAACTTTACCTGATAATGCAGCATTATTATTGGCATATGTTTGTTTTATTATGAATCAAGAAATCTACGAAGAACTGCTCTTCGCGAGAACTTTGATAACCGACACTAAAGGTGAATCAATATTTCATGTTTTGAAGGATTACTTCATTGAAAAAGCAATTCCTTTATCAAATATAATATCAGTAGCTACAGATGGAGCACCTGCCATGGTTGGACGTTATCGTGGATTTATAAGCTATTTAAAACAAAATGTGTCAGGGGTGTTAGCAATACATTGCGTCATCCATCGACAACATTTAGTTGCTAAAATATTGAGTGTTAGATTGCATGAATCACTTCATTTAGTCATTGATGCAGTAAACCGAATCCGAAGCAACGCGTTAATACGCGGTTATTTGCGCAGTTGTGTGAAGAAAATGACGAACACTTTCATCAATTACTCCTTCACATTGAAGTACGCTGGCTGTCGAAAGGCTTATGTTTGGCAAGATTTTTTGCACTTTTTGAGACTATTTTAGAATTTCTGGATACTAAAGATAAAATTTTAAAAGAAAATTTAATGAAGAGGAAAACAGGCATCGCCTATTTAACAGATTTGGGGGGCCTCGGTTGGCCGCGTGGGTCAGTGTCGTGCTACTGATCAGCCGGCCGGCCGGGCCGCGAGTTCGAATCTCGCCTTCGCCATGGATGTTGTGTGTTTGTTTTAGGCAGCAGCGGTGGCCGCAGTAGTAGACTCTTCGGTCTCCTGATCAGCCGCCGTACGCTGTGCGGGTTCGAGTCCCGTCCCAGGAGAAATGTTTCTCTTGGCCATGGATGTTGTGATTGTCCGTAGGTGGTAGATGGTCTCTGACTGTCGAACGCGGAGGTACCACCCGGCGGTTCTCGTAGGCGGAGCCAGAATGTGTGCATGTTGCATGCTCACGTGTTCCCTCGCCAGAGTCCGTGTGGCGTCCCCCCTTTCCCATGTATCCCCCATAACCCCACGGTACCCAATGGGTGCTTAGGCCTTAGGCCTTCGTGGTAGTTGGAGTATAAAAAAAAAAAAGATTTGTTTACAAAATTTAATATGGTTAATTTGCAATTACAAGGCGACAGTTTAAATTTGATTAAGACAAAGTCCATCTTATCAGCGTTTCTTGCCAGAGTTAAACTAAGGAAGCAAAATAGTGGACGGGGCGAATTTTCTCAGTTCCCCAATTTGTCACAGACAAGCTGCCAGGAAAACGACGTTTCAACTTACGTTCAACATTTAAATGCCCTCTATTCAGATTTTGAATCTAGGTTTGAGGATATTTTGACTATGGTAATACCACCGTGGATAATTAATCCATATGGTGACATAGAAGAAACGAATGTCATAATACAAGAGGAACTGACTGAAGTACAAACGAAGAACTTTAGGTTCAGTTTAAAAACGGATATCAGCAATTCTGGCTGCAAAACAACATACCCGTTACTTATCCCGTATTATGGAATATAGCGAGGAAATTTTTAATTTCCTTTCCATCGTCATACATAGTGGAAAGGGGGTTCAGCGCTGTTACCAATCTCCTAACGAAAAAAAGAAACAGACTGGGCATCATTAGCCGAGGAGATTTAAGATTAACCCTTACAAAAGTGACGGCAAATGTTGATAATTTATTATTAAAGCATCAGGTTCATCCTTCTCACTAAAAATATTGACTTATTGCTTATGTTATTTTATTTATAGTTTATTTTATGGTTATTGGTGTCTGACCAATAAATGCCCGCATTGGGAATAAGTGCCCGCATTGATTTTTTAAAGAACCCCCCTTCATAGAAAATATATTTTTTTTAAAATTATTCTGAAAATTTAAGGATAGGTACACACTAAAATTCGTTAATTTTTTGCCTATTTTTAGATAACTTAAATGTATAAGAAGCGGAATTTAATCAAACTAACAGTGAAATTATTGTAGAACATACGTTTATGTTATAATTAATAAACGAACTCGCTTATTGTATTATTTTAAGTAAAAAACATTTTTTTAATAATTTTTCACTTTTTTTTATTTTATCCCTCTTATTTTTTTTTCAATGCGGGCACTTATTCCCAATGCGGGCACTTATTGGTCAGACACCTGTTTATTTAATGTTAGGTACGTATATTTTACATAACAGATACAAAATTTTATTTTGAGTAGTTTTAATTTAAATTCATTTAATAAATGTATAAATTAACATGTGTTTTTACTTTAAGTTTTTAACACTAAACTTCACTACAGTTAGAAATTTATAGGAAATCAATATCAGGTAAGTAGGGGGTCACCCAACACGGAAAAACATGGCAAGGGGTCTACGACACAAAAAAGTTTGGGGAACTCTGGTCTAGAACTACGAGAAGAAATCTGGATTACATTCAAGATTTATAGATTAAGCCATACAGATATGAAAAGGAAGACGATTAGAGAAGAGTCGGTCAGTGGCGGAAGGGCAGTTGTCGCAAGCGCAAATCGATTCATTTAAATTTGTTGAAAGTTAATGTTGCAGTAATATTACAAATTAGTGTTGTTAACTCGTAAGGAATTAGCTGAGCATGTTTTCCTGTCATTTAAATTTCCGTGCGATACGAATTGATGGAAATGTTTAGGTGACCTTTTCAAAAGTACAGGAATAGTAAACTCATACAACAATCACAGTCACTACTTTACTAAAACATCAAAAGAAAAGGAATAAATTTTGGTGAAAAATCAGACTTCATTTATAAAACAGTAATAGACATTATGGTTCATGTAATGAAATAATCATATTTTAATTCGTAATATATTTGAGATTTCTTAAATAAAACACATATACTCCAGTCAAAAACCTTGAAAACAGAATGATGAATACTGTATCAAAACTCCTCATATATCCTTCGAGCAGAAACTAGTTATATTTGGGTTGAAATGTCAAAAATATCACGATTTCCATGATTCTTTAAAAGGGAAAGATATGCCACAAAAATTCCCTATGCAAAAATTGTAGAAAATATAATTATCTATAAAAGTTGATGAAGTCCTTTATTCCTTGAGCCACCGTTTATGAGATTTAGTGATCTGTAGACTCTCATGTACTCTTCTGCTCTTATGCGGCATATATTCTGTGTACTCATCCACCGTTCAATATGAACATATATACTGGGTGAAAAAAAGGTAAACACCTACGTATATTTATTTGAAGAGCATGGAAGGATAGTTGGTATGCGTACGGTATATCACCGAATACGACAGTTTGACCTATTTTCTTATGGCCCACATTGGGTGCTAACTCTCGCAGCTGAACATCGGCGTAACCGTCTGTATAGTTTATAGACAATTTTGGTGTACAACCGGTCGCTCAGACGGAAATTAAAGGAAGTAAAATTGGATAATTGGTTGCACCGGTAGCTCAACCGGTGAATTAAAAAATACGTCTATATTCTCGACACTTCGACCAACCCGTTGTCTCACTGACATGGGAACATTCAGCAGCGAATATATGGACTCAATTTTTTTACTGGACTATGAATAGCTTGTCTACTAGGACGAGAATTACGACCAAAAATTGGCGTTAACTCCCCTAAAGTTGCAGTCACCGACTCGGAATTTCGGTAGTAAATTTTAATTATTTGTAAGTGTTATTCATTCGTGTACTTCACCATGATGAAAATGTTTTCTGTCCATTCGTCATTGTCTGTCAAGGCGGTCAGTAGGACCTTTGCCTTTGTGTCAAAGTGCGTCAGTAAGTTTGTTATTCTGTCGCCCTGGTCACCCAGAAGCCAGACATGATTAATAAAAAGCAGAAAGAAAAAAGAATGAAAAAGGAGGGAGAACAAAGAGTAAGAAATACAACTGTTAGAAAGGGGTCTGAGCATTGTCGGAAATTACTGTAATAATTTTGGACCCCGAAAAAGAATTTGGTTGGATTTTTGTTAAAATATTATTTTCTATCATATGAAATTGCGCGATTCAATTTTGTTCACAGTGCGAGCCGCTGTCTGGAATGTTTGCGAACTTGCTCCACTGTGTAGTCTACTGACTCGCGCAACAAACGGTTGCAATGCGATTCTGCTTGTTCATAACGTCGCTGTGCCTGATGTTTAATGTAATCCTCTAAATAAGGGATGTTGAGATCTCGGTGAAGGGTTTTGTTTGAGACATACCATGGGGCATTGGCGATGACTCGTAGGGTCCTGTTTTGCAGGACCTGCAGAGCTCGCATGTGCGTCTTCGCTAGAAAGCACCAAGCTGCACAATTTTGTTAACCAAACTCAATTTTGAAGATCTACTTCAACTACTATACTACTGGACTGCGCGTTTCCACGATAAAGCCGCCGGAAAGTAATTTGAAATTTAGTTTTAAGCATTTCTGCGTGTTTTCGCCAGATCATACCCTTGTCAGGTGTAACTCCAAGATATCTCACGGAATTTTCCCACGGCATCAGAGTCCCATCCACAGAGATCGCTGACGGGGCGCCGCGACCGCTTTTGGGTACAATAGATGGCCTGCGTTTTCAAGTGATTAACTTTGATCAGCCACCGATCTGCCCACTCTGAATGAATAAACAAAAAATAAAGGATTGGTCCAAGGACCGAACCCTGAGGAACACCGGCTCTAATAGGACGTGTTGTTGACAGGACGTGGGTTAATTTTGATTCGAAATTTCCTTCCTTCGAGAAAGGACTTAAGAACTTTTAGAAGCCAGAAAGGAAACCCTTTTGGATTAATTTATAGAGGAGGCCATCATGTCACATTGTTAAAAGTCTTCGCGACATCCAGAAGCACGATGCCAGTACTTTTGTCATTGGTGAATCCGCTAGTTATACGCTCCACCAGTCTAACTGCCTGCAGCTCCGTGCTATGCTCCGACCGAAACCCGAATTGAATGTCGGGAATCATATTATGATCCGACGGAAAATTCTGAATATTACTTAGAATTACCTTTTCAGCGAGCTTAGATGGCGCTGACAGTAAACTAATAGGACAATAATCCTGAGGAAATATCGAACCAGCCTTCTTTATGATCATGATAACCTCGGCCACCTTCCATGCCTTAGGGAAATATTGGGTCCTGAGCATTGCAATGATTACTGTCACGAGATACGTCAAAGTTTTTGGAGAGAGGAGCTTCAGCGGCTTGTAAGTAATCTGATCCTCTCCAGGTGCTTTACGCGCCTTGAGGTCTTTAATATGACCAATGAGCTCGGCTGGTGTGCAATGCGTAATCACAGATGGTTCCGCTGATGTGCTATGCGAATCCTCTGTCGAGGAATCTTCCGTGTAGAGGAGTCCTCTGAGGAGCACCCACTAATACTGGCAGTGATGTCACTGACGCCATTAGCTGTGAAGTATCTTCTAACGGATCTTACAGTATGTTGCTCTTCGACGAGGTCATTATCTAGATCATAGTTGGGTGAGAACTATTCCATAGCATCAGCAAAAACTTCCGTTTTTTCCTCAGTCCTGAAGACCATGCCCCAGGACCGTGGATATGCGGTAGTTGTTCTCGTTTCCCATTTCTGAGCGACCTTCCAGAAAGGAGTACTCGAATCGAGCATTCCCGCTAGAAAATCGCTCCATTGCTCGTTACGGAACTCATGAAGAGCGTTTCTTACTTCATGGACAAGATTGGTGGCTCCACGGATGTCATTTGGGTGACAAGACCTTTTTGCTAATTTAACTACCAGTCCAGTCCGTTTGAGCAGTATCTATTTTGTTCTCATCATCTATGATCGGGATATTGATAAACTCTCTGAGGAGCGATTTGTACATGTAACAATCAACAAGCAACTAGCAGTCCAAAAGGACTTCCAGACCCTCTTCTCGCAGCCTGGCACCACACCTAACATACATCGAAGTGATCTTCAATAGAACGCCTCCCGCCATATTGACCACCACAGACGCCGTAGCAATGCTTAGCATTTCAGCGTTTGTGCTTCTGTAATATTCAATATCACGTTTGACAAGCACTGCGAAGCCTCCTCCTCGTCCATTGAGTCTGTCAGCCCGGATAACATCATAATTCGGAAGAACTAGACGATCCCCCGGATTTAGTAATGTTTCCTGCGACAAGGCTACGTCTACACTTTCGTCCAAAAGAGCTTTTTTGGGAATGTTCCTCAGACCCAAACAATTTCAAAATAGAATTTTGATATATGCTGGCTGACTAGTATTGTATCTAGCTACTTAGTGGCTGGGGAAGTATTGCCTGCAAAGCCTGAGAGGCGCTAATCGGGGGACTAATTATTTATTTGTTGTAAAGACCTCAAAGCTGTTGCTAAGTTCACATTCTGAGAGGTCAGAGAGGAGTTTATAACAGCAAGCGCAGGCATAGTTGCTTCGCTAGCAGCGTCCGCATAAGATTTACTTCGCCTTTCGGCAATAACATGCAGGTTCCCCCTTGGAGTAAACCTACAGGTCGGGCTGTTTGCTGGATGCCCCCCACCACAGTTCGCGCATTTGCGTGCCTCTTGTCCTGTATGAAGGCACAAATGTGTCATTTCAGACACTAAGGAGGCGCAGTGCAGTAAGACTGTGCTTGTCCATACTTCTAGCAGCGATGATACTGCCCATTAAGTCGAGTGTTCTTTTGAAACTCGACTCTGATTGCCAGATCCAGCAGCTCGTGTTGGTTGGTTGGTTGAATAGTGGAAGAAGGCACAGTAGAGTTGTTAGTAGTCGGCTTGGTATTTGTCTTAGATGGCAGTGGAGGGAATTGGTCAGTTACATTTCGTTTCTTTTTCTGTCTCACTGGAGTGAATCCGTCTTCGTTGGTACTTTCATCAGTAGAGGTAAGATTTGTAGCTGTCAGACTGTCGTACGTCCGTTTATTGGAAGTCGTGTTGTCGTTTTTAGAAACTAAAACAGAATTTTGGGAAACTAGGAGAGATACCTGGGTGGTTAACTGTTCTATTCTTTCATGCAGTGCGGTTATTTGGGTTGCTTGGTTCTTAATAATCCCCATAAGCTGCTGAATTTGAGATTTTTCGCTACGATTTTGACATCCCTCAGTTCCGTCACAGGTTCTAACAATTTTTCCTTTTTTCCTTCATTGGCATTGCTTTTGAAATCGGTTCTGTTTGGGGCAATAGCTGGATCTCCTATGGACCCGTCGGAGTCGCATTCCATTTTTAATATCTCGCTTTTTCTCGACTTTATATGAAAATCTCTAGCGTAAAAAAAATGACTTTGACTCTAGTTCCCTATACGGGGCGATACGAAAAAAAAATGTTTTCTTTACTGTATGTTTTGACATTCACAGTTTGGTAATTGATATAAATGTGAAAAAGTGAAAGTTGTCAAGTCCATATTGGAAAAGCCGATATTAAACTGAACACTGTACAGAGTAGGAGAGCTACCCATTCAAAAAAATTTTATTTTCATTCAGCAAAAAAAATGATAGCCATACAAGAAATTAAAATTGGGTAAAGTTAACAATGTCAATTAGCAAAACAAACTTTATACTGTCAATAATATTCATGCTACTAATGCAAAACACCATTATATCAATACATTAAAATTTACAGCATACAATACAGTAAAATAAGAATTAAACCCCAGCTAAAAAAATAACATATACAAAAAATCATAAATCCCCTACAACTCAAAAATCTCACAGATTGTCGTTTGATAAACACAATAAAACGTTCCTTTCATATTATCATTCCGAATAAACGGGCTTTGTGGAATTTCAACGTACCATTCCGCACAGATGCCGCGACAGGAGCATGGGCGCCTGCAAGGGGGAGCCAGGGGGGACCGTACCCACTCCTCTTGAAAATCCGGTTGGACCTTAAAATTTGCTTATTTAGAACGATTCTGGGTAAAATGTTGAAGATTTTTAGGAGTAAGTTTATGCATAACAACATAACAGTTTTGGTATTATAAAACAGGTATAAAAAAAACAATCCTATTTGAATTCATAATATATTTATTCAAGATTACTCAAATAAAACATACACATTGTTTAATAAAACATCTCAAATCCTGTGAAATTCAAACGAATTATGTTCCATCAAAATATTATGAATCAAACACTGTATGTACAAAGCGGGAGAGCTACCCATACCTAAAACTTGTATCATTTACAAAAAAAAAATAGATAGCAATATAAAAAATACAGACTGTTAAAGTTAACGATGTGAAGTAGCAAGACGAACCCAACTTTTATGCTGTCAATAAGATTAATGCAACTAATGGAACAAACAAGTATACCAATATATTCACAGTGTTCAACACAGTAGAAGATCTGTTTTATTTCCTCCGCATCAAAAATCTCACAGATCATATGTCCTCCTTGGATAAACAGCATAAAATATTCATGTTTAATATTTCAACAAAGTGAGTCTGAAAACTTCAACTTTGTGGTGCCGTTCCGTGCGGAGGCCGCAACAGTACACGACTCAGTATGTTACAGTATAACATTCAAATTTATAATAGTGGGTTGAGCAGTAAAGGGCAAAATGCAGAACCGCTTATTGCTTATTGTGTTTTTAATGTGAATATATCACAGTGACAGTAACAGATTCTCTACGTGAGTGCTATGAAACTAATCTCGGTCGCTGGTCGCAGTTTCCTGTCACTGTATTCGCACGCAACGGCACCTTTTACTTGTCAGTTTTTAACCCATCAACCTCTTGCATGATTTGACTACATTACTGGAGGTTTTGAATCACAAATACGTCATTGCCTGGCCACAAGTAAACACACATTCCAATCTGTATATAGTGCGCTATCTACTAATGATTTATTTTCTCTGGAACAGTACCTTGTGAATGGTACTCAAATCGGGTACTAGCTTATTGTTAGGGGGGCACGGTGGTACAGCAGCCACCTTTCTCTGTTGCGTTGAAGTGCTGAAAAAAACAAAAACCGCGTTCAGTGAAGACCCAAACGTTTTTTCGTAAACCTAAAACAAAATTGTACTTCAATTCTGGTCGAAAAACAAAGAATTATGAGTAAATGTAAATTAATAATAACTAAAGAATGACATACTATACCAGAGCATTTTGCTTCATGGCGAGAAGAAAATACGGTCTTATGGTAAGTGAAAGTGAAGTAACAAAATTCCAATTATTTCACATACTGATTGAGGAGACATCAACTGTTTTCAACTGATCTCATTTACTAAATTCGATGGGTGGTTTGCTGGGCGTATTTGTTGTATACACTACAATAATTTTTAGGCATTACAGAGAATTTTGGGGAATCACGGTGAATGGAAAAGTTTCGTGATGTTCAGAATCGCATAAGTAATGACATACCAGCAAAATATAGATGAAATGTAATCAACCAGTGAAAAAATTATTGAAGTCGATCAATAAATTTAGTCTATAGACAATTCATAAGACACACCTGGGCGCCACGTGGTTTTCAGTTGATAACTATTGAGTACTGCCTAATTTCGTACTATTATGGAAGCCGGATTTGTAAAAAGGTTAAGTGAAATGTTGCCTAAAATTGACATTCATCCAGTGATGGAATTTATTTCTTCAAATCGATCATGTACAAGCGCGTAAATAAAAGGTGTGAAACTTTGGATGCAAGTATTTATGCCTACTGCTACACTATCACAACTAGCTGTAAAATATGCAATACCCTACTGAGGTTTTAAACAAATTAGTGTTGTTGCCTAATATGAGTACAGAATTGCGAATATGACTTGATATTTTTCAGGACAGGTAGATATTCGTATCGTGAAGATGCTATTGGTTATGTTCAGTTGGAACGTGCAGGTACTAAATCATAAAATATAGATTGGTCTGTGAAGAAAGTGAGGAAAAAATTGCTGCTAAGCTTGGTGGATGTAAACACACAGTAACGTATTTGATCTGACTTTTGAAAAGAGGCATGGAGGCTGTAAGTACTTCAGCAGAATGTTACAGGATGAAACCGGCGCTATCTAAAGTTGGCAGTAGTATTTTTATTAACGCGAAAGATTTCAGTAACGAAATTACTCATGTCAAAGTGGTCTTCACAGACAAAAGTATATAGACAAATTAATATTGTATTGTCTTTTTTAACTTGTTTTACTAATACACCAACTTGTATACATAATTCGTTATAGCATAATACTCACTTATACATAAATAAATTCATTAGACTTCCTTCAATAAAAAATTAATTGAAAAAACTGGAACTATGAAGGACAAAAATATATAGGCAAAGCAAAACAATTATAGAAAAAATAAGCAAAGTTCATTGAATTATAGAAAACCAACCATGTTTGTGTTAATATTTTGTAGCATAACCATTATTATCAATCACCGCCTGGCACCGTCTCGGCATAGATTGTAGTAGTTTCTTGATATAAGATTCATCCATCTGTCTCCACTTTTGCTCTAAAGCGGCAAAAGGTTCATCCTTGTTTGAATAATTTTTATCTCGTATTTGCTTATCTAAGTGTTCCCATAGATTTTCAATGGGGTTTATATTGGGAGACTGTGAAGGCCATTCGAGAACTGGTATTTTTCATCCAGAAAGAATTTCTTTGCGAAACTTGAAGTGTGCTTCGGGTCATTATCTTGCTGAAAGATTGATCTTAAGGGCATATTGTATTCCATATAGGGTAACATGACATGCTTTAGTATGTCTGTGTATACAAACTTATCCATAATGCCATCTATTCTATGTAAAGGTCCCATCCCAAACCCCGAAAAGCACCCCAAACCATAACAGATCCGCCTCCATGTTTGACAGTGGGCAAAGTGTACTTGGGCTTCAATCTTTGTCCACTAGGGCGACTAACGTAATGAACACCATCTGATCCAAACATATTGAACTTGGATTCGTCACTCAAACATTCCCTCATCCAGTCACAGATGCTCCAATCAAGATGCAACCGTGCAAATTCTAATCGGTCCTTTCGGTTTTTCCTCGAGATTAGCGGCTTCTTATTCGGGCGACGTGCAAATAACTTCAAATCATTCAATCTTCTACTTATAATATAGTTTTCGTAGTAGCTTTTGTCTCGATTTCGGCTTTTATTTCTCTTGTGGTTTTAAACGGATCTTTGAACGAAATTACTTTTATTAATCTAACTGATCTAGCATTTAGCTTTCTAAGCCGACCACTTCTCTTAGGGGCTTCCAAGATACCTTTTTGTTTATATTTGTTCAATATTGCCCAAACTGCTTTATGGTTCAGCTTCAAATTTTTGGCAATGTCGACTTGACGTTGACCATATTTGTATAACTCAATGATCTTAGTTTTCACATCAAAAGAAATTTCTGGACCACGCGGCATGCTCTTAAAATCACTGAACTTATTCCACAATACTTGATGAACACAAACTAATCCTCTGACACGAAACTGTACTAAACTAATGTTGAAAAGAATTTGTGTACATGTTTTTCTCCCTCATAAAAAAGTGCTTATATTCAGACTTGTATAAAAAGTATAAGTATAATGTAAAAATAAGGAGTTCAGTTTTTCTACTAATAACGCATTTGTTTATGGAGCAATGAAGTATGAATTCGTTTTCTAAAGGTATTTAGGTGTAAATATTCATATTTCTCTATATACTTTTGTCCATTACTGTATGTTGTACTTTTTGGTCAAATCACGCTTCATAAGTTTGCACCACTTCTTCCTGATATCTTCATGCGAGGGTACGTAGAAACAAATGTTCATTAGGGGTTGTAATTGTTGTGCTTGTACATTTTGGAACAATACAGTATTTGTAACAACCTTTCGGATTCACAGTCAACTAATTAAACAAATGTTCGTGTGCGTGTTCCCGCTGTATGTGTGCCTTTACCTACACGTGTGGTTAGGAAATTGAGTCGGCCCAGGCCAGGTGTCGTCTGCGGTCCTCTCAACTGGATAGTGAAGTGTGACGTCACGCGTCGCGTTCAGACGGAATAAAAATACTCTCGCGGGGCGCAACTTTGATAGGCTGTAACTTTTTTGTTATTAGAGATAAATGAATAATATTTTCACCGTCTTGTTTCATTTTTCTCAAAATTTCAATTGTGCTGAGGCGTTTGTGCAGCCGTACCCAATCGAAGTTGCAATTTGGAATAGCCACAGAATATTAGATTTTCCCAGTGAAAAAAACGAAGGCAACGCTTTTTTCACAGGAAGCTTCTAATATTCCTGGGCTACAGAAAATCGCAATCCGAAAACGAACTGAGAAAAGCGTTGCATTGACGATGCAAAAAATGTTCACGGTCTTGGTAGTCCGGTTGCATTAGAATGTTTAATTAGAAACGATGTTGAAAATGTTGACCAAAATCAGTATTCAAGAGTGTTTGTTAATGATGTATAGGGTGTCATCATTCAGGTCATTTCAGGGAGCTCAAATTCATAACAATATATATCCAACAAGCGCTCAATATCTTAGGATGCTGCACTTGAGGCGGTAAAAAAATGGATTCTGGAAAAGGATGTTTACGAAAACGCCAAAAGACTGTGGTAAAAAATATGCCCTTGTCGATACTCGCCAATCTATGCTGACATGAATTTAAGTAGGCCATGCTCGTAGCATTGTATCTTAATTGGACATTGTATTTCTTGTTTATAAACATTTTTACTTGTGTTCCTATTGATCTATCCAAATTGTATTTACAACAGCGCGCGATCTTCAAATTTTCGCACTGGTTTTGACGCGGTGTACATGAAGTTTGAATAAAGCTAACAAAGGAAATGAAGAAGGGATACACAAGCCATACAAAACAATTTTTATTATGTTGTAAATCGCTGAAAGGATTATTTTGCTTCAATTCCCTGTAGTAGAAATTCTGGCGATTTTCTGGCTATTACATGGCGTCAGGGGAATAATTAAGAAATTATGGTGCATTAGAAGTAAACTAGGGGGAATTTCTTGTAGAGATTATTCACAGGGGTTGGCCTCTTAGCTAAATGAATATAATACTGAAACAATGACAATTATAAAAGATCAGCTGTTTTGTTGATTGTATAAATTACCCAGTATTCAATATATTTTTTGAGCTACACTTAATATAGGGTACTTGAAATACAAATTATACATTTTCTTAAAAATTACTTGTTTTTTTCTTCTCCAGATTTCGGTTAGATTTCAGATTCATCAACTGCCAGATGTTAATCAGAAGGTGATCAAATAAACGCCACGTAGCTAATTGTGGGCAATCACAATAAAACAGAGCTAAGATTTAAAGAGCTTTGAAAAAGTAAATGATCAACTTATGATATTGATTAAACACTTACAGTTGGGTATTAACAGGCAGGGCAGTAGGATGATTCAAAGGCCTTTTGTTTACTAGCAAACATTTCATTGGTTGCCCGTCCAACTGGCGGTTATGATACGTATCCACGGCTTTCTGGGCGTCCTTTAGATTTTTATAAATGACCTCTGCAACCCCTGGACGAACTAATTTAGCTGAAATCAGTTGACCAATATCTTCAAACAACTCCTGAAACAAAAACAAAAAGTAAAGTACAGTGTAAAAGTTTTGTTTCTAAACATTTTGTAAAAACAATACAAAGTTTGAGAGTAATGCTTCACTGGAAAACCAAATTCAGATGTATTTTATTTCTTCATCTCATTTTAAAATGGTGTTTCGCCCGGAAAACATCAAAGTCTCCAACATAATGTTTACAACTGGCCAATAGAAAGGAAATATGTTATCTTCTTATCTTCAACAAAATACAGTTCTGGTGGTCAATTCTTGGGCGCAGTTGAATAGAATGCCTCCTGGGAAATGCTTCCAGGGGAATGATCCCAAATTCTGACAGCTGTTGACATTTGTTAAACAAGAATATTCCCAGGTAATTTCATATCATTAAATGTTTCATCACAAAGTTTACATCGTCTTTAGTGACGAGACTGATCGACAACGGCACTTTTTCTACCGAGAATGATTCGCTTCAATCAGCGTTCAGGAACACAGTTCTTCGAAAGATAAGAGAACCACGCCCACTTTCTCTAAGTTATTCACCCTCATTCCTAGAATTGACCGCTGGAATGGAATGAAAAGATTGCAAAAAACACTTATGAGGTACCCAATCAAACGTTCAGTGGATCACTCTCAAAAAATCAAAAGTAATTTAATCTCTTGAGGAACAAGAGCTACACTACTAAAATGATAAGTATCTGTTGTTATACCGGGTTGAATCTTGGATGTTGATGGAAAAAACATCCAAAAACTACAAGTCTTTGGAATCGAAGAACAGTCAAAATTCCATGGGTAAACCGTTTTACCAACGAGGAAGTATTATGCAGATCAAAAAAAACAACGGAAATCATTTCAACAGACAAAATACGGGAACTTGAGTATCTGGCACATATTCTGCAAAATGAGCTCCAAGAAAAAATACCCATAAATCGTGGACCAGGTAGGAAAAGAACATCGTGACTGAAAAACCTCAGATTGGAAGAATCGACAGGCACTTAAACAAAAAGAAGAAGGAATGCAATTATCAGACAAAGCTTTAAGAATTATTTTGAACTTATTAGTTGCCGAGATATTTTTCGAGTCTGAGCCATTTTGAATTTAATATTCAGTACTTAGAAAATGTGGCTCAGTTAAAAAAAGATATAACAAAATGTAAAAAATCAAACTTAGAATGCAGGACACTTGAAATTATCTTTATATGTGCAACTGTATCAAATGAAAAAATATAATCAACTAACCTTGATATCATCCTGTGTGACAGTATTTTGCAGATTGCTGACGACGATCCGATGTCCTTCCGGAACAATTACCACTTTCTTCTGTACTCCACCACTGCCGGAGAAAATCCCGTGTGAATCGCCGGCACTCATAGCTGGAGCCCCATCCAAGCGAGATCGCACATTGGAGGAACGTGAGGGCACCACAGACACGGCTGATGAAGTCACCATAGGCATTTCTTCATCGTCGATCACAATATGAGCGGGCTCCTCAAGGTCGATGTAGTGCCTAGGCGCAACGGATCGATGGACTGCAGGTGCTGTATGTACCACTGGGCCAGTCAGGCGGAGAGAACGGTTGCTGAAATAAAAAAAATTATGTTATAGATCAATATCCCATTTCTAGGCACAGATCGTCCTTGACAAATCAATAAATACCTCATTTTCACAAAACCTATGCACTTATTATAAAACCTAGAAATAAAGCTGCCTAATACTGGATAACTACAATATGTTTATCCCAACTAGATAATAGATCATTATCCCCCTAGGCAATAGATATATCAAAATTTCCATATATCTTAAAAAGTTCGCAATACATATTTTCTGTCCACATGCATACGATGTAATTACGAAAAAGGGGGTTTCTGTTTGCGAAAACTAATTTTCATTCGGAATAAAATGTACTAAAGTAAGGCGCCTGCTATAAGAAACTAATTTCATATCATATGGCAAAGGCAAATATACAGTGAGGTTCAAATTTGGCTGACGCCATAATGTGTACGAAAGAAAAGCGCGAGAAGCGTCCAATATCTATGTCAGAAGGTGTGCGCCCATGACGTCCGTAGGCTCGTCACTCGGGTTGTTAGGCAACGAGATGCTTCTATCTCTTTCTAACGCACGCAATGCACTGTTCTCTCTCGTACACATTACGACGTTTGTGTTATTTGAAAAAATCGTTATAATTTACTGATCTGTATTTATCATTCTTTTACGCTAAATCTGAGGTCTCCAATAAGGTAAGAGTACGGAATGGAATGATATAAATAAACTGTACTTAGAATCTTGTGTAGGATACACAAATTGAATAACATACAGTGTGTTCTATTTAAAATACGCAAGTTGGTATCTACTTCAGGTACAATTAGTGCTGCTATCCGTCCGGCATTAGCCGGATATGTTTAGCTTTTTTTCGGTCCTGTCAGGACAAATTTTTATATTTTCAACTTGTCCGACTTTCGCATAATCCTGCAGCACCCGCAGTGAGAGTTTCTTCAATTTTACAGAAAGAAAGCTATAACTTGTTCTTTTTTCTATATATGTATAGATACAGTCAATAGAAGACTGCAAAGTTTTCATTTATCTATTTCATTCATATAAATAAATACCAGAAAATGATTGGGATAAGATAAGACTGGTAAGTGATTACAGTTATAACTGCTCAACAATGTTATAAAACTGTGATTAATATTAAATTTAACCTACTTTTTTATTATTGGCTTTTGTATTTTACTAGATAGCAACCCTACATACAACCGAAAGAGCCGCCATTTTAGAAATTGTGTAGTCAAATTGCTCCCAAAAAGTATACTATAAACTTAAATTTTGATAACTGTCTTACATCAACTTTTTTAGTTATCAATCACAGCAGTTCTGCATTTCCATAATAAGAGTAGAAATATATTTAAATTATAAGCAGTGAAGTATAACACAAGCCTCAAAAAATACGCATACTGACTAAAAGCACAGGAATATCTGTAAGTGGTCAGAAAATTGAAAACATTCAGTCAGTACTTTATACTTCTGAGTATTTTTGGATTGCTTCTAGATTAACATCAAGCTGGTAGTGCAGTCTGATCACAGCCAATATATTTGTTACTCTTATAACAATTTTAGTCATGAATTAATCAATGATAAATCTTACATATGACTGGCATATGTGGGCCACCCACAGCTAAGCTCCTCTCTAAGGGTCTCTCTCATCACTTGTCTGGTAGTTTGCAGATCAACCAATTGTGGCTTACTCCTCAGATCTGGTCTCACCCATTTGTATAATGCTGGATCAAACAACCTCCTTGATTCACTAGTACCTCTATATTCTGGCGATCCTGTTTTTCGTATAGGTACTGTGTTCCTAGCAGGACTACGCTTAGCAGAGGTTCTGCGAGAAGTAGGGATGAGTCCAAGCTATAATAAATAAAAAAAATGCTAATTTGCGTCCTCAAACTTACCCTGTGGTTGTGTGGCCTATTTTAATTATGAACTAGCTGATAAATAGGTATGTATATGATTTTATCTTAAAGAACTTCATAAGGCTGTCTGTCACAATATGAAATGTTGTTCATAATTTGGTACCAAATTATGCGCATTACTGAATTTAGTTCCCAATTTGTTTAAATAAAATCCTTTCTGTCACATAAGAAATTTTTGTAACAAATTTGAAGCACAGTTGGTAGGAAAAAGCTATAATTGTCAACTTCGAACTGCCATATATATACATGAGGCTTTACACAGTTCTACTGTGTAGTTCAAAAATCGGATTAACAAAATTTCTTTAAGCTTCTCATAGCAGTCACAGTGCACTGACATTTAGGCTTCTGTCTGTGTGGCAAAACATGAATTTGTGAAAAGAAAAGGAACTGCTACTAAAATCCTCAGAACAGTCAACGTTGTGTGCAAGGCATTCACCAATAAGAAACACGATGTGATGCTGTCAACTGACCTTACTAAAGAATAGACAATGCAACAGTGTGCTAAAGGGGTCAATTTTGGATCTTGTTTTAAAGAAATTATATATGTTGGACCCTCCAAGACTACATTGCACATTTTGAATTGTACCTCAAATACAAATAGTGTGATTATCTGTATGCAAGGTACTGCACATGAACTAATAGGCGATTATAATAAGTGGGGACTAAACTGTAATGTGCAAAAGACTTGCATGGAAACACCAAAATGTAATTAAAATCAGAAATGAGAGGGTTCCAATACATCGAGAAATAAGATATCCTGGAGTTGAGCATAACAAAAGACTGACAATAAGATCAATGCTTGCTTTTGTAAAGCTAAACCAGAGAGTAGAGGGAAAAATCAAGGGTTGATGATGATATGATGATGAAAGTAATTATTGTAGCGTAAGTGCATTCTTCTTATTTTGGTTTATGGATGTGTGCAGGAAAATTGGATAAACTTGAACTGCTCAAAGGTCTACTTGAAAAAGCAATGCTTGAGACTTAATAAGTCAGAATGTGAAATATACAAAATTGAATAAATTGATTGATTATATGATAATGATGTTGGTGGAAATATGTGCAGTACTGTGGAATTTTTTTTTTGTGAAAAGCGTACATCATCTACAGATTTTTTCAAAAGGATTTATTTGGCTACTCTCTATACTTTTGAAAAAAACTGTGAAATCTAAAGTTCTACAGTGCGCAAAAATACCGTGCAATTACACAATTCAAGCAAAACAGTACTCACCTCTTTCCTTATAGCAAGGTTAATATCATTTTTCACCTCATTTTTCTGCTTTGCCTTATTCGTCACCAGACTAATTTTACCATTGCTATCAATTTTCTGTAAAATTCCACTGCCTATAACCTTTACAGTAGGGCCTTCAGGCCTGCCAGTTCTAATTTTGTTTATTTTGGCCCTCGCATCAACAGACTTCTTTGATATAATGTCTCTGGCATCAACTACATTTTTCTTCTTTAGAATAATTTTTTGTCGGGCATCCTGTACCTTCTTACGCACCACTCTCTTTTCGACGCCGTTTTTCGATTTCTGGTTCTTGTTTCTCTGATTTTGAAGCTTTTGCGATCTCAATCTACTGTATTTATTGCTGGAAATAGAAGGTGGAGATCAATGGAAGTCAAGTTTTGTTTCGCAACAAAAACAGATGCTTAGATAGATAGACTTACCTTGCTTTTTGCTTGGCCATTTCGCGGAATTGAATACTAAACGTATATAAATAAGGAATTCACACTTAATGTTTGTGAATAAATCAATATTTTATGGATTAAACGTTTTACTAAATGAAAAGCAAATTGAACGCGACGGCCATTTTCCTCACGAAGACACAACTCGACACTTGTCACTTGACAGGATTGACAGCACACATTGACACCACGAGAAACAGGGTTGTCAGGCGTGGCGATTTTTCGATAGACTATAGTATGGTGGTAGCGAGATTCCAGCAAATTGGCGATAAACATTTTTGACGCCAGTTAAGTCGTAATTGATTTTTGACGATATGTGTATGGATTAATGGAGCATGAAAGAAGGACCAGCGGAAGTTCTGTGTCTCTGCGATTATTACCGATTTATACGATGAGAAAGAAAGAGAGAGACAGAGAGAGTCGCCCAAAAGATTACTACGGAAAGGTAAATACGCAGAAAATTCGTTGTATATGTATACAACGTTCGACACCCCACAATTGGCAAGTGTGTCTCCTACATGATGGGATGAACTTTTTACTGTCGGACGTTCGACGCATGGCGGCGCCAACGTCTATTATCGGTGTCAGTGTCGCGCTTGAACTGAAGGAAAAATTATACAAAGTGAACTATGAAACAATTTCTTCGAGCGCCGAAAAATAATTTCAGATGTCTGCAGCAACCAAAACTTGAGTCTGTCAGAAGCCTCAGAAATGTCGAAAAACGTAGCATGACCTTTTTTTTTTTTTTGTTTTTCGACGATTTTCAAAAACTGCAAAGCTTTTTCGCCATTTTCGTAGCAGTAACCTAGGGTCAAAATGCTGATAGTACTTTCAGAGTTATCATATATTTAATAATTTTTGTTAGTTATGAAATGCAAGTCAATATATCTCTCAACTAGTCTTGCATTGCAACAGGACATTATAATGAAACAACTGTAAGCACTTCATAATTTATAATTCAATAAAAGACATATCCTTAGGCCAACCATAGCTCACCTGCGAAACGTAGCAAAATATTAGCAATATGAAAATAGTGTTGTTATGGCAGCATATGTTTTGTATGTATACTAATTTAATTCATTCCCCTCAAAAGTTAGTTACGAAACATTCGTTATTATGAACAGGTAGGTATTCAAATCAAAGTACTTCTCACCTACCACCACAATCACAGTAAACTGTTTATAACCTAAAACCATCAAACGATCAAACACATGACATCTCGTGTGGGAGCGTAACGAACCATGCTTCCAACGTTGTAACGTCCTTTGAAGCGGGTCAAATTTACCGACAAGAGCCCGAACATGCCATGTGGCGAACGTTGGACACATGCAATCCGTCAGGGCTCTCCCACACGATGTGGCGAAAAATGGCGATGTGTCCAACATTGTAAGGCATTCGCCACATCGTATGGGACTGGCTTAACTCGAGAATCGCACAACAGATAACTGTCAAATGTCAAGACTAAAATGGCATAGCGCCAATTTTGAAATCGCTGGTTCTCATTAGAGTTTATCTAGATCTTTCAAAATTCGTCAGAATCAAAAGCAGGTTTAGGTTATGTCAACACTAATTTAATTCTGCGTCTTTCGTTACTGTTTGCTATAGCTTAAGGCACAAAATTATGTTTAATGCATACTAATAGATGCTACGATAACGAATTTCTCTCATATTTTTTTCAAATTATCTTCACTAAAACTCTAAAAGAAAAGGATAATAGATGAAATCATAAAATCAGCAGATATAGAGGTATGCCTGTAATAAAGAAATGCACTTTTGTTTCTAATTTTATATGCCCTTTTCGAAAAATAATTCCTAAAATAATTAATGGCGTAACATATAATTATTATTTTGAATGAGGATTCCAAAACTTAAAATCACATAAGCCTAAGCTTTGATGTGCATTGTTTAGTTTAATTAATTTAGTGGATTTTGGGTACTAATGCTCATTTCTTTTGTTTTCTAAATTTGCCCGCGGCCACCCGCCACAGATCGCGGCACAGCTGGAGGGAGGGGATGACAGTGACAGAAATGACGCATGATCAAAGAAAACGTCGAAACGAAAAGAAAAGAAATATGGCGTCTTGTCGTCAGGATCGCTCTTGCTGAAAATTAAACAAATTCATGAAAATTTCATGTATTACGATGCATCAATCATTTTAAACCAATAAAAAGCAAACTACAATATCTAAATTATATAGTATTGTAAATATTTACAAAGACATTTAGTCGTAAAGCTCAAAAATTAGGAGAAAAGTAGGCTGCAAAAATGGCCACAGGATCTTCCCAAACGTGAAGTGCTACAAACTTCGTGGTGTCTTGGTGGAAAGTGTAGATTATAATCCGTGATCGTCGGGGTAAGTGTCTGAATTGTTTTAAATTTCTGGTGTGTCGTTTATTTGCTTAATTCACTTGACAACCACTTATTGACCCACCCAAAACATTACCAAAAATTCTCCATCATTTTCATTTGTTCAAGGCCACAGACGTCAAATTAACCAAAAAAATCAAATTCTGAGAATCATTCACCTTCCGAATTGAAAACCTACAAACTATTTATCGCTTTATACAGCCTTCATAATTTGCAAAATGGCTAAAACTAAATGGTGATTGCTTCTTGTCATGCATGCCAACACAAATGACAACATAACCAAATAAAATTATTCAAATTTTGAGTATGTGGACTTTCCTTAGGCCGCCTCAGCCTTCAGACAATCTAGCACTGACTACTATGTGCTGGGTTCTTGAAATTTCGTAAAATGGAAAAGAGTCGACATGGCAAACATAAGGAAAAAACTAAGAAATCTAAAAAACGTAGACGTAGAGACGAAAACGGTTCCCCAAGTAATACTATTGGTCCTGTTAAGCCTTTGGTAGAATACTCTGATGTAAGTTCAGAAGACCTCTCAGGTCCAGAGGCTGGTGAAATACAGAGTGGTGAAGATGCCACACCAAATCCAAATGCTTACAGTGGTGAAGATGGTGAACTAGAAGCTGAAGACATGCATAGACTGAGATATTCCCGCATTGAGGAAGAAATGTATATAAGAGAAAGAGAGCGTGCCCTGCTGCTGCACTCACCAGGTTTGATTATTTTTTTTAATTTTGATCACTGTTTCTTTAACATGATCTAATTTTGGAATCATAAATATTTCATACATTTTTAAAAACAAATCTTTTATTATAGTATTGTGCAACCCAATTAATACTAAAAATATATAGATAATACTTTTTGTCTTAAATGTTATGTGTAAGAGGAGGCTAAAACTAACAGCAAATTTTCAGCAGCAAGTTGAGAATAACCCTATCCTATGATAATCCAGATAGTATGGTAGTGTATTGGATTTTCATCCAATAAAAATATTAAAGTGTGTTGTTCCCTCATGAATTGCTGATGCCTCTTTTCTAGAAAATACCTAAGAAATTCTAAATAATTTTATTGTGGCAATGAAAAGCTATGTAAGAAAACCAACTCTAAAGGGTTTTCATCCACTAAGAAATAGTCAAATATGTATGTGTTTCATTATGAATCTCACATACCTCTGTTCAACATCTATTTTATAAGATTTACAACAAATTTTAGATTATTAGCTCAAGGCACTGGAAAGTTATGTAGGGAAATAACAAATTTTCTTGAGATTTCAGCCAATATAAAATACTGAAGTGTGTTCCCTCATACATTTTATTCTAGAGGATTTGATTGGGGGAATAAAAACTTATGTAGGGTTGAATCAAACCATATATGTTTAAAATTTCTCTTTATTATACAGTATTCTCATCCCAACGTTGACCTTCTTCAAGTACAATCAACACACTTTGCCACAATATATATTCATAGTTTTAGAGGGCTTCTAACCATGAAACAATACTTAAGTGTGTTGTTCCCTCGTGAATGGCCTATACTTCATTTCTGGATGTATTCTAAATAAGTGTGAACAAAAAACCAATTTCAAATGGTTTTCATATAATGACGGATATGCTATTTTCTATGGGCTGGAGAAACTGATTTTGTTTCTTTTGGAGAATTTACGGTTTACGGTGTATTGTATAACTTACTATTTAGGACTATATGTGTTATATTTAAAGAAGCTCATCTTATTGATCAGTTACTTTACCTAGACCAATAAAAATATTCTTCCAGGTCCATATTAAGAACCAAAGGCTGGTGACTTGCTTATTCAGATATTGAGGAAATTCATTGAGGATGTCTCTCAAATTTACATATACACAATTATTTCATGGCCAGATCACAGGCAGTGTAAAAGGCAACATTGGCTTGGTGATACCCATCTAAATGGTTTGTCATTTGAAATTGTATAATTTCCTTTGCCACAATCAAATCCTCTAGAATTTCTTGGAAATTTTCTAAATCATTTCAGGCATGGGTTATTCATGAAAGAAGGCCACTTTTTGTATTTTTATTCTGTTAAAATCCAATATACAACCTGGACTATTTTAGGATGGAGTTGTTTTCAATTTGTGTTTTTTTGCTTAGCTTTAAAAAATGTCAGTATTTTCAATGTGGTAACTGTTACCCAATATATAAATTAAATTTTCTTCATTATGATAATGGCTAATTTTAGAAATGTGTTTTTTACAATGAAATAGTAACATACTGCTAACAGTAGCAAATGCTATGGGCCCTGTGCACTTGCAAACCTGCGCACCAACCATAAAAAAAGTTTAATAGGAGAGTGATATTTTTTCATCTTTGCAATAGTAATAATGGGGAAGTTTATGTCAAAATTAATGAGTATAGTTCAAAATTGCAATACATTATAAATTAATGCACTTTACTGCATTGCTCAACTGCAGTGCAGCAAACATGTTGAAAATGAACATGATGAGCCAAGAACATCTTAATAAATTCATGTTGATAAATCTGCAATATGTTTCGCTCAGAGAAGTCTAAATTTACTAAAATTGAATCTAGAAAATTTCCGTTTTAAGAGTTTTGTTTAATTTAATACCATAAATTTGATAACCTAAAGCAAACCAAGGGTACATTGATATAATTTGCTACAGGCCCCATGCTGGCTTAATTTGGCACTGACTGCTAAACAATAAATGTTTAGAGAATTGAGATATTTGTACTCAATGAGTATTTGCTCAAACCTATGATTCTGTAAATTGGAACAACTTTCTGGATACAAAAGATGTAGTAATATATTTTTCTAGCCTTTTTACGTTTATGTAGTGATTTAAAAAAAATATTAGATGCTATGCTTCAATATTTTTCATGTATGAGGGAAGATATCTAATAGGCATTAAACATGTTCAAAATAAAAACCTTGGTAAAATGTAACTCACATAAAAATGATGAAAAACAAATGTTGTGCAGTTGATTTTTTTTCTTGTTTTGGAGTAGTATGCAAGAACTGCAAAGATATCCCAGATGAAGTTGTACAATTTGTACTTTACATCATATTATGAATCCCTTAAACAAGACTTCATTGTTGAACTGTGGCAAAAGCTCAAATTAAGTATCATAAAGCAGTTCAAATGTAAGAGATGGAGTCAAGTAGATTAATTTAGTGCATCTTTGTTATGTAAATCTAATATAAGTACGCAAAAATTGTGTCATTGGTGATCAGTAACTCATGTGAGATATGGCACCTGAAATTTTTACTGCATTCTAAAGTGGCTAAAAAGAGGTGTAGCAGAGATGGATGGTTCAAACATCTTTTCCTCTCCAAAAAATGTTGACTGCCCTAAAATTATCAGTAACTAAAAAATCGAAGCCTGGAAAGCTCCGACTTTTTTTGTGTTTTGCTTATTACTGTACCAGCATTAGAAAAAATTTCAAAACCTGAAAAGCTTAGGAAGCATAATAACCTTATTTCAAAATTTTTCCTTGCCAGGTGGCATAGAAAATAAAGAAAATGAATCTGTGGTTTTAATAGAAATCCCATTTCTCCTAATCAGTAATATACAGGATGCTTCCTCAGAAATTTTTGATTTTTTGCTTACAACTTTATTACCATTGAACTAATTTTCAAAACCTGAGCACCTTTTTTATTCATTGCATGTTAGCATTAGTAACCTTACATTAAAATTTTTTCAAAATTGATCCTATACTTTACGAGTTATAGGAGGGCCCAGTAGTGATCAGGCAGAAGATAGACATACTGACAGCAATGAGTGACATAGTTTTTTGTGATGCACATTTAACATCTAAAAAGAATATCTTGATTTTGAAGTTGTTCGCGATTACAGTACCTCCCCGCTAGTTGAAATGTGAAAAATCTATACCTACTGTGAGATCTATATATTGGGTTGGCAAGAAAGTACTTTTGGCTTCCACTAATATGTGTTATGTCTGTTTTGTTCCTCTTTTGTCAATGTTTGATTTTTCATTTAAGGTTTGATAGTTGACACTTTGACACAAACTCTGTGTAATTATGTTTACAACTGTTATTTTACAGACCATTTTAACAGGGAATGCAAAATAATAAACAGTTTTGCCACATTTTACATAAAACCAAGAAAGCAACGGAGGTTTAAGGTCTTTAGATTTTTCACTTGAAGGTTATCAGAGTTATGGCTGTCTTCTGAAGTTGTTGATGACCAAATGGCAACCATAATTGAATCGAAGAGAGATTGCAAAAAGGTTAAATGTATTGCACACAACAGTTGAAAATCACATAAGATGTCTTGGACTTGTAAAGCTCTTCATTTGGGCTCCACGTGAACTGAAAAAAATTCATATAGCACAATGAATCAATATTTGCGATGCGCATTTAAAACTTTGATTGAAAAAATCGTGGTCCAAGCATGATAAAATAGCTCATATTGTGCAAAAGGCTTATTTTTGCACTCCAAGTTGAAGTTAACCTTAAACTGGCAGTTTGAAACAAAATCACTCGGAATTTGTTTTTACAGTAACGTAAAAGCACCAACTATCAAACAAACAAAAAATGTACACAGATAAATAATGAAACAGATATTTATTTATTTATTTATTTGCTTAAAGTCTCACAAGACACCCTAGAGTAATTAGAATGCAAGACAACTTAAAACTAGAGTAAAACAACGCGAGGCAACAATGAAATATAACTTTTAAATGAGCCAAGACTAGAACTGAAAAACTAAAATTAAAACAAAAAAAAAGTTATCACATTTATAATACTAAGATACAAAAAAAACTAAAATTAAAACAAAAAAAAGTTATCACATTTATAATACTAAGATACAAATCAGTTTCAATAAAATTCATCACAGGTAAAACAATATAAAATAATAAAACAATAAAACAACCAACAATAGGTGCTTAGACTAAGACCTAGTGAGATCTGTTAATGACAATAAGTTTTTAAGTGAATTCACGTCTGTATTAAAAAAGTCAATATCAGTTTTTTTAAATAGCTCATTGCAAAGCATTAACATATGACTCATGGGATTGTCCAGAGGGTACTTAATATTAAAAAATGTATCTCTCTTGTACCTAAGAATCACCTTGGGAACAACAATAGCTACAAAATTCAGAAGATTACATTTATGAAATTTAATATTATGTATTAAGTAGTATATAAGAATAATAGACGCAATCTATTGATGAAAATCAAAATTACTTCCTTGTCAACCCAATAAATTTTATTCCAGCTGATCTACAATGTATACTTTGTTGCACATATCACTGGTGCTTTTTTAATGCACTGCTTTTTAGCCAGTGCACCAACTTACCAATCGGCGTATCACACTGGGGTGCGTTTGTAAGTCACTTGGTAATGTAACAACCCCAATGTAGATTGATAGATGAAATTTCACTCTGGAATTCTGTGTAACTTTATTTTTAGAACGCCTAAAGTATTACAGCGTCATGTAGAGATGATGATAGCCCACTAATTTCTAACCACGTTTACTGTGACCATTTTTTATTACAAGAAACACTATGGATATGAGATAGAAAATATATTTTGCCATTTTTGAGCTCTTTTTGATAAGCCAATAAAGTAACAAACAATAAAACATGACAATGACAAGTGACCACACTCTTATTACCAAGGTCTTGAGCACAGGAAGAAAAGAGCACTTTAGACGTTCCAGAAAGATTACTTTGTTCCATTTCCGAATGCATGGAACAGGTATGTCAAACAATTACAAACGCTAAGTAGTACAGGGTACACTCTATAACAATTCACGAACGCAGCACTGACGTATCACATTTGAAAACGGGTTTTCATATTAAACACATTATCCTCCAATGGTGTACAGGGTAGTCTGCACTGAGGACTCTAAAAAGCACAGATTACGCTAACGAAAATAATTAAACTGAGTCAAATATGCCTTAGTAAAATGTTCCTTGTTAATGAGATACATCTTCAGCAACTTTTTTCAATATCTCAAGCTGTTTTATACGATTATATTGTACTTTTTCTTGACCGCCTCAGAAGGAGGGAGATGTTTTTCGTGCATATGTATGTGGCTGGACAAAAAATTCTATTTACCGGGCTACAGACCAAAATGTATATGACTTGCTGTAAATTCAATGTAGATTATTATTTTATGAGGAATTATAAAGATATTAATTTACAAAATGCATGCAAAAATCTAAAAAAGGGACCCAGCTCAAACGGGTTGAGGGATTTTTATATATGTGGTGTTGTTGGATTCATCTTAGTAGTGCGAGTGACAGTGGCTATATTAAAATTTTATGAAAACAAAATGGCGGATTGTAATAAAAAAATAGTCTTGAGGGCTTAATTGATTTAGATAGATGAGGTGTCTCTAGATTTTTCAGTTACAGTTACTGTAGTCGGGATGTTTGTATTTTTAAAAATGTACTTGGTTGCATGGAATGTAGAAGTCGTAAGTTACGGCCTATATTCTCTGTATCTTATGTCATTATTTTATACTGTTCCTCTCTATTGAAAACTATGGCTAGAATGATGATTTTCAAGTAAAAAAAAGGTGCTGTACATTTATATCAATTAGATATGAGCTATTTCCATTTTATTGCACATTCAATTCAAATGGTGGCTCCAGAACAATGCATTAAGAGTGGAATAACTCTATGTTAGTATGTTGTGATCGAGAAATGAACGTAGTCGAGGATGTTTGACAAGCATATTTAGATTGTAAAATAACCACAACGGTCATTTCTTGCTGGGTACATATACCTGTGAGTTTGTTCATTATCTGCATTTCAAAAAGAGTGTTGTTCATAAGTTTAACGTGCATGTTTGTGTGTTGTCTGTGTTTTTATTATGAACGACATAATGGTCCTTGCTCCTTGGTAAGTTTTTTGTCGGTACCTACCAACATTTATAATTCAATAATAATATTTTATTTATAATGATAATGCATTATAAATAGTTGAAGGTTAGCCTGGACTATTTTTTTTTTCATTCACCTTATTTGCACAAATGTCATATACATAGATACGACTTTTTCTCCGAGTAACTTTATAGTTATTGCAAACGTTCTTTAAGAAATCCAAATACAATCGACGATTTTAGATCGAAAAATCGCTTCAGCGCGAAGTCTGTAGTTTTTGTTGTTAGTAAATGGGTCAGAATCTATGAGCCAGGTTTTCGGCTCTGAAAATTCCATGTTGATCGCATGTATGAAATTTTTGCATTTAAATATTTCGCAACATACGTATTTTGAGCTTTCATCAACATTTTTCTTTTTATTTTAGTATTTGGTTTTTCCTTAAAAGCCCAAAGTTCACAATTTTGGCTATTCTGTCCAAAATTCACCCACTTTCGAGTATTTAACTTTTTTATTTTTACATGAGTGCATGTTCGCACCACTTTCTACCTCAAATCTGTACTAAAACACAATAAGACACAAAAAATATATGTAAAGAAAAGTTTGAAATTTGATGACAATTTGGAAGATTGAGATGTTTCTCGGACTTCCGTTCTCTATAAAGTTTTTTGTTTCACCACTTTTCGATTGATGCTATCTTCAATCGTTATCAGGTTTAGTTTCAACACTTGGATTACTGTAGGCATTTTCGCATCATTATTATGAGGCCGCTTCCTTGTATTTTTTCTAATGCCTGACTGTTTGTGTAAGATCTTAGCATGATCCCACAATATTTTGTGATGTTTTGCCAAGTGTGATCTGCTGTTAAAGATTTAGTCGATCCTCTCCGTTCCGTGTTGGGTTTATGTTCTTTTATTTTTACTGACAGCGGTCTTTTTGTTTCTCCTATGTATATCTTTCGCACTCACATGGTACTTGGTATACACAATCATTGGTGTCTTTGTAAGGATACTGCGAAGTCTCTTGTTCAGATATACTTTCAAGGGACACAAATATCGCTAATAATGCATCCAGGACATGATATAAACAACACAACTTCCATGGTACGGAGTTAACTTCCGAGTCGGAGATTCGAACCCGCGAGCCCCGGGTTACCAGCTCGACGCGCAAACCACCGAGCTATCGAAGCTCCCTCGATGGCCTCATATAGAATAGCATAAGGCCTTTACGCTCCAGGTTATTCACCCTTTAAGTTTTGACCTAAGCAGAGATCTTCACATATCTCTATTAAAAATCCCAGTAACTGTAATGATGTCGCAACTAACTCTACAAATGACTGGTAGAAAAAGAGATCGGCAATCTATGACGAGGAACGCAAAGCCTTCCATGCTAACGGGATAGTAGATTTATTTATTTTGAGAAGTTTTTGGAGATTCAGAAGCGTCACATGTAATTTTTACTAATGAAATATATTATTTTATATTGCTAAAGCTGTCGACCCATAGGCTGTTTGACCAACTTCATAAGCGGAGTACCTTTAATATGAGTATTTCGCGTTTCTAAATACCGGTTTTGCTTTTTTTAAGGAAAACTTAGTATTCTTAACTAGCTATCAGTCGGGTCGTGTTTGCCCTAAACTATTTTTGGGTAAATGATAATAGGTTGAGTTTACCCTAACCGGTCCATTCACAACCTTTCAGGGTCCTCCCTCAAGCGTGAATGACGTGGTAACATGTACGTTAAAAAGTTAAAGCTTGGTAAATAAGAATAAATGGACACTGAATAAGAAGTTTTGTGGTGTTTTATTGAGAACATATAAGTTTAAAAGCGAAAAATGCCATGCTTGGGGTTGAAGGGGGAGACTGGCGTTTTGGGAATGCTCTGTTTAGGGTAAAATCTTATTGATGTGGGTGGACATTGAATACTTTAAAAATATAATTTGTGGCATAACCTCCCAAGTCGATTCCCCATTTGTCTACCAGTTTGAGTCGTTTTCTTTAAATTGTTAATTTATACATACATTGTATAGGACGCCGACATCGTCTGGACCCCACGATGCTCCCCCGATCCCCAACGCCCCCCATTCTCATACGAGAACGACAACTGTCTATTTCTTCGCCATCGTCACATTCGAGTGGCACCAAACGAGGGGCAGTTAGGGGAGCGGAATACGTACCTGTGCCCGATGACCCTTCGGTGTCTGCAGAACCGGACAAGAAAAAGCGAAAACGAAAGGAGAAGAAACACAAAAAGGACAAAAAGGCGAAGAAAAAAAAGAAAAGGAAACAACGGAGCAGGAGTTCCAGTGTGGAAAGCGTAGAGAGCGGCGGTACTGTGTCCGACGGTAAGAACTTTGTCTAAAACTCATTACGATCTTTGGTTGTTTTTTTTCATGAGCTTTCTATTAACCCACACGCTGAGACATCGCTCGAGGGATAGCGGACATCTCAAGTTTTGTAATTAATTAGCAGCATTCACCATTCATAGGCTTTTTTATACGTAGTCAAACATTTCAATATTCAGCTCAAAAGGTGTTGATTTTGATAAATGGATTTTTTTCCGTTACTCATAGATAATTTTTTATCTTGCAAAATTTCAGCATGCCTTAAATATGTGATATTAATGATTTGGCGTGTAAGGATATATCCGTGAAAACTAAACTTGAAATTTCTTTATTTTAAGATATAAAAAGGTCTTGGTCCATACTACCTACCATTTCACTTTGTCCCATAATACCCTGTATAGGTTATAAAAGCTCATTATGATGTTTTCCGAAGACGTCTATCCAAGCCTGTACCATCTCACTAATATAAAAATTAATAAAATTGTCTCTCCAGAGATAGTGACAATTAATTTGTGGGGAAAAAGTGCTATATGAGTAACTCCTGATAATGCGTGGTCCACTAGTTAGGATCTCTCAGAATCCGGATTAGGAAAATTTTACCTCCTTATTGACATTCCATGAATGTGCTATGTGCATAAATATGCTGCTCTGGCAGGTAATTTGACCGCCAGGTAATGCTTTATCGTGTCCAAAAATTTAATACCGTTATTATCAATCAAGTATATTTGGGTTCACAACTAGAGGCTTTTTTGTACATCTCTCATCGGTGTTACAACCGCAACTGATCATTCCTTTCTTTTCATCTTGTAGATTCCGTATCTGTGAAAACTCCGCCTTTGCAACCAGTGTCAAAGGATACTTCTCCAGTTTATGAAGTGCACCATCATCGACGTCACAGTCATCACAAATCAGAACCCACCATCACAGTAACGGTAAGTTTAGGTTTGATATTTTAGAGTTGGATAAGCTATTAATCAAATGTCGGGCGAATGTTCTTTATATCCTTTCTACTAAATGGATTGGTGTCTATGCAATGCTACCACTCCTTTGTGTTTATAATTAGAACCTCAACCGAATTTACAAGAATGTGAGTTCTTAATTTCATTTCCCACGCCACTAGATAGAAGTATTGTAAACGCGAAAAATTTCTAAAATATGTTTTTTTGATGTTACATGAAATTTTATTCAAGAAAAACAATGTCACTCATTTCCTTCAGTCTGCCAGCCTGCCTGTCTGTCCACTAGTCCTTGGATTCTCTATAACTATAATTTGTATCCTTCAATATATGTATGGAACATATTGTTAAAAGGTTCCAAGAAGTGGACCAGGGACCGTAACAATCGATCCTGGTGCATGTTCTCCAGTATCAAATGATAGCAATATCGCATCTCCTGAAGATCGATATATCAGGAGTCCTACACCACAGCACTATTCTAGGAACAACATATCCCCTGGTAAGTAAACTGGAATTCCATACAACTTTCAAGAAAATGTCATATTGAATGCTTAGGCCGTCACCGAGACGGTGCAGGTTTCGGCACTTGTTAGTAATTTGTAGGATTCGTACTTCTAATTAACCACAACAAAATTGGAGTAGATTGGTCAAGTAGTTTTTGAGAATTTATAATTGTTTATCCCAAAACACCTGTTTTCTGGCCATCACTACTAGTTTATTGAGCAATATACAGGGTTAGTTCAAAGTGCATTATATAGCTTAAAACACTAGTTTACCTTACCGATATGAATCGCAAACCATTCAGGAAGATAAATGTTATTTTTATGCAAACAAGTATTGGTTACGTTTTTCTTCTAAACAAATTCAAACATTTCGTATTTGTAAGTAATTCGCAACAAAATATGATAGGCACATCCGCTTTGTTTCACAATGTGTATAATAAATATATATATATATATATATATATATATATATACAGGGTGTCCGCAAAGTTGGGGTTTTCCTTTACACGACGTGTAGATCTTGAAAACATAAGCAATTTTTCTTAGTACCATATATACACCAATGTCTTAAGGGAACCGAGATAAAGGGCTCTGCAACATCAAAAATATCTGAATACCGTCCTGTAGCCGCGACCCGCCGGGATATCCCCGACACCCCGACTGGTACAAGGTCTCAAACCGACGGCAGAACTGGGTCGGGGTCAGTGTGTCTGGTTACTATGCAACCTTCAACCGACGGTTACAGTCACGCGTGTAGAGGTAAATGAACTCGTATAATCGATTGCGTTTCAAAAAACGACAAGCACTAGAGACGTGGCTAGAGAAGTGCAAGTATCAAAAACTAAAGTGTGGCAAACGCTGCGTGAAGAGGGGCTGTATCCGTTTCACGTCCAACGTGTACAAGCACTTCAACCTGACGATTTTCCAGCAAGAGTGCGGTTTTGTAAGTGGTTGTTGCATCAACATGACAATAATCCGGACTTTTTGAAGTGCATATTGGTGACAGACGAATCTACGTTCACGCGTAATGGGGTGAATAACTTTCGCAACAATCATGTTTGGTCATTTTCAACAAACATTTTCGGTGAATGTTTGGGCTGGCATGGTGAACGGTATGCTCATTGGACCATTTATACTCCCAAATCGATTGGACGGGATGCAATACCTAGACTTTTCACGCAACATTTTGCCTTCCTTGTTAGAAGATGTGCCATTAAGACAATCAATGTGGTTTCTGCGTCTGCTCGGTAGCGCTTCAGCTGATTTCATTTTCTGTTGGAGCGGTATGATTTCGGGCAGAGACGTACTTAGCTCTTCTCGTCAACTGGAGAGTGAGTACTTTTTCCTTTATTTTTTTTTACTTGGTCGCCCTCGTTTCACTACACATTACCTTTGTTATTTCAAGGGTAGTTGTTTCTGAAAAGGAAAACCCCAACTTTGCGGACACCCTGTATATATATATATAAATATTTGAAATTGTTTAGAAGAAATAAAGGTAACCTTTACTTTTCGCATAAAAATTAACTTGCTCCAATAAAACCAGACTTTACAATTATTTTAGGGAAATTTGCTAATATGATTATACTAAAATTCAGCCCAAGTGAGACCACAACATCGCAAACTCGAAGCGTGATCAGAGCGTGATCGATGTTACCGCAGAGGGTCTCATTATAGTTCAGGCATTTTACGGTTTGAAGTTGTAGTTTGAAGCGCTTGCTTTTTCAACTAATAGTTTCATTTCGTAGCTTTTATTTTTCTTTTTTTAAACTTTCCGCCCCTCATATTGATGCTTTTGTTAAATACAATGTCCTGAAGTGGCTCCAATATAAAATCCATGAATTTGGAAAACATGCAGTTTCGAACATTTTTTAAGACCTAGTTAGACTGTAGCAATACAAAACCCGCCGTGGCGTGGCGTCGAGTGCATCGCTGTTATAAGTTCTGTTATATCTGGTGTTTTTTGACCATGTCTTCTACCGACACAGCTGATGAAGGGAGAACTACATTGAGTCCACCCAGAAAACGATCAAGACAAAACCGTTTGAGCATCGAAGTGAAAGAAATTATTTTAAATGTTTACAAATGTGAAACGGAGGAAAAGCCTGAGCTCAGCGTCAACGATGTTGTGCAGAGGGTGGCGAATAAAGTTGGAGTTTCTCGTGCATCGGTATTTAGAGTACTCAAAGAATATAAATTACGGAATGCATTTGCTGAACCTAAAACGAATCAGAACCGTAAAAGCCAAATTAAAGAAATAGATGATGCTGACAGACATGCGATCAGAAGGAAGGTTCATGAATTCTTTTTCCAGAATGAAATTCCTACAATTGATAAGATTTTGAAAGTAGTGAATGAAGACTCAGATTTGCCGAATTTTAGTAAAACGACGTTCTACAGGCTATTAAAGGAACTCAACTTCAATTGGCAGAAGAGAGCCCGAAACAGTTCATTGATGGATAGAGATGAAATTATACTATGGAGGAGAGAGTATTTGACAAAAATAAAAACATACAGGAGCCAAAACCGTAGAATTTACTTCCTGGACGAGACGTGGATAAATGCTGGCCATACAAAATCAAAAGTTTGGGTGGACCAAACAGTAACGTCAGCAAGAAGAGCGTTTTTAGATGGGCTTTCAACTGGGCTTAAAAACCCTACAGGTAATGCAGACATTCCATTTTAGAAAATCCAACAATAGTTATTAGATAATTTTTCATAGCCAAAGTGATTTAAATGAGGCATTACACGTTATCAGATATCTAGAAAAAACGAGGGGATGTTCACTCTGGAAATCAATGTATTCTACGTTGGAATTCTTATGGTATCGATGACAAGATTTTTTACAGCAATGCGAGCGTTGCAGAGACAACATACCTCGTCCGTCACGGAATGTAACACGTTAATTAACAACGTCAGACATTGCGTTGATTTGTAAATTTTTCGATAAGTTTGTCACACTTGATAATTTTTTAGTTTAATTGATGTTGCCTGTTTCTTTTTGTTTTTTAAGCTAACCAGATTCATCAACAGATTAAATGATGCATTGGTTGAAGTGTCCGATATATCTCACCGCATGCATCCCGCTATCATGAGAAACAATATAGCATCGTATATAAAATACAGAAATGTGTCCCTATCTCCGTGGCCTCAGTACTCTTGTGAAAGACATATAATGTACATCCGTATTTAACAAGTTTTATCTTTATAGGCAAAGGAAAAAGGCTCATTATTTGCCACATCGGGAGTGTAGATGGCTTCGTGAAGGAAGGACTATGGTGTTTTGAATAAAAAAAAAACACTGACTACCACGAAGAGATGAATGGTGAAGCATTCGAAAACTGGTTTTTAGGCATTTTACCACGTCTTAAAGACAATTCTGTGGTGGTCCTGGATAATGCTCCGTATCATTCTCGGAAATTAGAAAAAATTCCAAATTCATCTTTTAAGAAATCAGAGATACAGGACTGGCTACGTGCAAAAAATATACCTTTTGATACGTTTATGTTGAAATTACAACTTCTAGATCTTGTGAAACAACACAGAGCAAAATATGATAAATATATAGTGGACGAGATGGCAAAAGCGCACAATAAAATTGTACTTCGTTTGCCTCCTTACTACTGTGAGCTCAACCCCATTGAGCTCATATGGGCAGATATAAAGAATTTTGTTGCTGAACACAACACAACATTCAAGTTTTCCGACATGAAAGAGCTGTTCAACCTTGCGTTGCAGAGAATCACACCAGAAAAATGGTTAAAATGTGTGAAGCATGTTCAGGAGAAAGTGGAGGTTGCAATGTGGGAGCTAGACAACATAATTGAAAGGCATATTGAACCGCTAATTATCAACATCTATGATGACAGCTCTTCTAGTGAAAGTGAAAAATATTGATGTTGTCAAACACATATGTATAATTACTTTTTGTGCCAACCTTAACTTTCAATCACCTCTATTGACTCTGTGACAGTAGTGTTGTGTTATTATTTACTGATGTCTATTTTTCAAATATTTAGTTCTGAAATATCACCATAATATTTCCATAGTTTTGAGTCCGACCCTGCTCGGTACTTGTGTCTACGACCATCATGCCAGCGACGCGTGCTGGTTGTTGTGTCTGGTCTCACTTGAAATGGATTCAAGTATAGACTATTAAGTAAGGGTATTTGTAATATAATCAGTTTGTTTGATCTACCATCTACCTTTGAAATGGGTTGCTCAAAAAACTACTGTGCTGTTCGTTCACTGAACCATAGATAATCCGTACTGAAACTAATACAGAGTAGTGAATAAACTATTTTTCTATCTGTTTTAGTATACCGTATTCCACAGGAAACAGTTATTGGTAGGTATTCTGCTTATACGATTAATGAATGATCGCGCCCATCAGAACATAGCGCTACTCGTGTAAGCACTGACAGCTCATACGTAGACGTGGTACTGACATAGGCAGTTACCGTTCGAATAGCGTTATGCTCTGGTTGATGCTTTCATTATCGCCGCATTTTTCTTGGGTCATTCTTTAATCAAAAGTTTCCTAATTGTCAGAGGAATTACTGACATCATTGTCCGATTCTGTATTTTATAATGTTTGACTAATCGACGTCATTTGTTTGGATTCCCCACTATAAATTGATCCTGCTTTTTTGTATGGTTTCAAAAAGGTTTGACACAAAATTCTTAGAATGAAGTTTTTCATCCTGTATCTTTTTTTGTGTTCAGGGTGTTTCACGGGCTACAGGCCAAACGAATTGACGGATTTTGACATATGAGGTGTCGTTGGATTTGTCTTGGCAATGCGAGCGACACTGGCTATATTAAAATTCTATAAAACAACATGGACGATGTTAGTAAACAAATCAACCTTAAAATTCTTTTTCACAGCTTAAACGGCTCAATGGATTCAGACATGTGAGGTGTTGCAGGATTAGTATTAACAGTCTAGCAGCCTTTAATCAAAATTTGAAGCTTAAAATTTGTATTTCACAAGCTACAGCTCAAACGACTTGATGGTTTTTGACATACGAGGTGTCTCTCGATTTGTCTTGACAGCGCAAAATCAAAATCGCTGATATTAAACTTCAATTTAGAAATTTCTATTTCATGGGCTACATTCCAAATGTCTTGACATATTTTGACTTTTGACGTGTCCGTATATTCTTCTTGATAGCACAATTAAGAATCAATTCTTCTCAGTTACTGCAGTCAGGCTTTTTGTATGTTTTAAAAACTTACGTGTTTAAATAGAACACCCTATATATTTTAGTGAACATGATAACCGCATTTTTCTCATTCCAGGTTTATATGATTTTTCTACTTATTTTTATTCTTTGTGCAGCATTAAATGATATGTATTCAACATAATACCAGATTGCATAGACAGCTAGCTGCAAACTGATCTTAACTCAGATACGCATGAATGGCACACAGAATTTAAAATTTCCACTGGAGTTATGAAAAAAGTTTAACAAAACATATTTCATGCAATTAGAAATAGCGACTATAACTATCACTAAAAATATAACATTGCTGTTCTAGTCAAAAATTACAACTTGATCTGATAGCATTTTTCTGACACATATTGTCATAGAAAAAAAGTTATGTGGGATCAATTTTTATCGGGACACCCGGACATCATATTTCATTTTTTTGTAACTAATATTCTCAAAACTTTTCTATAGTTTCTTTCAAAACTTTCAGTGATTATTGGTAATAATTCTGATTATTATCACAAGAAACTTTGGTAAAATAAGAAAGAATATTGTTTTTGTTGTTAATTTTAAATCATTATTTACCTTACAGTGGACACACCGCCGCCGAAAGTCTATCGCGACTACCATTATCCATCTGCCAGGGAATCTCCACATACACCGCCCCTGCACCATGGTACTATAAAGTACGACCGGTACGGGCTGTTAGAAGAAATTAGGGTTGTACGAGGCTCGCCCATCGTTGTTGATGACAGGCGGAGCGTTTCTCCAGTCGTTGTGAGGTCAGTATATACAGGGTAAATTTTTGATGTGAAATGGGCCGATGACTCCGTTCATATGAAATACATCTAAAGTTATTTGTAAACGTTATGATGAAATGTACGCTCCTCTCTTGGAAAATATGCCACTCTCTGTAGAGGGTGATTTATAACTATGTGGTAGCATAAACATGCACGCGTGCTTCAAGGGAAAAGTTTCTATTGGATTTCGATCGCTTCTTCTGTAGCTATGGGAAATTTTGTCCGAAAAACACTTAATTATTACTTTCCAATATATAGTAGCCGAATGATTGTGGCATTTCTAGTCTACATATTCATAGCAAAAAGATTTCATATTCTGAAGTGGTATACCTTAACAGTGGCTAGACTATAATCAGTTTTCCTAAATTATAGGACAGTATCATTGACGTCTGACACACCAATAACCGCCAGTCACAGTCATCATTCTCACCATCACTCCGTTTCGCACCACCATTCGTCGTCAAAGCATCGCACTCCCTCCCCATCCTCCGGTAGGCGGCGGAAAGACAAGGAGTCATCGCACAGGAAACACAGGAGAGACAAGAGTGGACGGACGTCTAGTGGAGTGACAGCTAGGGATAAGGTTAGTATTTGACATGTGACAATCGGTAGCTACCTAGCTTTGTGTATGCATTAATAAAAGATTGACCGTAACTACTTAAAAAAGCCTGGAGTGCAGTTATGAGTGTAGCGAAAGTCTTAGTTTAAATTTGAGAATAAGGATGCTCAAATGATATGTTTTCTCAGTGCTTATATGTGAAGTAGAGGTGTGGTCTCTTTAATGTGCTCTATATGGTATATGCAATAGTATTCGAGGGACTGAATAAGGAAAAGCGATAATGCATTCCGTCAAAACAAGAAAATTACAATATAATAAATACATGTTGTTACAACTGACGTGCAAGATGAATTTGAAGTAAGCAAAGTATTGGCAGAAGCTGAATATCATATTACTTGCAGCAGCTTCAAAGATCAAGATAGCATTGATGATAGCCAAGCTTCATAGCAATGATGCCACTTGCAGGTGGTTTCATGAACTAGCAAATTATTTTGCTTTGGCCATTCAATGATTCCTTGTTAATATTTTGCTAACTGAAATTTTTTTAATTGCCGAATTTCTATTGTAGCTTAACAGCGTCATACCACGAGTTGACTAGTTGTTGACTGATTGATATTGATGAACTTTACGTCAACACCTTTGGGGTCCAGCATTTTGTGAAATAATAGGTGTATATTTATTTTTTAGGTATTGGTTTGTCGTGGATGTATAGGAATTACATTTTTTCAGAGTGGGAGCGCTAGGCGCAGTAGGAGCCCAGTGTCCAAAAGCAATAGGCGAAGCCGATCTAGTAGCTATGGAAGGCGTCATTATAGCCCATCACCAATCAGAGGTAGCAGTAAGAAGAGGAGGGATAGTAGGAGTCCTAGGAGGGAAAAAAGCAGGTATGTTAGAGTGGAAAGTTGCATGTATAAACGATTTAGCTGCTTTAAGAGGTAACACCACTGTCACGGCTTGAAAAAGAGATTTTTGTCATGTTTTTTTTTTTGAAGCGACAAATAATGACCTCTAGTTAGGTAACTCGAAAAAAAGGCAAAAAATATAAAAGTGGCGGCATTGCAGTTATTTGCGCGAGGCACATATTTGAGACGCTCTGTGTCACGCAGCGGAACTGCTGCAAATATGGATCTAAATAAAGAAAAAGCAACTTACTCTACATGTTTATAGCTAAGGAAATTGTTTAGGATATTAAAAATATTGATTATTGTATGGTTGACAAGTATTTGGATTATAACTTTGAATTTTAGACGAAAAATAAGGTTATTTGTTAATAAATAATGATTAAATTAACTTATCGAAAATTCGTCACGGATTTCTCTTCAAAATGTGATTTAAAAGTTATTGAAAAAATCTGATGAAAAGATCGCATTTTTTGAGTTAAGCTGCGTGAAACACTGCCATTTTTGAATATTGTGTTAGAATGTTCTTTTTTGTTACATAATTATATTTATGCTTAATAACTTCCTCCAATATTGTTATTTTATTACCTTTTTGTCCACAAAACATGATACATACTTTTTTAGGCCATTATAGTACACTGTACTAATAAGAGTTGCATTCCAGTGACCTCAATTTACTATAATAATGCAATAGTATTAAGCCTCAGTACCTGTTAATACTATTCCACTGTTAGTCATACATTTTTTAAATGCTCAGCTCCCTCACGTACCAGCATAACAGTAGATTCATTGGGATCATCTAACTTTTTATCAAGAAGCACTGGAATGTAAGCTCTAAGTACATATTATTAATACCTCTAGAACATGCGAGTTGGAGTAGTAGATGTTTTAATTGATTAGTGATAAACAAGATTTTGGCTATATTTCGATTCTCTGCACATGACTTTCTGCCTCATCTCTTTTCAAATGTACATTTACATTTTTAGAGTTTATTTTTCCGTTATTATTGCATTCTAACTATTGCCTAGCATATGCTACCATAATATAATAATATTGCTTGAAAAAAGTATTGCACTCATTTGAAATAGTTAGATGACTACATCCTGATTGGACAATTCCATTAAGATAGGTAGCATTAGTAAGATAAAGATCTATGTATATCTAACAAAGTATAAAACCTGAAATCTTCCTTGTTTACTGGTTCCTCATTCATGTCGCCAATGTATTTTACAGATAACCCAGCATGACTTTGTAGTTTTTGTGCATGCACTAATATTTGTTTGTTTCTCTCAATTTCCGAAAATCCAGACATTGGCTGTTCGATAGGCACAAGCATCGAAGTCCTTCACCTCATTCGATCAGATCGTCGCAACTGAAGAATAAAATTACTGACACAAGTTTGTTCGCGGAGTTGGTCAAAGACCGGCATAAGCGAGAGCAAGAGCTCAAGAGATTAGCTGAGCAGATGGAGAAGGCTGGACCTAGTCTAGAGGAGAAAGGTTGGTAACAATGTTTATAAATCATAAAATAACAGGTAAGAGTTATACTTTTGAGATATTTCAGCTATGACCTAAATTCATATATTGCCATCAAATCATATCACAAAGTGCACTTATTGCTATTTGCACTCTCCCGTTTATTGTGGAATGTTTCTTTAGGTATCAAGTAAACTTCCATAACAATTTTTTAAAAATCAAAGAACCAATATCCGGAAACAAAAATTATTAGCATTAATTGGGATCGCGGAAACGGTAAAAGATACGAAGTTGGATAAATGGGGGCAAATAGGAGCAATAAGGTAGCTAAGAAGTAGCACTTGAAAGGTTCTACAATTCAGAGATTTTTCGATGATAGACAAAAAATCAAATTTTCACAAAATGATTTTTAATTCCTTTCTTTATTTGAGATGGAATTTCAAAATAAACTGCAAAGTCTTATTTCCACATTATCTCTTCTACAAGATGGTATCATTAGAATTTCAATATAACATTTTGTCTCTTGTCCTCAATAATCTTTGTTTATTTTGTCTTCTAATCCATTTTGAATTTTTGTCCGGATGGAGTTTTTAGCTCTGATTCCAAAAATGCATACATTGACATTGCCAAACCTTGTGCCGTATCGTCAGTCGTTCCTACAATTGTAGGACGCCTTTATGGTCTTGATTTCCATAGTATGTCCTCTCCTTTAGAAAGACTGGAATATTTCTACATTTCTACTGTTCCGTGACAGCGTCAGCGCTCTCCTATTGCCAGGCTATGTCTTCTTGAATCGTGGGAAATTTCAGTCTATATAACAGATGATATAAATTAAAAGTATGAACAGTTTGATGTAAATAGATTTGTAACATAACCTCAAAATAGAGCGCTGACCCGGAAGAGTAGAAAACTATAAAAATCAAGGCCATAAAGGCGTCCTACAACGACGTAGGAACGACTGACGATACGGGCCTAAGTTGTTTAAAAAAAAAATAATATTTCGATAGTTATCCTTTGAAATGGCTGCTCATGTCATGTTTATTCGTTTACACCGCCAATTTAAGATTTCTTCAATATTCGAGAAGTGTGTTTAAGAGATATTCAGATACCTTGCCCATTTATAAACTATATATAACAAACGTTATTTTAGCATGATAGAGCTGCTCTACAGGGTACCTCGGCCATAGACCAATATTACTATTTGTATGCAAGATGTGTGCATCAGTCACATATGGCGGATATAAAATATGCAACTTCATCTATCAGTTTCTTAAGGTTTGCAATGCTACCTTTAAATAATGTGAAAATGCATTATTTGATTGGTTAAAACCTAATATAGGGATATTACTTTTTTTAACATTAAAGCTTTATAATATCAATCCATATCATGATGTGGACAATATCACATCATTAAAATCAGAAATTCATTTATATATGGCTAATTCATAAAAAACTGAAAGAATATTTACTTACAAACAGCACTAAAATCCTAGGTGGGTTTTAGCTGACATCACAATTTGCCTCCAACTTTTGCGGTGATGACATTATGGAACAAATAACCATCTGATCATACCAAAACCTACTTAGAAAATACTATTTTTTTGAAATAGCGAAGATTTGAAAATGACATATATTTTTGGAATCTGAGTTTTTTTATGCTCCAACTACCATGAAAACCTAAAGCCTAAACACCAATGGGGTACCGTGGTGCTATAGGGAGAAACAGAGGAAGGGGTCTGAGTTAAAAACTAACTATTCAAAAATCCAATATGGCATAAATAAGGTTGATGATTGAGGACAAAAGAAGAAAGGTCATATTGAAATTCTAATTAGGAGGGAAAGAACGGCAATGTTAGTGTGCAAGTTATTTTTAAATTCCATTTCACATAAAGTCAGTAAAAAATGAAAAATATTTTGGTGAAATTCGTAGTTTTTTTTCGTCTATCTCCGGAAATCTTCCAAATGCCATTTTTTAATTACATAGATTCCCAATTGTCCCTATTTAACCGATTTGAAACACCCGGTATATTAACCATTTTCTGGTCTGTTTTGATCTTTATAATTAATTTTCTAAAGAAAGTGTTTAATCCTGACCTCAACAAAATATGAAACTAAAGGCGCATTGATTACTATTATTATTAACACTACAACAGTAGGCGGAAAAGTCCGATGGCACTGTTGTGTAAAGTCTTTTTTATGCTAGATAACGCACGAAACGTGCCTCCCTGTCTTCTAATTCCTTATTATTGAATAAATTCACAGTTTTTGGACCCGCTGTTTCTTCACTAAGAGAGTTCGAGTATACCACACGATTTGAAATGATTTCTCCTCATCAACTAAGATGTTCTCTCTTTATCTAATTGTTTACTATTCCCATGGAGATGACTCGTATTGAATATGTGAATGGTACATGAGTAGCAGTCACTGATTATCTTGAATGTCTCAATCAGGTCTCCTCGTAATCTTTGCTCAGTGACTGTTGCCAATTTCATTTCACAGCCCGTAGACGTTGTTTATGTGGCAAATGTCGAATCTCTGGTAGAATTCACATTATTTTACGTTGCACTCTTTCCAGTAGTTCAATGTCTTTGACAAAATAGGAACTCCGTATGCTTGTGTAGTTATGATCTAATGTAAATCTTGTATAGCTTTTCTATCATAGCAGGAGACTGGCTTTTAACAGTTTTTCTAAGCGAGTTGACTTTTTTAATTTTTTTGGTTGAGTGATAGAGGGACAGTCTAAATAAGAAGTTATAATTTCTCTCAAACTGAACATGTCTCCATTCCCTTTTGTTTTTATTTGAATCCGCCAATAAAGAAATTCTTTCAGTCTTTCAACTGAGGGGATGATACAATAGCAGGCAAATAAAAAACAAAGAATGTATCATCTAATTACTGCTAGTTTGCTAGCTCAAGGAATTCAAAATAAATCTATTCATTCTCAAAACTAGATAAAAGTGAAGATCAAACTGACAACGGTCGACCGAGCGAAAACAACGTGCCTGTTCCGATGGACATCGACGACATCCCAATTCCAGAAACAGAACCGAGCAAACTAAACGACATTGCGTTGCCAAGCAACGGCGAGGCTGACAGCGCCAGTCGAACGCCGCCTCTTTCTCCTGTACGAAACGAGATATCTAAGAATGGTGATCCTCCGCCTGTCAGTCAACAACAGGAATCTGTCAAGGCAAGTTCGCGTTAACAATATCTCACAACTTAGTATTTGTCCTGAACAATGACTGTTTGGAGGGCTGGTATAGCGCTCCTGTATGGGTGGAAATGCAACTGACAAGCTGATGAAACTCTGTCATTCTAACAGAGGTTGTCAGATCTTCATATTTTGGTTGGCTTGCTGATTCCATTCCTTATCTACTAAATATATTGGTGCATGTAGCTCACATCGAAAAATGACGCGAAGTTAGAAAAAGTATGTGATATTTAAATAAGTGGATCCATGGGTATTTTGAGACACTTTTTGATCTTTTTAAAGGCAATAACTCAAATTTCAGTTGATGGTATCTGTAAAATTTTTGGATTCAAATATTTTAGACTAAATGTATTTTAAACTTTCTTCAGCATTTTCCTTTTAATGTAAGATAGTTTTTTAAAAGCCCATGTCTTGCAATTTTCGAATTTTTGGCCAAAATTATCCCGTTTCAGAATATACTACTCAAAATGTATTTATTTGAATGCATGGTCGCAACACTTTTTAGTCTTGCACCATCTAGTGTGTAATATCGGCAATACACCATCCATGGCTCGAAGCTGTCATTGTACAGGGCTAAAGGTCCAAGCAGAATGTACTATGTAAATATGTATGTTTGTTTCCAGTTATTTTGACTCCGGTAAGGCCTAGTATTTACAATGATGTTTCTATTTTCCACAGATCTCACAAACGTCGTCGGAACCGACTACACCGAAACCAGTACCAGCGCCAGTGGAAAAACCGAAACAGAAGAGTGTAACCAAGCTACCCCTTCCTCCAGGTATTGATACTACGCAGCTGGAGAATATCGAGAGCCCGCCTAGTCGATCTCCGACGCCTCCGCCTCCCGTACCATTGGCACCTGTTTCCAGGGCCAAAACGCCACCTAGGAAGAGTGTCAAGGATCTACCAATGCCGCCTGGTATGTTATATTTCATTTGGCTAGGTCTTCAAGCATTACTGCAGTATTTCTTATGAAACGAAATAATATAGAGAAATAGCAGTACGACACAAGCTATTTGTTTATTAAATTTCGAGCCGGGTATTTTAAAAACGAGACAATGTGCTGTCTTCAAAGTGCGCGATAACATTTTCACGTATCATGAGCAACATTCCAGATTCTCTCCAGAAATGTTGTATAGATTAAAACTTATAACTTATGATATTATTACCCAAAGTAACACTCAGCATTTAAGTCAGGACTATAAATAACATCAATTTATTCAGTTCCTACTCTCACTTCTGAAACTCTTTGTGTGTCCCTATTTAAAAGGGAGTATTGATATCAAGTTTTTCAAAACTATTATCCTGGTCTTACGATTAATAAATGAACATTATAGTGGTTCCTGGCACTGAAGAATTGAGTGGTGACGATGACATTCCTAGTACACCACCAAGGAACAATGTTAACCTGAAGCTTGACAAGTTGCCAAAATCTGCACCAAAACCTAAACTGAAACGGCCAACTATCCTCAAGAGAAAAGGTTCGCGGATGGTGCACACAAGTGGTAGGGACTGGGGAGAGAGATGTGTGGATATGTTTGAGGTTATTGCTCAGATTGGGGAAGGTATGATTATAATTTCATCATTGGCATTTGTTATTAATCTTATTTTTAACTCCTTGTCCCCTAAAATTCATCTCTCTTGAAACTTGAAAGATTGCGAAATTCAAGTGCATATGAAGACATGAGATGTAAAGAGTTCCTCGGTTCTACCAGTAACCGGAGTATCAATATGAATTTGTTTTAGGTACTTATGGACAAGTGTACAAAGCCAAAGACGTGCAAGCCAATGTACTGGTAGCACTTAAAAAAGTGAGGTTGGAGAATGAGAAAGAGGGTTTCCCCATAACGGCTGTGAGAGAAATTAAGATTTTAAGGCAATTGAATCATAAAAATATTGTTAATCTAAGAGAGATTGTTACTGACAAGCAGGATGCTGTTGACTTTCGAAAGGTAAGGAACATTGATATATGTTGGACATCTATACTGTGGTCCCCATTTTTATTCTTATTTGCACTACAACAAAAATGGTTTATATCAAGGCATACTTTCATACTGAATGGATAAAGCTACATTTTTGAGCTCAAGAATATTTGCATTCTGGGCGTTTAGTGATGGAACTAATACCATTCAATATTCATATTTGGAACTGAATCGTACTCTTATTCTTTTCCAGGAGAAAGGTTCTTTCTATTTGGTATTCGAATATATGGACCATGATTTGATGGGTCTTCTAGAGTCTGGTATGGTGGACTTCAATGAACTAAATAATGCTTGCATTATGAAACAGTTGTTGGATGGTTTGAATTACTGTCACAAGAAGAACTTCCTCCATAGAGATATCAAATGCAGTAATATTTTAATGAACAATAAGTAAGTTTTTGTATATTTCTTGACACACACTTTCAAAAAAGTTATGTCTTTCTTATGAATGCGGGCGCCCTTGAACGATGCTATGACTAATTTCGCCGCTCATCAATGACAGCCACTTAGCGACTGCGAATCACAGACACCTATTGGCCGGCGCAAGGCGCGTGTATCCAGAGACGGTTCCGTTGAAAATGTTTCTCTATCATTTTAAGTTTTAAGGACAAATCTACGGGTAAATATGTGTGAAATATGTCTAGTGCGTATAATTACCGGGGTTGGAAGCGTTTAAATATACTGTCGTAAAAAAATGAAACCTCTACGGCTCCAAATTTTTAATTCCAACAATTTTTTTTTCTGAAAACGTCTGAAACGTCAAAAGACGAAATTTGAGCCATTATTTTTTTAGCTTTTTGTCCCTAGCTCTACCACCACTGCATCGATTTTCAAATACTACAAAGCTTTTTCGTCCTTGGCCTAGTAGTAACCTTGTATGAAAATTTCATCAAAATCCCAGTGTTACTTTCCTAATTTTAGGCGGGCCACGTATTCGCGGACCGATAGACCGACGAAAGTGGTGAGGGTTTTTCATGATGTACATTTCATATAGCATCTAAAAAGACACAATATCCCATTTTCTAAATTTTTCTCGATTACAGTACTTCCTTGCCAGTGGCGTGGGAAGTAAAACGTATTAAGAAATATATTGAACTTTAATATTGTCTGTTTTTTCAGGGGCGAGGTTAAACTGGCAGATTTTGGTCTTGCCAGACTTTACAATGCTGAAGATAGACAGAGGCCTTATACGAACAAAGTGATAACTCTATGGTATAGGCCACCAGAACTTCTTTTGGGGGAGGAAAGGTATGGGCCTGCCATAGACATCTGGAGTTGCGGGTGTATCCTAGGAGAATTGTTCCTGAAGAAACCACTATTTCAAGTAAGTAGTATTAAGATTGTTACTAATAATGCAACTAATCAGGGTGGACAAAGTAGGAAAAGTCAGGGAAGCAAATGACCGTTAATGACAGTCAAGGATTATCAATAAATTTTATAAAAATATTTTCGCTAATCGTTTCGGTTGCCCAGTATTGCTACGAATAACTTTCTTTCTGAAATGTTACCATATATCGTTTAAAATTTCTGAAATGACAAATTGAGTAAGTACATTTAGTGTACTGATTATAGAAGTGAGGAATGGTACAGAGTATATGGTTTTATGATATACCTTTGACCCTCCTGAGCTAGACTTTTATCAAAACAACAACACAAATATTCTACTTTTGCTCATTTTACTAAAGTGCAATGTAACATATGGTATCTAGGGGGGGGGGGGAAGGGTCCAGTCCCGCGAAGATAGAATCGCCAAAGGTTATCCCAGGGCAGGAATACTCACGTGTCAGGCCGTCTAGTTTTTATAAACCTGTGGAACCCCCACCGGCGACAAATAATACACCTTTGCAGATTATGCATTATTTGCCGACGATGTGCACATTTCTCAGCGGATACGGTTTAGGGTATTCATCGACTTATATGGAGTTTATGTGGGGCGTATAAGGCGCTACAGGGTGGTTACTCGTGGCAAGATTATCAAAATAGCTAAACAAGTTTCAAAATTGCCAACTGTTGCTTTTTTGTTCCGTCAGGTCCACGATTGATCTCAACATTAGGTATGAAATTTTCAATAATTGCTTGATAAGGTGTTTGAAGAAAAAATGAATGCTATAATATTTGGTGAATTTGGTATTTGTAGGCCAATACGGAAATGATGCAACTGGACAAGATATCGAGGGTGTGCGGCACGCCCACTCCAGCCGTTTGGCCATCTGTGATCAAACTGCCGCTCTTCCATACGCTCAAACCGAACAAGCTTCATAGACGGCGATTACGCGAAGACTTCGTATTCATGCCTTCCTCAGCTCTGGAGCTGCTTGACAGGATGTTGGAGTTGGATCCCGACAAGAGGATCACTGCAGAGGATGCTCTTAAGTCGCCATGGCTGAAAAACATCGATCCAGAGCAGTGAGTGACATTATACAATATACTATACCTCAGGGTACTCATAAGCTCATTTTTCTCGTTTTTACTCATTTTTTCGGCTGCTCGTTTTTACACATATTTTATTCTTGAATTGCTCATTTTCCTAATTATTTTGCAATAATTCAAAATACAGTGTGTCCCCTAGACTCACAGGTCAATAAATTGTTTCAATAAGTCAAACAGTTGATATTTATTGTATTGTGCAAGTTGAAGTCATCTGCTAGATATTTAATTGGCAATAATGATGAAATGGTAATAACAATTAATCTAGAGCTGCCACAATTTTATACCTATACTACCTTTGCGCCCTGCAGTTTTCGCAGAGAAACGTATATGTATACAGTTGTATATCAACTATTCTGCTTTTTTATAGAACAAACATTTTCCTGTCGTAGACAGTAGCCTTTACCTTATTCCGTATCGCAACCCGTCTGTATGCTAAATTTTATTGTACAAGCAGACAAATACACAAACACATACAATATACTCTAAAGAAAGAAAAACAAATATTCTTCTATATTGACTTCGACCAAATACAGAAGCCTCTCTGTTTTTTATTGGAACTATTTACATTTCGATCTAAAGGTGGATAGATAAAAAAAACAACCAAAAATCGCAAGCAAGCAGGATCGTTCAGTTTACGAATGCCATGAAAGTCGATCATCAAAACGCTATCGGAAGTTATAGCATTCCTTAAACTAATTTTTATGTTAGTAACAATTTCAAACGTACGAAGTAGCAGCTAACACCTAGTTAGTTTGTATGCTTGAGCGCCTGGTTGACTTTAGGAAGTGCGCGTCCACCACATTTTGGGTTAAGTGGTAGAATGGCATAAATTCAAATTCAATTTTATTCATGCTAATGTGACACAATGGCACTTACACACATCGAGGGGAAAGTTACTTACAATACGTTTGCTTTGTTCTTGACACTAATCACAGCTAAAGGTAAGCTGAACTTCACCCACATAAAGACATTACGGTATTGTTAACAAAACCGTAATTGCAATGATTTTTTGCCAGGTTGTATGAAAATTTATTGATTTTATGATGTTTTGCAATTTAGATAGATATTCTATTTCTCAGATCATGTTTTTGAATAATATAGGATAAGTCAAAACGGGAGCACCTGTCCGATAAGTCAAAACGGGGGCACCTGTGCGCAAGATATTTCCTCAGACCTCTTTTCATTTGACAGATACTGGTTAATCTTAGGAGATCAGCCGGTAGACTATTATATATTTTGGTGCATATGAAGATTGACGATTTTTCAAATAGAGTAATTATTGTATTGTTTTTGGCATTAAAAAGTTTTTTTTTTATATATATCGAAACAGCCGCGCAGGCAGAAACCTAAATGCCGGGACACCGCGGCTGCTATGATGATCCCAAAGAAATTTTGTTAATACGATTTTTGAACTGCCTAAGGTTAGTAGAACTGGGAAAAGCTTCCTCCCGTAGATTGTTCCACAATCTAGACACCCTCGGGACAAAGGAGCGGTCGTATCGGCCAGTTCTGGATGTACGAAGTTTGACACGGTTAGGATGGGACGCCGAAGTCAGGCGGGTCTTTCTGGCAGGCACATCGCGCGGCGGCATCATGGAAGAGAGCTCTGAGGAGCAAAGCCCGTTGGTGTAGCGATAGAAAAGAGCTAGATCGCCGACGACCCTCCCGTGCGAAAGAGTCCCGAGACTGTCTGTTAGAGAAGAGTCATCGATCAGTCTGACCACCCTCCTCTGGATAGCATCGAGCATGGACAATGTAGTCGGGGCGGCAGCACCCCAAATGTGTGAGCAATACTCGAGGCTAGGCCTTATCTGGGCCTTGTATAGAGTGAGAAGGTCATGCGGAGAAAAGTACTCCTTAGCCCTAAACAAATAGCCTAGCTTTTTCCCAGCAGCTGCAGCTATTGAAGAGATGTGTTCGTGCCAGATCAGGTCCTCGGTGATCTGGACTCCGAGCAGCCGAAATGAATGGCTCTTTGGTAAAACTCGGCCGTCCATCGAAACTGTATGAGCGCTAGGACGCTTTTTGTTCGTCAAAGTACAGTACTGTGTTTTGGAAGCATTGAACTGTACAAGATTGTTGCGTCGCAAAGCAGTGATAGCCTCCAAGTCTCTTGTTAGAGAAGAAGTCGTCGCTAGTCTTCTTTTTTCCAGCTCAGCGGCTGAGATCGGCTTGTCACTCTGAATCCGTCAATTACGACGGATATCTTGCGGCCAGAGATAAAGTCAGCCACCCATCTGCAAAGCTTTTCTGGGAGGCCATAGGATGGAAGTTTGCTTAAGAGGGCAGCGTGTCACAGCTGATCGAACGCTTTCGTGATGTCAAGAGCAACGACATGAGCCTCACCATGAGACTCGATGAGTTTACTCCACAGTTGCGTGACGTAAGCTAGGAGGTCCCCTGTGGATCGTTGGTGCCGGAAGCCGTACTGCCTGTCGCTAATCAAGCTGTGACGTTCGAGGTAGTCCAGAAGCTCGCGATTTATGCACCTCTCCATCACTTTACTTATAACAGAAAGCAGAGCTATAGGCCTGTAGTTGTAAGGGTCGGTCTTAGATCCTTTTTTTGGGATGGGCTGTACATGAGCAAATTTCCAGTTTTCTGGTAAGGTGCCGGATTCATATCTGGAAGAGACGCGAAAGAACTGGAGCAAGCTTCGCTGCACATCTCTTCAGTACAATGGCAGGAATCAAGTCCGGACCAGAAGCTTTGTTGATGTCGAGCGACAAGAGCACTCGTCTTACGGTCTTATAGTATGCCTGAATGTTACCTCCCGCATAGTGTGGGGAACCCTTTGAATTGACGGCACTTGGGCGTTGGTGGGGACGTCCATGGTGGAGTTGGCAGCAAAGATCTTGGCTAGCACTTCCGCATTGGCCTTTGAGTCGAATACAATAGTTCCATCCTGACACGTAAGTGGTGGAAGGCTACTGTGTGAGAAGTTCTTTTCAATCTGCTTGGCCAGCGTCCAGAAAGACCGACTGCCATTGCGCTGCGACATTACCCTGTGCCTAACTTTTATATCATGCTGGTTTTTGGCATTGCGAACCGCATCGTTATATTTGTTTCTGGACTCGACGTCGGCTTGTCTGTTCTCTACAGTGGGGTTTTGTAAGTAGGTTCTGTGTGCCTTGATCTTCTGCTGGCGAGCAGTGTCACACGATTTGTTGAACCAGCCGTTGGACCCTGGTTTAGGAACTTTCACTGTGTGAGGGATGTATTCCTCCATTCCGACGTGGATAATTTCGGTTATTGAAGAACAGACAGTCGACGCATCCGCGTCAGTGAAACAGACATCTCTCCAAGGAAAGCTAGAGAAGAAGTCTCTGAGCCCCTCCCAGTCGGCATGTCCGTAATGCCAAGTTTTGCGGCCTGTGCGTGTTTCTGCTGCCACAGCGGCTTCTGACCGAAACCTAACCTCCACAACACCGTGATCTGAGTTACCCAGGGGGGACAGGACAGCAGTGCTGTAAGGGACAGGATGCGTGGTCAGAAAGAGATCCAGCAGGCTACTGGCGTGTGACGAGACGCGGGGGAAAAAAGTAGGTCTCGTCACCAGCTGGGTCAGCCCTTGAGTAAGAGCGAACGCTTCGACTGCACAACCTGCTGCATCGGTCTTATTTGAGCCCAACCAAAGCTCATTATGGGCATTGAAATCACCGAGAAGAACTACCTCTGAAGCGGGGTGATTGATGTTCAGGCAGTCGATCTGGACGGCGAGGTATTCGAGTAGGTCATCCCAGTTATGGTTCGAGGGAGAGCGATAAAGGCAGCAAATAAATTTGGGTGATGTTTTGGAGTTGAGGCGAAGCCACAGAATGTCCTTCCGGTCTGATTCCAAAGAAAGATCCCTGGAGCATGAAAGACTGCTGCGGACAAAAGCCACAACTCCCCCGTTCTTTCTCAGATTGGAGTGCTCCTCGTAGTTTGGGAAGTTGAGATGGTTAATCGGTGCAGTCTCTGAGATTTTTGTCTCCGCCAAGAAAAGCACGGCGGGACGATTGGATTGCAGGTAGTGATGAACAGCATCAATGTTGCTGTTGATCCCGCAGATGTTCGAAAAACAAATTTTATCTTCGATGTTGTTCCCTCGAGCCCACCCTCCACCCGGACATTCCGAGAGTGGAGTGAGTTTACGTCCGGAGTTCTTAGTGCTCGAGGGATCCATCATCATTAATTTCTTTGTTTTGGTAGATAACCGACTGCATAGCTTGTGGAAACATGCGGACATTTATAAGACACCCTGGGAAAAGCTAGCGGGTGGTACCGCCTCGGTCGACTGGTCCTTGTCTACCACCTTCTTTTTACGTGTTAGTGATGTTAAATAGACCTAAAGTGGCCCGGCGATCGGTACTGAGGTATTCCTTAACGCGTGTACAATCACTTGGACGGGAAGAAGTTGTATACTGGATACAACAACTTCCGGAACAAGCATTTGCCACGGACCTCGCTCAGTAGGGTATATATATATATATATATATATATATATATATATATATATATATATATATATGTATTTATATATTTTCTTTTCGTACAAATTCCGTTAAGTTCGTTGCGGTACAATTAATACTGTTTTATGTTCAAAACCCGTTGAAATATCGCAGACGCTTCTGTTAATATACGATGGAAATTTCGTGATATATGGACATGGGATCTCGGACTACAGTATTTGGAATCTCTGAATTTGACGCTTTTTTAAGAATATCAGCGCCTGAACTTCCTACGTGGCAAGACTGCCACGAGCTGTGGAGCAAAAAGCGGAAACGTCAGTTCCGTGAGCAGGCCGAGGCAAACGGCATTTGGATCGAGATTTCTGTTTGTCTTTCATAAATTCTACCAAATGTGTATTCCCCTGAAGCCTGCATCTCTTGTCGGGAATGGGTTGGACGCTTCGTCGTTTGTTCCCTGGTTGAACTTCTTCAGATTCTATATCTTCCTGGTCTTGATTTTCTAATACCAGTGTTTTGGGAACAGATAGTTTGAAATCAAAATAATCCATAATATCCTTTCTAAGTAAGCCGGCATCTTTGGCATTTTCACGGTATTCCAGCCAGCCTGCTGCTACTGAGAAATCGATAAAATGAAAAATAGTTTTTGAATAATATAGGATAAGTCAAAACGGGAGCACCTGTGCGATAAGTCAAAACGGGGGCACCTGTGCGCAAGATATTTCCTCAGACCTCTTTTCAATTGATAGATACTGGTTAATCTTAGGAGATCAGCCGGTAGACTATTATATATTTTGGTGCATATGAAGATTGACGATTTTTCAAATAGATTAATTATTGTATTGTTTTTGGCATTAAAAAGTTTTTTCTTTTCGTACAAATTCCGTTAAGTTCGTTGCGGTACAATTAATACTATTTTATGTTCAAAACCCGTTGAAATATCGCAGACGCCTCTGTTAATATACGATGGAAATTTCGTGATGTATGGACATGTGATCTCTGACTACAGTATTTGGAATCTCTGAATTTGACGCTTTTTTCAGAATATCAGCGCCTGAACTTCCTACGTGGCAAGACTGCCACGAGCTGTGGAGCAAAAAGCGGAAACGTCAGTTCCGTGAGCAGGCCGAGGCAATGCAAAACCTGCCCCCAGGCAAACCATTGCCAGGGGCGCCACCACTTGGTGCCGTCCCTGTGGGGAACAGGTTGGACAAGCCGGTTGCAGCAGGTGGTGCGTTGAAGCCTGAAGAAACCCTGCTCGACGGAGGCGGGTGAGTAGTTGCTCAAAGGAAGGACTTTTGTTGTTGTAAAGGTTGTCTCGTGTATTTGTTGTGGTAGAGGAACACACACGGATAGAGATTTTAATGAGGCGCAGCTCTGAAACGGACACTAGAATGTTACAAAAAATATATTGTAAAAATGCTGCTGTGCCTGAATAGCACTACTTAAAATGAGTGTCAGTCAATTTGACATCTCGCGCGTGGTAATAGCTCATAATGGCGAACTGTCTACTTTCTTTAAAAGGATGGTCGAGGAGAATTGAGGGAAATGAAGATGGTCAAAGATAGGCAAGAATCATCAGAGAAAAAATCACGTTAGTAAAAGTAATAGAGATTCTCTCAGGACATATAGTGAAACCTGGTTAAGTGGTCCCTGAATGTGGAAACTTCTACTACTCAGATTTACAATGAGGTCCAGACACTTTTGCATTCAATTACCTTTGTACTGATAATTTTAAACTCTTAATTGAGATCTGATTTCTTTTATTTCTTCGATGTTTACCTTTGCAATTAGGAATTTGTAACCCAATAGAACTGATACATTTCGTCTGTAGTAGACATGTGCCACATTGGTTTACAAGAATTCAAATTTCATACAGTACATTTCGGTCTCTTTTAGCGGGACCATCTATTATACAACTGCCATTTCAAACCGGCCTATTTAGGAAACTGAATAAATGAAAAGCGTAAGCATCCGATGTGGAAATGTAAATTCATCTGCATAAAGGTAAATAATAAAAAATCCAAGGTCCTTTGACATTCCAGTTATACAGGTTTCTCTGTATTTTGTTTCTGTTATCCTACTTTAGCAGGAAAAATCCGGGTTTCACATGCGTGTATACCATGTTGTACTCTAATGGAAAAGAAGCAGGAAATGCAAGAGGAACATTTTTTGACATTGTTAAACATTTATCAAATAGCGGCTTATCTACAATTTGGCCCAACTATCAAAACTACGTTTTTTATGAAATTTGTCATACCAGCGGAAACGTATTAAAAACTAAAATTATATTTCTGATAACATACGATATTTTTTTTTAAATTAGCCTAAAATACTACATTTCTTAGTATTAAAGAAAAAATATCTCACAAATAAAAAAAAAACTGCAGATTAATAAAAATCAACAAAACCTAATAGCAGCAAATCACCACTGCGTTACATCGCCTTTTCGGTTGATTACTGCTTCGATACGTCTTGACTTGGTGTCAAAGTCAACTAATGTTTGGCAGTTTTGGGTGTAAAACTGTTCCAAATTTGTTGAAGATGGGTTCGCAATTCCGGAACGGTTCTTGAGGGATTTGATCGGAGCTTTTTCTTCATGATATGACACAAGTATTCAATCGGCGATAGATCTGGACTACTCGACGTCCATTTTAAAACTGAAATATTGTTTTCTAACATCCAGTCTTTTACTTTTTTAGCCGTTGGCTGATTCCATAATATTTTCAATTCGTTAGAATTAGCCGATTTCCCTTGATAATTCGTTTTGAGGCTCTTAAGTTGGTATTGGAATAACGCGGGCGACTTCCAGTTCTAGGTTTTTGAGCCACAGATCCCGTTCTTTTATACAATTTAATAATACTTTGAACTATATATCTCGAAATGTTAACACTGTCAGCGATTTGGTAAGCATTTTGGCCTTTTTAATGCAAGTAAATGATCACTTTTCTCATTTCGTCAGAAACAGCCATTTTTAATTGTTAACACCAATGCATTGAATGTTGATTTAACCTTTTCAGACCCAAAGCAATTCTACTTCTAAACAATTGTTGATTTTTTAGTCAGGTGATTGTTTGGACATACGAAAGCCCAGAGTCAATGTATTTTTCAAAAATTTTATTCCCATTTTGAAAAAAATCAGGTATCACAAAGGATACTTTGGGGTTCTAGGCAAGAAAAAAAATGTCCAAGCAAATGAAAAGGTATTTGTGAAAAGTTGAAAAACAGTTTCTTTCGACGCTACAACATAAATACACCACAAGATTTACATTTTGCAAAAGTTAGTTTATCCCACGTAGGCAAACGGCATTTGGATCGTGATTTCTGTTTGCCTTTCATAAATTCTACCAAATGTGTATTTCCCTGAAGCCTGCATCTCTTGTCGGGAATGGGTTGGACGCTTCGTCGTTTGTTCCCTGGTTGAACTTCTTCTTCAGATTCTATATCTTCCTGGTCTTGATTTTCTAATACTCGTGTTTTGGCAACAGATAGTTTGAAATCAAAATAATCCATAATATCCTTTCTACGTAAGCCGGCAGCTTTGGCATTTTCACGGTATTCCAGCCAGCCTGCTGCTACTGAGAAATCGATAAAATGAAAAATAGTTCGCACAGTCCATTTGTTTGTCCGATTTCTCATTGCATATTTTCCAATTACGCGATCTAGAAGGTCTACTCCACCCATATAAGCATTGTAGTTTTTAACAACTGCTGGCTGTTTGTCATCAACACGCTTTTTCTCAACCTTAGACCACCTACTACAAGTTCCTTCTGGGTCCACGCCAATGCAGGATGAAGCAAAGTTTACAGGTTTGTTATCGAACCACTTCATGAGTATTATTTTGCCGTCGTCCCGCACAAGGTGATCATAGCTTCCTCTCTCTTTCTTTTTCAGTTCGTTGTCAGGTAGAAGACTAGCACTTTTAGGAATTCTGTTAGCCATTATCGTTCCGGCTAAAGTAATGCCATGTGAGGAAAGAAAATCTATCAGGGGGATCGAAGTGAAATATCTGTCTGTGAATACTGAAACTCCTACAGGAAGAGTATCTGCCAATTTAAGGACCATTCTCCCGCCAACATCCAATTGTTCTGGGACTGCTAATAACGCCGGTTCCACCGATGAGCCCTTACCTTCATAGATGTGAAAATCAAGCGGGACTCCAGTCGGAGTTGCCATTACGAAGTTTTTGAGGCCTATTGGGTTAGGCTTACCACGCACAAATTGTCTCATGGTGACTTGGCCAGCAAAGGGTATCATCTGTTCGTCGATGGACACCTTGCTAGTTCTTTCATTTATGCGACATACTTTTTGTACTCTGTCAAGGAGAGGTCTTACCTCCCAGAATCTATCAAGCGATTTGGCCTCTGGGGACACCCTATTGTCATCTACAACTTTTACACGAGAGCGTAACTTGAAAAATCGATTTCTTGTAATGTTATCCGACACTATGGGTACCCTAGTGCTGTTAGCCCAAAACATCCGCAAACGTGGTAGTGAATAAATTCCTATTAGCATGGTACAGCCAAATAATTTTCTAATCTCGCTAGCAGTAGTATCCAATGAATGTCCTGTTTCGCTTACTTCCCTCATATTTGTAAGTTCAGAAACACTTTCAAAGAAGTCATCACTGATATATTTTTGAAAATATTCAGAAGGTCTTCCAACTTGGCCGCTGTAATTTATAGAATCCATGTGGTTCGGCGGAACAAAGACTTTATTGCGAATCCACTTTTCGGAATGTGATGGAATTAAACTCGCTAGGAGCAGGTCATCTTCAGAATCGAAACCATCATCGGGCTCTGGATTGTCTTGGTCATCAAAAGCTTGCTCGTCCAACAAATCCTCCTCAAGGTTATCACCATCAAGGTCATCTTCACTAAGAAGTTCTTCATCTATATCAGAGTTATTTAGATCTATAGCATCAGCCAATTCCTGAAGCTCTTTGTCAGTCAAAGGGCCTGAAACAATACAATTTCTATAAAGTAATCTTCATCTATCTTTTTCTTGTTTTTTTTTTAAATTATATTGCTAGAGACCCAAAGTATCACCTGCGATACTTCTTCTATTTCATCTAGTCGGCACCTTTAGCGAGAACGTTCACCGCAATAAAATAGCATACTTACATTAAGGAACATTATAACAACTATTTAAAACCAAATATATTCAGTAATGAATTGTACTTACGTCTATTTTCATTAAAAGCCATCCCCACGTGTTTTACACAACCACATCAACATGCGTTGACTGTGTATCGCATGTGATACTCTTAGGACCGAACAAATTCATGCGGTCTAAGCGCGAGATAAAAAATAATTTTCACGAGTATAATATATGATAGCCCGTTTCTGAGGAGGTTAAACGTCAACAATCAGCTTCTTAGCAACGTAAAATGTTATCATTTGTCTTGCAAAGCCTACCTTTATTTTATCAAAGCGAATAAACAGACCATTCAACTTAAGTTGTCTATCATGTATTTTGCTATACACAAATCATTTTGCAAATAAGACAATTTCGCAATGAAAACGCTTCAAAAATGGATTTTGTTATCTCCATAATCATTTAAAGAAATCAAAAATATATTTGAAATAAAATTTTATCCTTCTATTGCATGATTTATTTGACATGTCTTTTTATCCTAAAAAAATTATTATTGATGAGTTATGTCATTGAGTGGTCAAAAAAAAATATGTCAACATATTTTATTATAAAGGAGGTACAAAATATTGTTCCGACTTGGGAACATTATGGGTATGGAAGACAATAAAAAGTTATTTTAATTTGTATGAAACTCTACAAAACAATTACTTTTTGCATAAGAAGTTGGACTTTACATTTTAGACATAAAACTCGACTTTCCTTACAATCTTGTTTTTGGCATCTTTCACGGTGGTCCGTCTATTGATTCCAGTGCTGAACATTATCATACCTGACCTCAGTGCTGTACAAAACTGTTTCATAAACAACTTTGTATAAAAAGACATTATACAAAAAAAAAACGTGTACATCATCATCCTTGTACATCAGTATGGGAAGTGGAACTTACCAACTTCTCTTCAGAAGCTTGGCTGCTGGAGGCAATGGTTGGAAGCAAATGAACTAATGGAGAATCATCGTCGCTATCATCTTAATCTGGGTGCCCAGCTTGGATTTTTCTCCCATCTTCGATATCATCCTCCAATATGGAATCTTCACTGTCAGATGGAATGTCTCTAATATCGGTATTGTTTTTACCATTAAAGGCTTTGGGTTTCACTGGGCCGAGTTTTTCCATGTCCACATCCATGATGAGCATATATTAAGACAAATATTTGGATATATGTAGTAATGGACAAAAGTATATAGACAAATTAATATTGTGCTGTATTTCTTTTTTAACTTGTTTTATTATTACACCAGCCTGTATACATAATTCGTTATAGCATAATACTCACTGATACATAAATAAATTCATTAGACTCCCTTCAATATAAAATAAATTGAAAAAACTGGAACTATGAAGGACAAAAATATATAGACAAAGCAAAACAATTATAGAAAAAAGAAGCAAAGTTCATTGAATCATAGAAAACCAACCATGTTTGTGTTAATATTTTATAGCATAACCATTATATTATCAATCACCGCCTGGCACCGTCTCGGCATAGATTGTAGTACTTTCTTGATATAATGATCATCTATCTGTCTCCACTTTTGCTCTAAAGCGGCAAAAGGTTCATCCTTGTTTGAATAATTTTTATCTCGTATTTGCTTATCTAAGTGTTCCCATAGATTTTCAATGGGGTTTATATCGGGAGACTGTGAAGGCCATTCGAGAACTGGTATTTTTTCATCCAGAAAGAATTGCTTTGCGAGATTTGAAGTGTGCTTCGGGTCATTATCTTGCTGGAAGATTGATCTTAAGGGCATATTGTCTTCCATATAGGGTAAAATGACATGCTTTAGTATGTCTGTGTATACAAACTTATCCATAATGCCATCTATTCTATGTAAAGGTCCCTTCCCAAACCACGAAAAGCACCCCCAAACCATAACAGACATGTTTGACAGGGGGCAAAGTGGACTTGGGGTTCAATCTTTGTCCACTAGGACGTCTAACGTAATGAACACCATCTGATCCAAACATATTGAACTTGGATTCGTCACTGAAACATACCATCTTCCAGTCACAGATGCTACAATCAAGATGCAACCGTGCAAATTGTAATCGGTCCTTAAGGTTTTTCCTCGAGATTAGCGGCTTCTTACTCGGGCGACGCGCAAATAACTTCAGATCATTTAATCTTCTACTTATAGTTTTCGTAGAAACACTGATAATTCCTTTTGTCTCGATTTAGGTTTTTATTTGTCGTGGGGTTTTAAACGGATTTCTGGACGATATTACTTTTATTAATCTAACTGATAGTATTTAGTTTTCTAGGCCGGCCACTTCTGTTAGAGGCTTCCAAGATACCTTTTTGTTTATATTTGTTCAATATTGCCCAAACTGCTTTACGCTTCAGCTTAACATTTTTGGAAATGTCGACTTGACGTTGACCATCTTTGTATAAATCAATGATCTTAGTTTTCACATCAAAAGAAATTTCTGGACCACGCGGCATGGTCTTAAAATCACTCAACTTATTCCACAATACTTAATGGACACAAACTAGTCCTCTTCTGACACGAAGCTTTACTTAACTAATGTTGAAAAGAATTTGTCTACATATTTTTGTCCCTCATAAAAAAGTGCTAATATTTAGACTTGTATTGTGTTCGTTGCAGATAATGTAAAAACAAGGAATTTAGTTTTTCTACTAATAACGCATTTGTTTATGGAGCAATGAAGTATGAATTCGTTTTCTAAGGTATTTAGGTAAATATTCATATTTGTCTATACTGTCCATTACTCTATATATATATATATATTGGAAAATTCAATACACTATTTACAAAAACTTAGAATATATAGTATAAACTAAAAAGAACATCAATGCATATTGTTCCCAATCGGGAACATATGTCCATCCAAAGCTAACCTATATTTTCAGAATATTATTATGTGCATAATGGCCCCACTCAGGAACACTAATATCTACAGAAAAAGTAATTACATGCACAAAAATAAACCATCCTACGTATCAAACACATAATGAATCGAAAACACATCGAGAAGCATCAGCTGATTATAAGATCACGATGTCGGATATTCTTACCTCGACGTTGTAGATGTGGTGCCATCTATACAGAAACGTATGAACATCGTTAAACAACGTTCCCGATCGATGCATACAAATTTGGTAAATGCTTAGGGAAAAATATAGGAAGTCACAGAATGTACTGTTCCCGTTTGGGAACAATATGAAATAGAGGGTTAATTAGCCCTCAAATAAATTCACAAATATCATGTTTTTTGGCGTTGGGCCAACATCACTGAGACAGGGCTCGTAGACCTTATTTCACGAGTATCCATCACGCTTTGAGGCTGTCACGGACTTGTCATACTTTTTTTCCGGTAAAACATTCTATATCCAAAATTTCTCAGAAATGATAGGCAAGACACAAACACGAGAAATAGCTCTCCTGTAAATTTTGTATTTTATGACTTAGAATACTTCTACATTCAAGCGACGAAGTACAGATGTAGAAAAGTTTATTAGAAAATTATTATAGTACATCTGGGATTTATTAATTACATGGTATGTCAATAGAACAGGTTGATTAGTATTTTCCAGAAGCTGTAAATTTACCTGTAAAATAATATAGATACGTCTTTCTGATTTACTGTCCGTCATCAGTGTAATATAATTCATCAAAAGCACATAACAAATCACATCAGAACTAATACATTCACCCAAAATTACGAAAAGACGCACCACTATGCCATATTATTGTGATACATTAAATGATGATGGCATAGCATCAATTTGCTGACTGGTATATCCTTATGAATATCTTCATCTCTTTGAAAAAATTATAAACTGCGTTTGCGTTTCCTTGGGATTTTTGCAGAGTTCTCAACAATTGGGCCCATGCATGTATTCATGAACACTGCTTTGTCCCAGTTGTGCATATTTCATGACTTCCTGCAATACTTACTTACATTTTTATTTTATTACTTGTTAGAATTACCTTAGTAATGTTCAGACTTATTTGAGGGAATCGAACCTCTATCAACTCGGTCATATCCATCTGCCACACATTCTGAACTTCATGTTTGGCTGTTTCATTGCTCTTTAAGATCATATGGTGTTTCGAGTTCTAAAAAGTAGATATAATTAATATAGTCAAAAACTGTTTATATATTCCTACCTGACATGAAATGTAGTCATGGTCTTTAGCAGCCATAGTGCTTGTAGCGTTTCTTTCGTATGCTAAGAAACTTTTTTAAATAAAGGAGTGGTAAGCAAGTAAAAAATGAATCTGTAGCGGACAGAGAACCATAACAAAATACGGATCCGTCTAGCTGGAGTTCACCGATCCGTCGGAATTAATTGCTTCCTGTGTTGATATGGAGAATTTTAAAATATTACTAAATAACTAGCTGTCATTGTTCCATGATGGATACTCGTGAAATATGGTGTATATAACAAACAAATAGTTTGTACAAAGCACCTCAAAAAATGACATGACCTGCCAAAGTCTTAAAATTGTGCGTAGTGATTAAAAGTGTGGGAGTCAAAATTAGATTACAAAAGAACTCTACTCTTTTGGAACTTCAACTTTTCCTATAAAAGGTTTGTTTCCTTTCGGATGATATGCTACACATCTTGTAGTCTGGTAGCGAAAAGGAAGAGAGCAGCAAAACACATCGCATACCACTGCTGGCGCAGCGTGCCTTTAAATTGACACGGTCACTGCACGTATCCCGCCGTATTGAAAGATGTACGGTGATTTGCTGCTCTCTTCCTTTTGGATACCAGAGTATAGAATTAATGCATGTTTCCAGCAATATAACCTAAGATAATTTTCGATGTGGATGTCGCTAGTTAAGTCCACCCAGTATGGATGTAAATTCAGGCATTTCACCCTCGTTTCGACTTCAACTATAGAAATTGTTGCATATTATACTTTTAACAAAGAAGTACCAGCAGAAGTATTTTGAACCAACATTAGACATATGTCATTTTTCCAAATTAAGAGTCCCTTCCGTCGATTTCCATAAGTAGTTGCTCACTAACATTTAAAAAAATGTTATTGTGTGGATTGTATCAGAACAGTTTCAGAGCTAGCCAAATTAAAATAAAAACCGAATAGACGAAATATATATAGATAGACAAATGAGATGGTGGTTTGGTGCTTGAAGATTGTTTTTTGTTTCATTTATTGCACAGAAGATACAGAATTTAAACATATTCCTGATTTAAATAAATCAAACACTTGTAAATAATATATATTAGTTATTGAATCTTAGGTTGTTGTATATAATTTTATTGATTTAGCCATTGACTAAGAGTATTGTAATTTTTCTTCTTCGGAAATAAAATAAACTATGAGGTATTTACTATCATGAAATTACTTGATCACCTGATTTCTCAAGTATTTCTACAGTCTATGATTCGTATTGCAAATAAATGAATCTTATTCATTGCGTCTAACACACATTCAGCGTACTCCGTTGCACGCATGTTGTTACCTCCGCGTAGCAGACAGTCTGCGCTACCCAGTGCACTCAAACTGGCTATGCGCTGTCGGCTCATGTCTGGCCAGCCCCCGGTTTCAGGTCATATTCGGACAAGCGATATCTGACCGGTTTAATCGCGGATATCCAGAGATGAACCGATGTACTCTAGCAGCGTGTGGCTGAGCGGGTCTGAGTGCTCTCGGTGGCGCAGACCGTCTGTTACGCGGATTGGGTGATTTTTGTCAGATTTGTGAGGCTTTTTATTTACTGACTCTTCACTGCACCACAAAAAACATTCAACAATGCATTTAGCATATTACCACTAATTGCATTCGAAGCGAGTAATTAAGCTTTGTCCCTAGGTGGGCAAAAGTATGGCCTCGTATTTTTTTAACACTACAAAAAGCATCCATTGTCAATATTTGATCCATCATTGTAAATCCTTAGATGTCTATTTTTCTTCTAAATCGCCACTCCGATCGTGGCATTTTTTGTGAATGCTGACATTTTTTGTGTTTCTTGTCTTACCAGCTAGCCACCAAGTCCTTGAGAAAACTCTGATCGACCGTTACGGGACTGAATCGCTTTCCACTCAAATGTGCTTTTTCAGCTTAGAGTTCAGGTCATAGTAGGTACTGTGAAACATTAAATAAATATTCAGATGCTCAATTCAGTACTAAACGAGATGTATGTTAAGCAAGTGCATAAACATTATCCATGACAACGCACGGCCACATGTCAATCACCTATCAATCAGCCGCCCTTTTGCAACAGTTTGGATAGGATTTAATCACACTCATCCTATATTACTGCGGATTTGTCACCCAGTGATTATATGCTGTTCTCGTATGTTGAAAGAAAATTTGACAAGACGGTTCCTTTTTGAGAACGAAATGCTCTCAAGGACCTCGCAGTAAACTGGCATGACACGACCATACAGAAAGTCCCAGAGCGTCCACAAAAATGCATCGACCGCAATTTATAAAATAGACCAATGGCTGAACTTTCTAATTATGTATCAAACATTGGAAATCGACAGTTTTTGTACTTTTACAAGAATATGAGACTTTACTTTTTGGTTTATTTCACTACAAGTTTTACCACTCGCCAAACTGCCTTATGCCTAGCACTACAAAAACGGGTACCACCACTGAATTTAATGAAAAATATCAAATGTTAGACATATTTATTTAAAACAATCTCAGCTCCGTACTCCACGTCTAGACTGAAAGTTTGTTAGAATAATGGTTGACTTTCTGGCAGAGATTTTCATTTTTTTATCTATAACCCATTTTCCTATTTAGTAAGTTATTCTAGAAACTTAGTATGTAGTAGAATACTACTACATACTTACTTGATAATATATGTGTACGGAAGGCGTGTGCCAAAAATTCTGTAAGTATTAGACAGAGTATCTGGGAGAAAATTTCACGAAGTTAAAACAAATAAATACGAGACATTTCAAGAAAAATGATTTTCAGAGTATTAACGTAAACTTTGTTCTCAAAATTTCCCCACCGAAAAACGTCTATTTTGTGGAACAGCTCGGGAGTCACCCTTATAATGTGGTAAGTGTAAGCACCACTGCATAGTTTTCAAAAAATGGATTTGTTTATTATTGGCTTAATAAATACTTTAAACCGAGAAAAACATTTCATACCTGAAAGTAATTCTTTTGTAATCGTGAGCTCTTATCCAAGCGCGAAATCTTATTTTAATTAATTTTTATTCTCAAACATACTAACAAATGCTATTTTAAAGCATTTATGTTCGGGTAGAATCAATAGTAACATGTGCTATTGTAGAGTCAACGCGTGTACAGAGAGGATTCATTTTTACATGGCTAAAATAGATTTGAAAGCTTTAAAAGTTTTTCTCGAAACACGTTTTGTAAAACGGCACTCATCATGACTCGGATAATTTTCATTCTTTTGATTTTTTCTTTTTTGTCCAAAGTAGCATACTCATGCTGCAGAGCACATCAAATTTTATGTGACTCGCGAAAATGGCTACAGTACATTATCTTAAATGTTTGATTAATTTTTTTCTGTTACCTATATGATAAATAATATTTTATTGCGTTTTCTTCCACAAAAAAGACAAATCATTATTACCGTTACAGTGGTGTTACTATCCCTTAAAACACATCCGTGAACTTACGCAAAATGTTGTCTAAGCTGAGGCATAAAATGATTTGCAAAAATGAATCACCTATGGTTGTGCCTTTCACTCAAACAAAAGGCCCAATTGATTAGTCTTGACATTGGCAACCACAAGTTCCAAATTTGAAACTGTTAACTCTTCCTGTGAAGTTTTCCAAAAGCAAAGTTTATGTTTATACTCCGAGTAATATAGCGGGCTTGAAAAATATACGTCGTGAAATATTTGAAATTGAACCTGATATGCTTCAGCATGTCTGTAGGTTTCGTGGGTGCGAGCAGTGGAATGTGGGGTATCGAGTTGAAGTTCTCTTTGAAAAATCCCAAATCTGGTTGCTTCAATTTCGATAAAAACGTCCTAAAATGTGCTGTAATTATTCATTTTACTGTGCAATGATTGATTTGAAGGGTTTTCTTGAGAGACGTATAGAACGTAATAGAAGAAAGTCAAGATTAATTTCGTAATCAAAAAAAGTTTGCTATAATAAAAATATGTATTATATTTATTTTGGCAAGTATAGTATATATAAATCGTTAGGTCACAAATATTTCCCAGACGATTCACCACGTTGTGTAAGTATTCTTTATCCTTCTACTGTCTAAATAGACGTTTAGTCCGTCTTTTTGTTGCATGTAGTAGGTTTCTAGAATAACTGCTTCGAAAGTATAAATCAGTAGGAATTAGCAGGGTAGACGTTTTCTGTAAGAGGCCCGATAACTTTTTTGCTATGCTACGTTTCATTAGTGGCAAATATTTGAATCTGTGTTATGCCCAGTTAGGTCAAACACCTGCGCACGACGTTCAAATTTGCTCGATCCCATTGCCCAACAGGCCATAAATGCCTGGGTGGGCAGCATCTACCGGATATACGCGACGATCGAGTGCTCATGTTGTTTGTTTTGACGTGGTATAAATAAAATTTGAACAGACAATAGGCAGTGATTATAGACTATATACATGGTGATTAAAAAACGATGCCGATATATCTATGTATATTAAAAGTAACGTAAGTTTGAATAAACATAAGTTCAAAAATGACCCATTACAAAGATACGTTGATTTCTACAATTCTGGCTCTTTTATGATTAATTAAGATCATAACATAGTACCCTAGTCTACTTCAAACTTTTTAATTTCAAAGATTAGTGTGTAGATGAATTATCTCAAATATTTGTCAAATTTTTTCTCTAAAAAGATGATTAGACAAAAAATCATCAGGAGCTAATTTATTCAGAATTAAGTACTTTATCTAAAATACAGTAAGAGTTTCACAAAAGTCAGTGACAGAACATATTTTTCGTTCCCCTTCTGTAGGGGTCAAAGTATCTGATTCTACGCCACTGGTGTAGTTGGAGCTTCATTTTTTTATTGAGATTGCTTTTGTTGTTAGTACTGCATGTTCAAAATTTTGATTCAGTATATTGTTGCCCTACGGATTTCTTGAGTTTTCAATTATACCCTCAACTTGTATTTCGATGAGAGTGTATTTTAGGATCCATGTTTATATTAACGTACTATTTTTTGCCTATTTTCTGCACTAGAAATATTGTCACTGGTTTCTGAATCACCCTCTAAAAATTTACTGCATTTAGCAAAAAAGTCATTAGGCCTAACTCATGAAGTTTTTGTACAATCTTAAATAATTATATTGTTACTTTATGGACTGGCCTTCAGTGTGCCTTGTAAATGTGGATTTACATGGTAATTGGTAAATTTGTTACAATATTTTTCAACGACTTTTAATTTAAGATGGTAGTATGTTAACTTGAATTGATATTTTAAAAAGCAAGTTATAGTAATTTATTACGACCCGCTATAACGAGAGAAAATATTTATTGTATATATAGTAAGTTATTCTTAAGTAGAATGTAATTGTTTATTACGTACAATTTGTACATACTGTTTATTTTATTTCAAATAATAAATGAGGGTATTTATTTTTATTTGCTTTTTATTTTTCTCCTGCAACCGTAGATGTTTGATGTGGTCAATTATCATATATTTTTATATTTATTCTTATTTTTGGAATGTGGCATGGCAGTAAGGGATTCGGTAATCTGTGTAGATTTTTTGTTGTCTTGTTCATTGATTTTTCGAGCCATTTGTATCCTGTTCCATAATACATATCCGTTAAGAAATCAATTATGAACTTTAGAACTTTTTAGAAATATTCCTTTTTAGTCTGACATTATCTAGAAACAGCAATTCATTTTCCGATTTTATTACAATAGTCAACAAAGTGCACCAATAACTGGCGTGCAATGCTGATGATATTGCTCAAACTCTAACTGTAGGCAAACCTCATCCGTCTATTCTGCCCCCTAAGCTTGATATGTTATTCAAAATGTACACGTCTTTTCATCCTTTTTGTCCTTTCAAACATGCTTTGAAGATAAAAGGAAAAAGTTGTTTTATTCGCAGAGGAATAAGGATTTAAATGACTTTAAAAAATACCATTGGACAGCATTTTTAACTGGTAAGTACAAGTTACAATTTTTGTTATGCAGTTTGAACTCCTCGAATAGCGCGTGCTAACAGTTACGTAAAATATATTCCTACTATGATGATATAATATTATCTTGTCGAGTCCTTCTGCCGATTCCGATTTTTTTTTCAATAAAACCATTTCAAAATCTAATAGTATTTTCAAAAATGGTATCAGGTAGATTGACTTAATACATCCCGCGCATTCAAATAGATTATTGTATTGATTTCAGTAGTTTGGCGTCGTGTTTTTTCTCTTGCAACTATTGATCATCTGTATTTCCTTTACTAATAGGTAAAACCTTAAATAGTATATGGCAATATTGCGCTAGGTAGCAATGTTTCTGAGATTTCGATCCTTGAACTAACGCCTTGCTCTAATTTTGCCGTAATAATGAATATGTTTGAGAAAATCAAATTGTCCGTCCGACTGTTAAAACTTGGCAAAAAAACTTAAGCGATTGAAGAGTAAGGCCCGTACTTCATTTCAAACTACGACTAACATTTGTAAAATAAGTATTTTTCTCAAAAATACCCATAAACTATTACTACTTTTGGACATTTTCTCCTCTTGACCTCATATTTGAAAACAAAATCAAAAAGCATGTGCAGTTTAATTGCGCACATAAGTGAAAATTCTATACGTATATTGTTTTCCCTCTAGGTCTTCGAAAGGACTGAAAATGGAAGCGTACGACTCCGCTGTACTGTCTTACGCCATGGCAACAGCTGCTTACAAAAACAAGCCCAACTCATTGGGTTTGGTTCCAGGAGGCATGCCCCACAAGTTACTCGATGATACTTTAACGCCTCCTGGTGAAAGCAATGAGAACGATAATGATAACAGGAACTATCTATACCAGCTACTGTACAATTTGGAACAAATGGTGATTAATAAGAACCCCGTGCAGTTGTCGCATCTAATGGAAATCTGTTCCACAAAACAAGCAAAGGTAAGATTCATAATTATTTTTCTTGGTATCTACACTTCTACAAGTGGGTTGAAATTTTTCCACCTCAACCACTCAAGTTTGGGTTGTTCCCCAACTCAGATGGTCAAGAAACTCAAACGTGCCTTGTTTTCCTGGCAAAAAAACATGAAAACGACAAATATCACCCACGAAATTTAATACCATTGTACGCGACTGGGGGTGATAATTCCAAAATTCCATTTGGTTGTAAGGGTAGACGTGACCTGCAACGACTAAATATATTCAGAAGCTGTATTCAGCATGACTCAGTTAGCCGTAGCAGATTCCCAACTGTTCGCATCAAAAGTAGTGGCTCACTAGTTTGAAACTTTGGCCATTTAGCTAGAAACGTAACATTTTGTCCAGAGATGGTCTTAGCTACAAAACAAGAGGATATTTGATACAATCTGTGGACAAAACGGGCAAACTTCTAGTCAAAAAGCGAAACTCAAAGTGGGTTTAAGCATCTCAAAGGTTTCAAAAGAACACCGACAAACCAATACTTGAAGCGCTATTAGTTACACCTCCACCGCTCTTATTTTTTCAGTGGGACAATCAGATATGTGCACCATTAGATGCTCTGCTGTCTGAATTACGACAAATCTGTAGGGCCAATCCAGGATCTATACACCTTTTGAAGCTTTATGTTGAAGGTAAACTAGAAAATAGTGATCACACTTACACAACATTGTTCAATATCCAACAGGATTACAATAAGGATAGTTTTTGTGTCACTGACTCGAGTCGAGTCTTGTTGTATCAACATTATTAAAAATCTATTTTTGCAGTTAATAAAGACAAGTGCATGTGTAGTCTGTACTTGGATGAGTGTTTAAACTGTATCTGTAAGCATGTTATGAATGAGAATATCAATATACATACTCCAGTTTAAAATCCTTCGGTCGAGTTAGACAAATTCTTTAGTGAGAAGGCTTTTCATTTTGAAACATTCGTATCTTTAATGCATATGTGATACTTATCGAAACCAATGGGAAAAACGGGATACAGAGATGAAATCTCCTCATGATTATAAGAATGAGTGTTTAACCAAATATTTCATTACAGATGACGTTCCTAAACCTTCACTAACTACAGAAGTCGTTTGTAAAACGTTAGGCGATCTATTGCGGCAGTTCGGTTTGAATGCGGGTGCTGCTATTCTGAAGAAAATAGTACATGCAGCTGATACATAAGATGTAGAAGAACTTTGTATTATAAATTTCATAAATATATTTTTTGTAAATTAATTGCGAGAATCTTATAGTTATAATTTTGCATTTGTTGATCATTAATTGAAATGTGTTCTATGTTGTACACATTAAAAATGCGCATCTATCTCATGTGTTAATCTTATTTATTATTCCTCAGATTCGCCCCTGATTCATTTTATCAGCGGTTTCCAAAGTTATTGAGTTACATATTTAATGAAATACTCTGGAACTGCTTGATGTGAACGTAAGGTAGGCTTGAACTACATTACCATTATTTTTTTAAAGTAATTGTTGCATTCAAAATAAATTATTTGAAATGCAGTGAACATCCTAATCAATGTGTTCGTCTAACACCTACAGTGACATTAGACGTGTTACACCCAAAAAAATAATTTCCTCAACTTGTTTTTTGGGCAACTTAATGACTATATTTAAAGCATGCTGTGGCAACAATGTCAACGTTTTATCTTTGTTTTTGTTTAGCCTTGTTAAAATGTTCTCTTAGTTATTGTGAAGAAAGCAGTGCCTGAGAGCTGAGTCGTACAGATATTCTTATATATTGCCCCTTCATTTACTAGTGTTAAGCCTAACAAAATGGCTCGAGTTCCAAATTATCACCATGTTAGCGACTTTGACAGGGGCAGAATTATTGCCTATCGAAATGTGGTTTGTCCTATCGCGAATTTGGCCGCCGAGTGAATTGTACTGCAATGACGGTAATGCGTGTGTGTGGATAGAAGAAGGTAGATAAACAGAAAGAAGGCCAACTGGTCCACCGAGACATACCACAGAGTGTCAAGACAACTAGCCCTACGCATTCGAGCTTTTCGACTTTTTTCATACCGTCCATGGTTAGTGCTTCCTCTGACTGCGGACCACCGTCGTCAACATTTGAACTGGAGCAGAGAACGGCAACATTGGGAGGCAATGATAACATTTCTACACTGAGTATATTTCACCAAGCCAGTCATCTGTCATCTCGTTTTCCTATTTAAAAAAAAGATGTACAGTACGTCAAAAAACAATAAATTCTGTCTGACACACTGAAACTTTAAAATTTTAAAGTTATCTATACGACAACAAGCCATTTAATTCTCTGTTCCAAAAGAATAGTTGGGAATCAGTTCTGAACTGTACTTACCTCGGGCCTGCGCAGAAAAATAATTCGAAATTAATTCTGAACTAGTTCGGCACGGGTATCTTGGAAAGTAACATTTTGTCGGTTTTTTGATATTTCGTAGGTTTTTTGTGACATAACATGGGTTTTTCTACAAGGTGTTAACATAGCACAAGCTATTGTACACTTGTAAACTCGTTTTATAGCTGTACGTGTCAACGTACCGCGATCCTAGCGAGCAAACGTGGAGGGTATTTTTTTAACATTTTTTGCCGAACTGATTGGAACAAACCTTAAGACTGTTTTGTCTTTTGGTGATTTTCAATATCTCAAATCTACACAACTTTAATTAGACATATTTCACACATCAGATTTCCCCGTACATTTTGCTCTTAAAATCCGACATCATAGACCATCTGGCATCGCTGAACCACGCCAATCAGCCATGAGCCAACGTCAGCGGTGAGTGGTCAGATGCGAGACCATCACACACGGTTTTAAGTACATAGTGCGACCGCTATGCGAACATTTCTGTATCAAGTTTTAACAGCAAATGTACGGGGAAACCTGTGATGTGTAAAATATGTATCAATAGATTTCTAAAATTGCCAGTATTGAAAGCGCATAAATGTACTAATCGCCAAAATTGAGATACATTCTACTCTCCCCCTACGGCCACCACCCCAAATTTTTACCCCGCAAAAATAAAACGAGCATGAATCTCTTGAAACGTCGAAGAATGAAGTTTGAACGATTTTAATTTTTATTTTTTTTACCCCTAGCTCTAACCGATTTTCAAAAACTACAAAGCGTTTTCGTCCTTGGTATAGTGGTAAGATTGTGTGAAAACATTAGATCCGAGTGGGACTTTCCAAATTATAGAGGGGTCAAGCAATAGCGGACAGACTGACCGACGGATACAAGTGATACGGTTTTTCGTGCATCTCATTTTCAAATCTTCTCGCGATTACAATGGCGCGGAAAGTAAAACAGTCAACTTTGACAGCTTGTAAGTCAGTCATCCTTGCATACATAGTAGCAAACCTATCGTCACATTTGTGCATTATCTATAGAAGGTGTTTAAAAACGCAAAAAGAATTCAAATAGAACACCCATTATATTTTCACGAGCCAAAGCTCATATTTTTATGTTTTATTCTGGGAATTTAACTAAATGAAAATGTGTGCGATAATTATATGTCGCGTAAAGAATATTTTTCGACTTCAGTATTTTTTTCAATGAATAAATTTCAAGTTACAGCCCAAGAACTGTATTTCATGCCCAATGTATGACAGTACTATTTTTTCCCTGGCCAGACAATAACACCACCAACTCCTCAGATTAGATTCATCTACTTATGAACGAATCATATAGTGTAAAACTTGTTCTGCAATGCATAAGTAAACAGTTTTTCATACAGCGTTTGTAACCCCCCCCTCACTTTATTTTTTGCACGGATAAAGCTTGCGAACTGTAATCCGGGATGATGAAATTGATGCACGATAAGAATATTTGCGCGTAAAAGTGGTAGTTGGAATTTTTAAGATGGCGACTGGGCGCCCCCGCCCCTCAATCCATTCAGAATTTTAGCTTGCTAACTTTGACCTGTTTAAACATAGGTAGAGGGAGGGGGCTTTTTGAAAAGCACCGTGTATGTATGTTGACTAGGAATTGGGAATAAAATTAGAATCCAAATATAGAAAAACAGTGACAGTATTGCCAAAGGTTTCACGCAAAAAAAAAACTAGTAAGTGTAAAAGTTTTATTATTAAAGAAACGTCTTTTTATAAAAATGTTTTTTAGAAACTGTCACAAAAATATTGCATTTTCTAAGAATCTTCGAGATCACATAAAATTGTGCGACAGTTATATGAACTTTCTAGGAATGTTATATAAATTTTATCAAAACATATTTCAACTGAACCGCTGTAATACCATTCTAAGAATAATAAACGTATGCGTAAATATGTTGAATAATAATAATTTTTTTAACCTAGGATATATACAATAACTGCTCATAAAAACAATATAAATCACAATTTTTGGTTATACGATATAGTACTTACATTATTCGCGGAGTATTCTCAACATATACAAAATATGTGGCTACAAACAAAATATGTACACAATATATAGCAACTGATTGGACTCAAGTGTGCTCGAAAATTTATGTTTTCATATCATACAACCATTATACCACTTTGAGACGAGCAAATAAAGTAAAGAAAGATGGCATAAAATGAAAATAATGACAGTTTTTGTACAGACATTTACTGAAGGAATTTCGTCTTTGGTTCCCATATAAAGGCACGTAATTCAGTCGTTTAAATTATTTATATTTTCTCAAATATCAATTTTATTGACATTAGTACTAAAGGCGGTAGTAAAAATATAATTGACACTTACAGATCATGTCATGGACGAATATCAAAGAGAGCTCCTGGAAACAAGTTTTCGTTTGAAAAACTGCACAAAAACGCAAGAAAAAATATTGATTTCTAGTAGGATGACCAACTGCGTTTAGCATAACCGATGAAAAACAATTATTTGTTAGGAACAACAGGCATTTGCTAGAATAAATCAATCTGTACATTTTTGTTCTTAATGTGTCAAATGGCATTTTAAGACCCAGCGATTTATTACATAATTCAAATAACTGATTATAATTCAGGAGCGAGCTGACCATTCTATTTAATTCAAGCAAATATTACTCTTACTGGTAATCAAAGAGCCTATCTAAAATGGTTAATTTATTCTAGAGCTAAAGTATATATATAAAAGTTATCTAAATTTTTACTAAAACAAATATGTCTGCTTTTTTGTAATTCAATTTTTCAGGAAGTTTATAAAACCGAAGAGAAACAACTTCTTTTCAGGAAGATTTAGTAACCTATAACATACTTCATACACTCTTACTCAAGTATGTATGAATTTTGAGATACTTGACGATTGCAAAACACATTGTTAGTACCTATTGGTGTTTGCTTTAAGTGTCAAGATTCTCATTGTTATTGTACATTTTGTCCACTGGATTATACACATCAAATTATAAGAGACAAGAAGTTAAACTGGACACAGTCGTTTACGTTGTAGCGCCTATTCTAAATTCGTAAAAGCTCAGGCAGTTTTTATATCTGTTTAATGAAGTATTATGCTACTTTAGAAAGTATAACTCTAAGAGTATCTGAAATTCATTATTATAATATTTAAATACTGTTGTAGGTCTTAGAGCCGACTCAAATCACGATAAGAACAAAAATGCATATTTTTCACATGAGCTTTGTCATTCATTGTCAAAGGAACAAAACTTGCTTTAAATCCAATGAAAAATAACGTCATGGTGAATTCATGCAAACTTATTTTTCCTTGGACGTAACTTAGGGAAGAAGCTTTACGGTGTGTATAGATATACATAAAACCATGCCTTACTTGTACTACCTTGAGTTCCATCAACATAAGTTTGATACTTTCACCATATAAAACCCACAAAACTCAAGCTCAACAACCTGCCTATTGATTATCACGCATATAACGCCTCCTACATACTCATTCACACTTCCATCTCCTCTGCAGTCTTGCTCAGGCGGTTATTGTCAATACGTCTACGCTGACTGCGCCTTACCGCGTCTGCTCTGCGGTAAGGCTCGCTCCTCAGGCCCAACAGGATGTCCTCAAGGGCACCATTGTACACCTCATCTTGCTGCAATAGCTTCTTTTCTTGCACCAAGCGCGTCTTTGTCTTTAGTTCATTTATGACGGCTTCCTGTTATGGGTACGGGTAGATCAGAAGTGGGATTTAAGGTACAATGGGTTGGGGGATGCAAGTATGGTAAGAGTCGTGGCCGTGCTTGTCCAGAAGGTTCTATACAAGATACAAGATATCAGGAAATGTAGGTGTATAGTTTCTTTAATACTTGTTTGTTTATCTTCGATTTTTCACTCGTGTGTTGGTAAACGTCATATTTGAAATTCGTACATTGGAATCGTTCGAATTAATTGCTGAATGAATCAACCAATATAATTTTATTTTTGTACCGGACACCGATAGAACGCGACCATATATTTAATGTTATACTGTCAACGTCAGATAAAAAATGTTATTTTCATCACATATGACGGAAGCCTAACTAACCTCCATGGCATAAGTAATTATATGGCGTGGAAATAGTACACTGAGTTTTTAAGTGGGCCATTATTGTGCTGATGCGCGTAGCACCGAAAGATAGAATGTACGAGATCAATAATGGCCGTCTTTAACAAAGTAAGTATAGAATTTTTCACAGGCAGTCGATTCAGACAAGCCTATTTTGAAGGGGAGTAAGATAAAAATGTTGGTCGCTTATATTTTCCTTCTATTGCCAATATTATAGAGGTATCCTAGGAGGATACGATCTAGATCTAAATTTACCAAGTGAGGGAATACATAATATATAATAATTGATGACACGATCGAGGTTCTATAAATCCGATGTTTCCTACTTCAACCGAACAGTTTTTAGCTGGACTACCTAACCCTCGAATAACAGGTTTTGTTGGGTGGTTAATTCAGGAAATGAAGAATACTAACCTCTCATTGCGGTCTGTTGGAAAATCTTACGGTGTCAAGCTGGAACTTATAACACAGTTTTGGCAAGAAAATTTAAGTTTTAACACTAGAGGGCAAGCTTTGTTTGATCACAAAAAAGTGACAAGACATGCTTTTAGAAAGCAAATTACTGGGTGTTTAATAAATCGTGACCAAAAATGAAACACCGTACACAGGACCACATTTTAAGGGGGCTATTCTATGTAACATTGTTTCCTCGAGGACTTCATTAAAAAGATACGGGGTGTTGAAGTTTAAAAATAAATAACATTTTTTTTAATATCTTCAATACCGTCAAAATGGAATGAACTAAAATTTGGTATATGGATTTTACTTAAAATTAACGTGCACCAGTGGCGGAGATACAGGAGATTAGGTGCATTATTTTTCCAAATAAAAATAGTACGCCACTGTTTTTTTCTAAACGCGCAATTTTCGAATTGTACCTTCAATTTGCTACAAATAATTACTCTTGTGTTTTTTTCTAGAGTGCTTTATTTTCGTAAAAATAAAAAAAAACAAATTAGTAAAAACCTTTGGGGTAGGTTGGCGTCTGTTAGGAAATCTACGTTGATACTCCCGAGAAGCCGCTAGAGCATTTCCATTTAACAACATTCAAAAATGGAAAAAAGAAACTCTTGACTTGACTTTTCAAAAAAAATGGTAGTAGTAACGATAACAACCATTTAACACATAACTTCGACAAACTATCTCCCAAGAAACGTCAAGTTGGCATCAATGCCTCCTATTTTATTTTGAAACTAACTGTATCTCGGCTTTTTATTTTTCCGAAAACAGTGCACTCTGGGAAAATACACAAGAGTAAATATTTGTAGCAAGTTGCAGGTAAAATTCGAAAAATAGTGAAAAAATAATGCCACTAATCCAATGTGTCTCCGCCACTGGTGCACGTTAATTTTAAGGAGAAACTTTTGAATGTGGACAATACTTGAGTAAATCCACATACCAAATTTTAGTTCATTCCAGTTGACGGTTCTGAAGATATTAAAAGAATTGTTTTTTATCTTTATACTTCAAGACCCCGTATCTTTTTAATGAAGCCCTCGAGGAAAAAATGTTACATAGAAGACCCACCTTAAAATGCGGTCCTGTGTACGATGTTTCATTTTTGGTCACGAGTTGTGAATCACCCTGCATTTTGAAAAATGCCCTACTAACAAATATTTCTAGAAGGAAACATGTTTGACGTATCTCTTACTTCAGTTAAATTACGTAATGTTATTAAAACTTCATTGGCTGTTGAACAACCTTCTGGACAAGCTGATACATTTCAATCCATTTTTTTAGAAAACTTGTCTAGTGCATTTTTGTACATATACATTTAAAAAGATTAGTCTTTTCACTTGAACCGCTCTAAGCAAGTGTATATGTGCGAGTGAGGGTGAAAGTTAATCTATTTCAATCTAACCTATATTGTGTGTGATAAGCCATTCTAGTCTTCCAGTATTTTAGCCAGAAAGTTTGTCAATTTTGGCGGCTGAAATGTGAGAAAAAAGAGATAGTTGGTTTTTGGTTGCACTGATGCTTGGATGCTTTCATGCCAAAGAACTTTTTAGTCACATGATTTGAGGATTAGATAAACTGGAAGCGATTACTAGCGTAAACATTTCCAAGGCAGGTAATAAAAAGTTTATTGAACATATACAGGGTGACCCACGTAGAACTGCAGTGATCGATTCACTCAAACAGTTCACGTAAGACAGTTATGGAAAAGGTTTATAGCATAACTGATGGGAGCTACTCGGCTAAAGCATTTTAAAAATAGTGGTACTTCCGCCTGACCGAAAGTAGATGTCGACTTGTTTATTTTAAATAGAACACCCTGCAAGTTATTAAATTTTTGGATTCTACGCGAGATTCTAAATACAATTCATGTATATATTGTATACCTAAGTCTAACCATATTTCAGAAATTTCAAATTTTGCATAATAATTACAAGTGGAAGCCTATTAATTTATAACAGTTTTTTCTCGTATTTTTGGCTTTGCCATATGGTTTGAAATTAGTTTCTTATAATAGTAGGAGAGCTACGGGGTGGTCGAAAAAGGGGAATGAAAATTAGGCTTAGAAAACCAAAAAGGGCAAGTTTTCAAATGGAAAGCACCTTTTTTAATATCCCATCATATTGAAAATAAGGTTAATTTTGTATAAGGTTATCTACCTCACAAATTAATAGTTTTCTAGATAAGTTGAAATATTGATTTTTCCAAGTCTTAAATGCTCCACATGGCTTCTATCATAAGATAATATCACTTGGAGATGGCGGAAATACGGCAAACTACTAGGGATGGATGGATGACCAACTGAGATTATCTTATGGTGAACGCCATATGGAACATTTAACCAACAGAAAAACCAATATTTCCATATCTCTGAGACCATTAATGTGCCAATTAGACAAGCTTATACAAAACCTTATTTTCAATACCTAATACGATGAAACTTATAAAAAAGGTGGTTTTCATTTCAGAACGTTGTTTTTTTAATCTTATTTTCATTCCCTTTATTCATCGCCTTTTTATCCAAAACTGTAATAAAATTTGCCAAAATAGGTGCCCTACTATCAGAAACCCGCTACAAATCATACGGGAAACGCAAACGTACGAGAAAATATTAAAATAATACATTTGCATGTATTTGTCATTTTCTAAACAAAATTTGAGATGTCTCAAAAACGGTGTGTACATGAAAAGTATTTAGAATCTTGAAACATCAAATTGTGTCAGAAACTGGTCGGGTTTAACATGAGTATGAAATATTTCTATTCTCATCTTTTATGATAAGCATCTCAAGAATATTGTGTCAAAATTTCAAATCGATCGTAGCAAAATTGACGTCCTTATTGGTATTTAAGTGTTTGTTGCTCCAAACATTTTTTATACTTACTCGGGTAGAACAACACATATTTTGACACCATCAGCTATTTTGCGGACGTCATGTTTGTGGTTTCTTCTCTATTTTTATTTAATTTATTGGCGCTGTCAGTGTTTCCCTAGTATACCTACTCTTTGCTTACAGTATGCAGATCAGTTCAAGTGCACACTCTACCCAGTAGATGTATGCGAAACTGTAAACGGTTTTTCGAGACTTGAAATTTTTTACTCGCGCTTACGCTCTAACTCAACATCTAATGCACCGATTCCTTTGAAATATTCTGATGATCCTCCAAATAACAAGATAACCAGGTTGAGTTTTTTTTGTTCTTTTTTATTAATCATTTTTGTTTTTGCAATAAAAGATTTGGCAATTTTTTACCGAAAATTGTGTTTTTGACTTACAGGAGCTACAAAAAATAGAAACATTTGAAAAAATAAAAAAAGCTAAACATGGTTACCTCGAAAAACCCCTCACCTAATAATTCCATTTTGAATTGTCTGATTCAGATTATCCAGTGAAGAGTGACAACTTACACCGCAAAACTACTTTTTTACACGATACCTCCGGAGATTTGCTGCCAACGGCTCATTTAAGATTTCACTTTGAAAATTCAACAGGAAATCGTTCAAATGTCATATTATTGTATGGTACTTGATTAAATAGATCATCATTACCCGGATCGCCCTTACTTCTGGTGTCAAAAACAGGCGTTGCATTTAAGAAAACTGTCTTGACCTTCAAAGACAAAGTCAAAGTCACGTGCAAGATCACCATGAGATGAATCTTTTCAAAGCTCACAACCTTGTCCGACATTTTTCTCTGGGTAACGTATTTTTCGAGATATTTTGATCTATCCAACCTTTTTGAACACCATGTATCTTATATATCTTCGTGGATAAAACCATGCCCATAACCTTCCTTGGGTTTCAATTAAAAAATGTACAAATGTTGTCTCCGTATTGTATTTCAGACGTGATGCTGACAGAGTGGACAGACGTTCACAGTTATATATAAAGAAAAAATATTTATACTATACCTACCAATATTGATACTATAACATTTTGATGAACAGTTGTTGAGTTATGAGTGATTCGATTATACAAAAATGCTCAACTGTGACAGCCTGCCAGGTCGCCATTTTGAAAGATAGGGATTTTATATTCCACGATCATAAAGAACTCGTAAAGAGCTTCAAGACAAATGACCCAAAATGACGGTCAGCCATTGTCTTGAAATTTTCAACCGCCTCGTTTACGATAGAATACAGTATTCACTGCATGTTGCTAACTGGACTCGTTCAAAAAATAAGTAGGAGGGACCTTTCTGAAAAGTACTTTATCAGCAGTAAACGGGAATATGCGGCACCGGTGGAGGTAGCCAGTTCAAAGAGTATGGCATGTAACCTGGAAGAGGCTTACCGTCCCGAGATGCTGTATAATATGGGTAATAATAAGCTTGATTGTCCTATTTACTATCCAAAATCAATTTTATGGTGCTGAAGAAATCCGCGCGCTCCGTTATAGAACTGATATTTCAGACATAACCCCTGTTAAAAGGATGTGTGATGTGTTTGACACTTATCGTCAAGGATACGACATAAAATGATTATAAGTGTATTCAAAACAAACCTATGTAGTGATGAGCCAGCGATATGTACTTTTTGTAATTGTAGCCTTGATTTTCAGAAATTTATTTATTTTTTAGTGTTCAATTTGACATTCACTGATATCCATCTTTGTTTTATCTTATAATTCTGTTTTTCATTCTGTTTTAAATTCATTTAGTAAAATGAAATTTTAGACGCAAGAGAATGTAGCATTATGGTGTTACTTTCGAATATTACTGTGATTCTGTGTGAACCTGTTGGAACAAAAGATTATTATCCTCCTTTTTTAATTCGTGTAAATAAACATATTGACCTAAAAACCATTTTACACTATACTTGAGCCTGGCTTCAAGTTCGGTGTCAATCAAGAGTGCTTTAGCACAATTTTACTATCAAGATAACCTGAGATATGTTCTTTTCTTTGATCTTGAGCTTGCCATACATATGATTTTCTTAATCGATAATATAGCTTTGCCGAAACTATGAAACATACACGAAGAACACCTGCCTTGAAAATGATTCTAGACTACTGGTTCAAGCTTCTGCAGAGGAAAATTATATTATAATATGCTAGGTTAGTAGGAAAATTTCAAACATGCAAATGCACAGAAATGCAGCTTAGCAAATATTCTCAAGAAATGAATCTTATATCTGCGGAAGTACTCTAAGCCATTCGACCTGATTATTCCGCTCTTTCTTTGGTCATACTTGTATATGAAACATGCAGATTTGAGCCTACCTTACTTATGTACAAATACTGGAATATAAAAAATTAACGAGCACTGATCAAGTTTTTGGTTAAAAGTTCATATCTGCTTACTTCACCTAATACTGTTTAAAAAAATGAAAAATTGTTATTTTCCATGGTCAGAAATCATTTAGTTTTTAAAATTTGAAGAATATGCCAATCTTTTTATAAGATATATTAATGTTTGACCTAAAAACACCATTGCTACCAATTATACTAAATTATGCATGTCGAACGTTAAAAAAAATCAGTCTACTTGTATTTTACATTAGCAGTAAGCATCTACAAAGCAGAACATATAAAATACTACAGCAGAACTACTACTACTACTTTCTGTAAAAGGGAAATAATCCATTACATACCTTGGTGGAGAAGTATGTCAGTGGCCAAGCAATTTTATATTTTGAGGCGATATAATGTGTGAAGACAATGGCCTTCTCCACCGGGGTAAGTATTACCTTTCTTTCACTACTAACTATGAGGTATTACCACATTCGATTTGATTAAACGTTGAAAAATAACAACGGCATAACTGCCAGATAAAGCTGATGCAATGTCTGCATCACAGAACGTTCCACAAGAGAAGGATTTTGCCGCTCCGTGATAGTGTCCGATAGAGACAGAATAAGTCAACCTGTCGTTAGTTTTCATTTTCAAATACTCCGAAAATAAATAAATAAATGCAATCAAGAACAATAATTTCAGATATCAAGCAGACTGTGCATTTCCTCTTAGTGAACAAAAATCATTAATGTTCAAAAACTGATAAAGGGTTTGATTTCAATGATAATTATGTGCACAACAAGCCAAAGAAGCTATATATGAATAAACCCATTCTTTATTTACTTATTTGGACATTTTCAATTATCATTATTTACCTAGGAGGAGAAATGTAACTTAAATGAATGTGGAAAACCATGGTAATTTCTCAGATTAGTAGTCAAAAAACAAATTTGAGTAAACAAAGAACTCTGGAATATTCAAGGCATTCATGTTTACTCAAAGTATTAGTTAATAACGAGTATTTATATAAAATAATTTTCAATAAAAGATCTATGTTGTCTTCGACCTTTGGTTGAGTAAAATACATCATAATTTCTAGGATTAATTAAGTAACAAGAAAATGTATCCATATTAACACTAATTTTAAAAAATTCAAATAGCCAAAAATATGTCAAGTTTTATGTATTATCTAAACACTCGTTATTATGCGGCTTTTCATAGTTGAGTCATTTATTTTATCTGCTTGTAGGACTCGTCAAAAGGAGTTGATATACCAAAAATTACCTATATAAAAGTTGCATAATAAAATAAATAGTAAAAGATTAAAAATATTAAAAAATAAGCATGTCGTTACACAGATTTTTGATATTCTCGACCACTGCCGTGTAAAATCTTAGCGTTTTTGTTTACTGCTCTTATCGTTTATCTAAATTCGGCAAACTGTTTGTGTTATTGTATGGTTTTCAGTACGAGTCTTTGGTCCCATCCGTTGTATCAGTCTTTTAATAGTGCGTATACTTTCATTTGGCTGATTATTTGGTGCGAAAAAATGGCCCATGTTTACGAAAACAATGAACTAGTGGTCATAATACTTGTTAGAGATTTCCAACAAAATGCAGCCGCAGCATGTAGGCTGTAGGCGAAAATGTTGCCTTTAATAAATCATCCGGCCCCACGGATAACTGTACATTTAGTTATTAGACTTCGTGACACAGGATATTTAAAAGAACAACGAGAAGGTCACGCTAGAAGACCTGCTCAACCTGAAATGTTACAAATTAAGGGAGACATTTTAGAAATGGTCGTAAACGACCCAACAATGAATACTAGAGCCATAGCAGCTCAAGTTGAAGTTTCTCATAGTAAAGTGTAGAAGGCAATACGACAAGAACAGTATTATCCTTATCATTATCAACAGGTACAAGCATTACAACCTGAACACCTTACTAGAAGAGCTGCATTTTTTAGAACAGTTCAGCAGAAATAAAGAGTTTACGAAATTAATTTTGTGTACAGTCGAGGCCACATTCTCACAAAATGGGGTGCACAATTTTCACAACAATCATGTTTGAGCGGCAGAACATCCGCATGCTGTAAAAAGAACTCATTTTCAGCATAGATTTTCATTAAATGTTTGGGATGGCTTGGTAAATGGCATGCTTATTGAACCTTACTTTTTTCCTCCTCGACTGACCGGTGATATTTTTTTTATTTTGAAGCGGAGCAAGGTTTTACGTTATTCGAACAAATGGGGACAATTTTTAACAGTTTTTGTAAAAATGGTATCCATTTAACTTGATCATGAGTTTTTATAAGTAATTTTTAATAATGCAGACTAACTCTTATTATGCAATTTTTATATAGGTGATTTTTGGTATATCAACTTCTTTTGACGAGTTCTACAAGCTGTTAAAATAAATGACTCATCTTTGAAAACACCATGTATATTTGATATAGACATTCGGCACCAGGGCTATAAAGAGGCGATGCTAGCCTGCTGGCGTTGCCATAATTATTTTACAAACCTGTTGTTTTTTCTGGTTGATTTTATTCCGTTTTGCAACGTCTTCTTCGGCTTTGTTATTGGCCGCATTTTGAGCTGCCAGTTCCAGCCTTCTCCGCTGTTCATTTTCTTGATCTGCCGCCTGAAAACACAATAGTGAAATCTACAAGCGCCAGGCCAGATCTTTGTTAAAGGTGAAACACTACTGTTGCAAACACATTTGATTGATAGTTAATCTAAAAGAATACCAAAGTATAAGATTAAGAGAACCATGAGAAATAAATATTTTGTTCTAAAGCACATTAACTCACCGCAAATGGGTAATGAAAATGTCAGTTCAATTACTTTGGAATGAAGAATTTTGTAGTTAATATAATATGTATTAATACTGTAACATGACATGTGTTGCTTCAACATCAACATTTTATCAGAATGGATCACAATCTGAATAAGTTGATTCAGAATACGTGTCAAATTATGTCAAACCAGTCATTGCAAATGCAGGGTGTTACTTGATGATAGGCCGCAAATACAGGGTCCGGCAATGAAACGCGAAGATTTGGCTTGGGGCTTGCAGCGGGCCGTGAAGTGGTAGGGAGGACAGTCACAGACCTGTCGGGACCCGAGTGGCTTGCCATTTAGTCTACAATGGAGCGTTGGACGGGTGAGCATCGCGGTTACGCAATTAAGGCTTATTACCAAAATGGCGAGAGTTTAGTGCAAACGCGTCGAGATTTTAGACGGCATTTTAACATACCGCGTAACCAACCGGTTCCGTCAGACCATGCGATTCGAATGTGGCTAAACAACCTCGAGCAAACTGGATCGACGTCTAGAGAAAGAGGTGGTAGTGCCAGAACGATTCGAACCCCTGAAAATATTGAACGTGTTCGACAAGCCATTTTAAGAAGTCCACGTCGATCGGCCATCCGTCACGCCACACGCCTTCGATTAAGTGACAGATCGGTGAGAAGGATTCTCCATCAAGATCTTCGATATCACCCGTATAAAATACAGGTTGTTCAATCTCTTCACCCGGATGATTATCAACAGCGTCTCAGATTTTGTGAGGTTATGCTTGCAAGGCTGGAAGAAATTGATGACCAGGTTAACAACTTGTGGATGAGCGATGAGGCACATTTTCACCTCTCCGGTTTTGTTAACAGACAAAATTTTAGATACTGGGCAGAGGCTAACCCTCGTATGCTTCATGAATCACCTCTTCATGCTCAGAAAGTGATAGTATGGTGTGCAACGTCTGCAAATGGAATCATCGGTCCGTATTTTTTTGAGGATGAGGCTGAAAATGCCGTTACCGTTAATTCTGAGAGATACGTTTCAATGATTCGGAACTTCCTCACACCTGAACTCTACCGCTTTCCAGTTAATGAACACACACTTTTTCAACAAGACGGTGCAATAAGCCACACTGCAAGAATTTCGATGAATGCGGTGAATGCTTTGTTCCCAGGGCGTGTCGTTTCTCGAAACGGGGATATTGCTTGGCCCCCTCGGTCTCCCGACCTTACTGTCTGCGACTCCTTTTTATGGGGTTATCTGAAAATGAAAGTGTTTGAAACTGATCCACCCAGGACAATCCCGGCCCTCAAACAACGAATTCGTGACGAGATTGCAGCAATACCTGTTGATATGCTGCGAAGAGTTATGCAGAACTTCCAGGCTCGACTCCATGAATGCATACGTGTCAACGGAGGCCATTTGACAGATGTAATTTTCAAAAAATAATGTTTTTTAACATTGTATATCAAATGGCTACTCTTTTATTTCCCAGTATGGTATTACTAATTACAAAAAAAAATATTTTTTCGATAATAAAATTATTTACTAAATCTTCCCGTTTCATTGCCGAACCCTGTATAAGGCATATTCTTGAACCAAACTTGAGTAACTTCATATAAATATGTCTCCTAAAAGTCTGGCTTCTGGGTGTCAAAGTTTGGACAAAAAATTGGTTTTTATTTATAGATTTTACTAATCAATATTGTTAAGTTTTGACAGTGTTGTACCTTGCAATAAGACGCTAAGTTAGCAATCACTAAAAGGTTTATAAGTTACAGTGGCGTCTCAGTATAAATATTAAAGAAATGTGCGCTAATTTTTAAAAAATATATGTTATTTTTCGGATTAAGCAGCTAATGCTAGAACTTTTTTTGTCTCTTAGTGTCTCTTCAAAACCTACCTCGTTTTCCAAAAAAAAAAAAACAACTTCATTATTCATTCGAAAAATTGTTAAAAGACATCAAACCTACTTTGATCCTTGCTAGGGAACGTTGTTCTTGTTCATATTTTTGGCTTTCCATTGGCAGTTTGCTATTATCTTTTCTTTGAAATTCTGTTTATTGGATATAAGACAGGTTTGTATGAACTTTTATACTTAAATTTTGTACAGGAAAGCGCTCTTGTAATTACGGCCTATCATTAAGTAATACTATGTATATTTGTTGTAAAAATACAACACAGAAGGTCGTGGCAGTAGTATGGCATCGAGTCTAGTTTTTCCTCACAACTTACATATAAACCAGGGCAAATCATGGAGACAATCACAAAGTACGTGTCATACTTTATGCTAAGCGTAACTGAAAGGAGGCCCAGAGCCAAGCATGCTCGATTAGGAACCAAACGGTCTGAGCTAGAAGCATGAGAGTTGTCGGCATATACAGTGAAAGCTCCCATAAGCGGACACTCACGGTTCCGTAACTTTTGTCCGCTTATGGGAGGTGTCCGTTTAAAAGAGAGTATGTAAGTATAGAGTATAAATAACGGGGTATATAATCATGAGGAAATGAGGTATTATAATCATGAGAAAAATGAAACAGAAACTCGCCACATTTTTAAAGTATGTATTTATGCTATATATCTGTATAATATATGTACATATACGCATACAAAAACATAAATGCTTCAATACATGGTACGAGAATTTAAAAAAAACATTATTCTTTAGCTTGTTGAAAAAAGTTTAAAATGTTTGTCTGACAAAATTTCACCATCTTTTGCTGAAGGAGACAATTTTCGTAATAACTTTCTAAATTTTTCAAATGTTGAAATGCAGTGAAATCATCTTTAGCAAATTTTTTCAATATAGAAATATGATTTAGAGCTTCCCCATATGAATTTATCGTTTTTGAACCGCTTAGTGAGTCCACCAGTTCCACTTCTTCTTCCGAGTCGTTTGGACTACCATATTCAAGTTGGCCTGGGCTTTCTACATCCAAATTCGAAAAGTTGCCAATGGCATTTTCTTCTGTTGTTATGTTATTGTCTATGGCCAGGAAATCATCTACTTTCTGGGGATCTGCTACTCCTAAATGTTTGGCATGTCGCAGTAACTGAGCAAGTGTCGCTAAGGGCAGATCGTCTTCAGCATCGCAATAATTTTGCTCAGCAAATTCTGAGCTACATTCACTTTTTCTGAATCCAGCTTTGCCAAAACAGTTTTTAATTGTAGAGCAATTTACTTTATTCCATGCTGTTTTTATAAAATACAAAGCTTCTAACACATTGATAGACTTCGTAAGCTCAGATAAGCTTTGACCATCGTCAATTTTTGTTAAAATATGTTTTAAAATCAAGTGCCGATGATAAAATTTAAAGTTCTGTATGACACCTTGATCCATGGGCTGACAAACAGAAGTTGTGTTTGGCGGTAAAAATATAATTTTCACATTTTTCATTTTCATATCACGAGGATGAGAGCATGCATTGTCTAAAAATAAAAGAACTTGCCTTTTTTGGATTCTCATTTTCCGGTCGAATTCGACTAACCACTCAGACATGATTTCTCGGGTCATCCATGCCTTTTTGTTGGATTTCCAAGTCGCTGGTAGATCCTTAATAGCAACGTTTTTTAAAGCACGGGGACGAGCCGCTTTCCCGATCACAATCAAATCGCATTTTTCACCGGCCATATTTGCACAGAATAAAATGGTTAGTCTAACTTTAGACAACTTTCCACTCACACATGTTTCTCCTTTAAAGGACAGAGTTTTGTCGGGCAATGCGCGAAAAAAAAGTCCACTCTCATCTGCGTTGTACACATCTTCTGGTTTGTAGCCAAGCAACATGGACGGAAGTTTCTCCAAAAATTGTGACACATCAACTTGATCTACTGCAGCAGCTTCGCCAGATATGCATTTGAAACTCACACTATGTCTCTTGCGCCACTTTTGCAGCCACCCGTCGGACGCACTGAAATTATTATAGCCCAAAGTAGTGGCGATTTCTTTAGCTTTCATTTTCACTAACGGCCCTGAGATTGGAATGTTCTGACTTCTAGCTTTCACAAACCACTCAAAACATGTTTTGTCTATAGCAAAACCTTCCTTTTTTAAAAAATCCTTCTTTTGATTTATATTAGTTCCTGATTGCCATTTACTCCTGATATCTTCCTTATTTTTGGCAATTTCAGCTGCTTGCGTTTTCCCAATATTAAACCTCTTTGCCAAATGACGAACTGAAACACTTTCTCTGTCTAATACGTTAACAACTTCCATCTTTTCCTTTAACGAGAGCATCCTTTTTTTTTTGGTGCCATTTTACAGTTACAATAATAAAATACGTAACTCAATCAAATACGAATTTGCCTGAACTGAAGACAAGCCACAAGATTACATACAGGCTACCCAACGAAATGCGTAAATAGGGAATCACCTAATATAAATCGGGGAATTACCGAATTTTATGTATGTAGATATGTGCATTGCAATAAGCGGAACTACTAAAAAATCGTCCGGGTATTAGAGTTTCGCGTCCGCTTATGGGAGATTTTTTGATCACATACAGGAAAATCTAGTGTCCGCGTCCGTTTATAAGAGGGTCCGTTTATCGGAATGCATTTAACATTGAAAATTGATGGCTGAAATTCGGTTCCAGGAACTTTGTCCGGTTAAAAGAGATGTCCGCTTATAGGAGCTGTCCGCAAGGAGAGCTTTCACTGTATATACATGGTTATAAATAAAATGTGTGGTGGTTTAGTGATGTGTGCGACGATAAGGTAAATGTGCAAGGGACACTTGGCAAGTGTGTGAGGATTTGGGCGGCAGTCGACCCTGGACACGCGTCGGGGCAGGGTCGCGACTCATGTATTCTTTTTAAGTTTTGCTTAGAATTGCTGTTTTTTGTGAGATTTCAATAAATCGTGTACTCTCTCGAATCTACCGTTATTTACTCATCGAGAACCCACCCTCTGTCGATTGGTATAATCGGCAGCCCATTGCATCTTTTGGCGCCGCAACGGGGACGTGAGATTTCGGTGATTTTGAGAGACGAAACGTTGAGAAGTGATCAGGTGGAAGATACGTGGATTAGAGACAAGGTTAAATTTTTGGAATATATTCACAAATATCCGACGGTATTTACGGAGAGGGAGTTCAGAATCTGTAGTTGGTTTAGTTTGCATGAGGATCTCTTGTAAAGGGGTGACGACCGGAATAGAGGGTACAAGTTGTGCGTTCCAGTATCTCATGTGAGGGAACTCATTTTGGCACATCATAATTCGATGGGACTATTCGGAAAGGCTAAAACATTTGAGTATTTGCGGCGTAGTTTCTACTGGCCACGTATGCAACGTCACGTTAGGTAGGTGGTGGCAGCGAGTAATTTGTGCCAAAGAGCTAAACCTTCACCGATGAGTAAAGGTGACCCGCATACGATCTTGATAAGGTATAGTGTGTGTCGATTTGATTGGGCAGCTAACTGAAGGTCAAGGGGGTGTTACGAATTTATTTGTATTGGTGGATGCCTTTACAAAATTGTATGCGTTACGCCGGGCTACCGCGAAGACTTTACTTAGACGTCTATTTAATGACTATATACCAGCGGTTCAGAAACCAAGGTGTATCTTGTCCGATAATGGTACGCAATTTACCAGCGAGATTTGGAAGCCACAATTGGCTGAAGCAAATAATAAATTTAAATTTATTTCCTGTTATTATCCGCAAGGAAATCCTACGGAAAGGTACAACCGCGAAATTGGACGTATGCTTCGCGCCCTTTGTCATGAAAAGCATTAATGCAATTAGTCTGAGCACTGGTTTTTCGCCGAGGTTGAAGCGTAACCTGTACGAAATTTAGTAGATTTTACTGAAGGTCCGGAGGATGATGGCCGTTCGTTAGAAGGTGATATAACCGAGGCGTACGGAAAGTTGAAACACGAGGCAACAAGGAGGGAGAGAATGGTTCGGTCCAAGAGGAATCTGGTATCGTATGTATCTGGTGACAGGTCTTGGTTAAGACACATCCGCGTTGGTCTGCCGAATTCAAGGTGATTAGTAAATTCTTCCTCTTATATGAGAGACATTATACCGTTCTACGACAGGCCGGGCCGAATTCATATGTGATAGGTACCACCGACGGACACGAACGTTCAAAGGAAAATATTATTAATTTGAAGGCATGTAAAGAAGCTAGCGAAGTAGTAGTTAAGTAAGAAAGCGATGATGGCAAGTGCCACCTACACCCTCTATCTGTTCTCTAGTACTTAAATATCTGGTTGTATTGTAACCTTCGGTTTAAGTGGGGGGTCACGTGATTTAGTGGTGTGTGTGACGATAAGATGAATGTGCAAGGGACACTTGGCAACTATGTGAGGATTTGGGCGGCAGTCGACCCTGGACACGCGTTCGGGGCAGGGTCGGGACTAGTGTATTCTTTTTAAGTTTTGCTTAGAATTGCTGTTTTTTGTGAGATTTCAATAAGTCGTGTACTCTCTCGAATCTACCATTATTTGCTCATCGAGAACCCACCCTCTGTCGTTTGGTATAATCAGCTGCCCATTGCAAATGTAACCACGTAAACTTTATCAATCTATCAGAAGCTGGATGATTCTACTTATATCCATGATGAGGTGCCGGGTGTCCAGTGGGAAAGTTAACATTTCAAATTTGAATTACGCGGCAACCCTATACGCGAGCAAGTGGGGAGAGGTCTTACTTTAAGAGTGGTGATTCATACGCAGCTGCCCTTCGGAAATTTTGTACTCGATACAACATTCGCCGAACAAGAGATGCTCCAAGTCAAAACTTATTGAAAAAATCGATTAAGAAGTTCCGTGGAACAGGCTCTACTCTTAGTCAACCCATTCCTACTGTATCAACCGAAGAAAATGTGCGTCGAGTAAGTGATCCGCTCATTGCAAATCCTCGGCGTTCTGTACGGAAGTATTCCGCTGCTTTGAGAATCCCTAGGTCAACACTGGATGGCATAATGAAGAAAAAAATGAGTTTTCATCCTTATAAAATCTAATCAGTCAATGCTTTAAAGGAAAGTGATTACGTATTACGGAAATCTTGTGCTGAACGGATGATGAATCTTTTTCCTACGCAGAGCAGACTCGAGAACGTTGTTTTCAGTAAACGAGGCCCATTTTCACTTAGACGGTTATGTGAACAAGCAAAATTGCAGATACTGGGCACCAACGAACCCAAAAAAGTAACATCAACAACAGCTACATAGTCCAAAGGTGACTGTTTGGTCCGCCATATCCCCTAGCGGTATTATTGGGTCGTATTTCTTTGAAGATGAAAACGGTCATGCATTGACAGTCAATTTCGACATGATTGACACTTTTTTTGCTCCTATTTTAAGAACAGAACGTCGATTTAAGAGAAACACATGGTTTTAATCGGATGGGGCCACTCCCCATACTTCCAGAGAATCGATGGACACAGCGAAAGCACTTTTCCCTCAAAATGTTATATAGAAGTTTGGAGACATTCATTGGCCTCCTAGGTCACCCGACCTCACGCCATGCGGTTATTTTTTGTGGGGTTATCTAAAGTCAAAAGTGTATTCCAATAATCCACGCGCGCGCGAATAGAAGAGTGTGTCCGAAGGGATGGCAAATATTTGGACGGAATGATATTTAAGAAATAACACACAACAACTGGTCTTGATCGATTCGTTTGTCTGAAATAAGTATGCTCTTTTTGTCAACTACATTCAAACAGTGATACTGTGATTTCTACCCACCTTGAAAGCTTTGACGAACCTAACCAACAGCGAGAAGAATGCATTGGCATCGGTCGACCGTGGACTTTCAGCGAAGTACTCTACGCACTCCCTGAACGCCTCTTGTGCCGCTTTCGCGTCAGACTTCAACCTCCTTAGTTTGTCCTCCGCGTTGGCCAAGAAGTCTTTCACTACCAACGAGCAACCGCCACCACCTCTACCTCGGATCTCGGCCTCACGTCTTACTGCCTCCATTCCCTTCTCCAGTTCGGCAACGTCTGTGTTGATGTTCTCCAATGATACTGAAATTCATATAAAATTACTATTTTGGAGCTTGAATGAAAACAGTGGAGCAGATTTGATAGATACTGCTTTTAGATTTCAATAAACCTTTTTTTTGAATTATACAAGTTCCAAATTCTGTAAAACATTTTTGAAATTTGGAAAGTTCGTAACATTCCGCGGCGCAATATTGGAAAATTAAGAAAACGAAAAACTTATTTCTAAGTGAACATTAGGGTATTTAGTCCTTCCACAAAGTATTTGTAGTATTCGTATAACCCGTATAACAAGTACCCAGACTAATACTGCATTTACTAAACACAGTATAGTAAACATTTTCAAACTTCTTACAAATTTGAAGGCGCCTCATGTCCTCATGCATTTTACATCATACAGGCTGTTTTTTGAGTGGGTAATCGGTCGATAGCTTCGTTATTATAAAAGATATCTAAAAAGCTATTCGCAAAAATTACAGACAAAAGTATCCTTGTTATTTTGAAAATACGTCGCTTTCTACCGGGTGATACAATACTGCGTGGCAATATAAACATACAGTTCTTTAAGTGAAAACACATTTTAACACATTATGAAAGGCCTTTTCAAAAGAAGAAGTTTATTATAGCATACTATAGTAAGTCGATAACTTTTGCAATAGAGTAAGAGACTTTTCATCAAAATGTCCTATAGTTTCTCGACATTTAAAAGATTTTTAAATTATGTAATAGTAGTAGTAGAAAGATTTATTTAGCACATTTGGCTACATAAACAGAATAATTGTAAACAACGTAGAACTAGTAAATTCAAGCCATATGGTGTATGATGTAAATGCTGGGCAACCTATAATTGTAGATTTAACAAGTGATTTCTTAATTTTACTTTAAATTTTGTCAAAGTTTTCTAGTCTTTTATCTCTGAGTATAATTTATTATATTCAATCAAGCCTTGATGGAATACAGATTTGTAGCATATGCCCCTACAAAATCCAACCCGTACGACCGTGTAGGGGGGGCAACGGGGTGCCGGTCTTGCGGTGGACCGCCTCGATTAGTTTTTGAGGAGACCCGCCGGAAAGCCGGTAGCCCGGCCAATCGAATGATTCGTTGAGCCACAGGTGTCTCGGATGTATATCTGGGACGCCTGCAGCTCAACGGTCATCATGGGCAATGGTACGTTACCCAACCCAAGGTGTTAAGCGATTCCGTGCCGAGGGGTGCGTGGCGGTGGGGATGCACCGTCTTAAACGGAGCCTCTGGGACACCGGGCGACCTCCCAGAGTATCCAGCCTTGCGTCCGTGTAGGGGCACCGCGGACGTCGATCACCACTTCCCCTATACTCGTGGGAACAATATGGAACCAGACGAAAACAAAAATAATAAAAAAACCCGAGGCCCCCCCTACAGGGGACCCCGAACATCCAGGCGGCCCCTCACCAGGGGACCCTGATCGTACTCTGACAGAGGAATCTGTCAGAAGCTTAGCGAGAGAGCTAGCGGAAAGGGTGGGCTCTCTAAAAATTAAGAAGAAGTCTCGGCCAGGTTCCGAAAGGAAAAGGGCTCGGAAGCGGAGAGAGGCGCAGATGACGGAGGGGTCGGAAGGTCGGGGCACCACTTCTGGGACCCCGGCTGGACGGACCCAACCGCCATCTGGGCTAGACGGTGCGCAATCCGGTGTGTCAGCGGAGGCCCTAAAGCGGCCTGGTGACGGAAAGCGGCAGAGGTCTGCCGGTGGGACACCGGAGGGCGCATCCTCGCGGAAGAAGCCTCGCACTGCGACGCATGCGCAAATTAGCTATGCGCGAGCGTCCCAAGCGGGTCTCAGGGTGGCTGTCGTGTCCGACGGGTATCCTGGGACTCAACTTACTAACGTACAGGTGCAGCAGGTCCAGAAGGCGGTCAGTGTGCTGATAGATGGGATCCCAGATGAGGTGGCCCTTCCCAGGTACATTGACTGCTACCTCTCTCGAGGGGCAGCCATCTTTGTCTGCGAGGACGAATCCTCTAGGGCATGGTTGGAGGCCCACGTGGGGGATCTGCGGCCGTGGGAAGGCGCAAGGCTCATTACGATGAGCTTTGGAGACCTTCCCATATACCACCGCGTGATGGCCTGGTTTCCAGGTCCCAACCTGGACAACGAGGTCATCACGAGGAGACTCAGGAGGCACAATCCTGGGACTTTTCCCAGCGCGTGGAGGCTACTTGAGAGGAAGGAAGAGCAGAAAGGTGTCCGACTTGTCCTCTCAGTTGATTCCATAAGCTGGAAGGTCATTGTAGGGAACGGTAACAGGCTGTGTTGCGGTGGAAGTTCGGGGGTGTTTACACTCCTGAGCAAGAAGAAGAGCAGTGGGGCGACACCTGCTGGAACTGGCCTGGCTCCAAACCAGGAGTCGGACCAGCCCAGACCGACGGGAGCTGTGGCGGTAGACCAGGCTTCTTCACAGGGATGGGTCGGCCGGGTCAGCTCTCGCTGGAACCACCGGAGGCTACGGACGTGGAAGCGGCGGGTCCAAGCGGGATATCCGCAGAAAACATCGTGGCGGACCCTGCGATGGATCTGGTCCCAGAGGGAAATGGTAGCGACTCGGACGAGGATGGAATCCTGAACCGAGTCCGAGAACTCCTCTGTGGAAGCGGAGATGAAGGCGGCTGTGACAGCGAAGACTGCGGCGGCGACGGCGGTACGCCCGAATAGGGGTTACATACCGTCATTCGGGAAGGTGTAGGAAGGACCTCTCAACACCCATGGTAAGTCTTAATTTCATCCAAATTAACTTACAACACTGCATAGCGGCTTCGAGGGCCTTTACTCAGGAGATCACTCGAGGCCGACATGACGTGGCTCTCATCCAGGAACCCTGGCTGAGAAACGGTTCAGTAAACGGGCTTAGTATACCGGGCTATACGCTTTTTAGCGATACTCCGGACACTAAGCCCAGAGCTTGCATAATGACTTCCGTCAACTCATGGCAACTTAAAGAATTTACATTCAGATACTTATGTCGGGTTCATGCACGACTTAAACTAACCGAACTTAAGGATCAGCTGTTTCTACACCAGTGTCCTCCACATGTTACGCCTCCAGATAGTAACTAGCTAGTGACTTCCAGTGGTGGTCAAACGTTTTGGTGACGTCACACCCATTTTTTGACATGATTCGGGTGGTTTCGGGACTCGTCTTACCCTTGGATAGCCCTTTCCATACTGTTCTATGCTCGTATTGACGTAATTATAATAATTCTGTGGTGTCTCGTGTTCCACGACGATTTACCGAGAAAGCCAGGCAGTGACTCATCTGTTGTTTTTGTTTGACGAATTTGCGGTAGAGATTTGTTTTGGTGTTCGTCTTCGGGTGTGTTTTTCTGCCTTTGAGTTGTTTTTTGTGCGATTAATTGAGGATGGCCATGCCTAGAGCAAAAATAACGAAAAGCCGCGGTGGTATCAACTCCTGACCTTGTTGAAGAGGTACCTGCAGAAGTCACCTGAACGCAATCGGACATCGCCAGAGGAGCGCCTAATGATGACGTTGCAGTAAGTATCCAAATCAGTTCATTTTTGCATAAATGACAAAATATATTGAGGTTATGGTCGTTTTCTTAATTTCAAGGTCACTTCTTAAATTAAAGTTCAATATATTGAACTTTTCCTTAAGAACCAACCAATCGGATCACTAGCGTTGGTCAGCTGATCGCTACAGCTGGAATTAGAAGATGGCTACGAGCCATCGATACTGTACAAAAGTCGATAGTCGATATTTATATCGTGATGTTTGATCGATTTTATATCGCTGTATGGGCAGATGGTTCGGTGATAGTTGTATGAAAAATTATTTGCGCTTGCTTACGCATGACAGTTTAGAGCTGAACATCGGGGCGGATTGATAAAAAAAATCATGTATGTTAAAAATTATAATAATTAGTCAGTGGTCATTTTTACTTCATAAATTAGATCAAAAAGCAGCATGAAAAAAATAAACATGGGTCCTAAATTGCCCCTTACCAAGATAGAGGATTTTGAAATTATATTCTAGAGAACGAAAAAAAAAAAAATGGAAATGATCTTAAAATTTTATGCTTGTAGTACTGACTTCATAGCTGATAGATGCAAACACTTTCATGTCTGAGACTGTACCAGTGGTGATGTTGGCAAATTATAGCCCCTACAGAAGAAAAAAGAGAATTTAAATCTATACTATGCCCCCCATGACATGTTTTTCCAAAACCTCCACCACCACCAAATATGTAATCTCTTTTGACGTTTATTGAGGTGAACAGATTGAGTAGCACGTAACTTTTTTTGTGACATCTGTACTGTTGGTAATAACAAACCTGGTAAAGGGCCAAATTAAGGACTGGCGTTTGGTATCACCAATGAAAATTTTTTTTTAAACACATAATTTTGGCAATCAAATGTATACTGCTAGATTGGGAATTTATCCTTCGAGGAGACAGTTGGAATGAAGATCGTCATTTATTTTATGGATACCAAATTAATTGTCAATGAGAGTTTGTTTCCTAGTTTGAAGAAACAATTACTGTTTTATGTTTTTTTTTTTTTGTTGAGGACAATTTTGTTTGCCTTTACCCATTAAACAGTGTGCGCAAAACTATTTTTGATTCACATATCAGAGTGATTATATTTGTATTCCAGTCAGTCCTCTACCTACAGATGTATTTTTTGTTATTTTAGTATTTATGTTTTCGCAATAAATATACCTGATCAATTAACAAGAGATAGTGCTTGCATGATATTGCACTGATCAGGTTCATAATATAGAGAAAAATCCTGATGAGTAGAATACCTCTATGTATGTACAATTTATTGTAATGAATAATTTGTTCTATTATTGCTGTGACTGTTCAGTAAATATTTTTTTAATTATACATTTTTTTATTATCCTGAAATTCATTACTAGCCAAACTGATGAAAGAAATACTTCCTTTATTGAGGATGTGTTATGCATCTATGATCATCGAACTGCCTCAATATCGGGACGGTTATCAGTCAGATTTCGTAATGTAAACAAA